AGTTGGAATGCCTTCTAAAGTGGTGGAACCACATATATCCTATTAAATTACTATGTGTGGAACGCTGTACGATACAATACGATATACTACACTGAGTGTACAAAACATTAGGAACACCTGCTCTTTCCATGACATAGACTGACCAGGTGAATCCAGGTGAAAGCTATGATCCCTTATTGATGTCACTTGTTAAATCCACTTCAATCAGTGTCCATGAAGGGGAGGAGACAGGCTAACAAATGATTTTTAAGCCTTGAGACAATTGAGACATGGAGGGTATACTCAATATTAGGAAAGTGTATATTGTCAATATACATGGAAATTCATTTTGTGAAGTCGACATACAAATACACAAAACAAATTCTCTATCCTAATTTAACCACATGCCTATCCTCTTTTACATTTTTGCCATGTATCCTAGACACGGTTTCTAACCGCTGTGAACACTTTGACATTCAACTTTGTCCTTTCTTGCTGAGCTTTCAAATAGCTTGCTGTTAAGATGATTAGTGTTGACATACCTGCCTCAGTGAATTAAAAGTGAAGACCTCATAAGAGGGTCAAAGATTCTCAAAGTGATCTGCAGGTTTCAAACCAGGTGCTTTAAAACTGAGCTGCGGCAGTATGGCTTAAACACAAAAGGCAGGTAAGGTTTGTCTCCATAGTAGCTATTTTCTTTCAACAATATTGAGTTTCATTGCATTTGGCATTGTAGGACACCATGTCTCCACAACTTTGCGTTCTCCAAAGATGTTTGTAAATAAAGTTCTGTAACAAAGATTTTTTGCCAGATATCTGACCTTGGAGAAGAGTCATGGTTAGAGTGATTTGTACAATAGCTGTAGCAGGCAATACAATACCCATGTTATCCACTCACAACTTATTTCTCTGTATAGCATGCATTACTTGGCTTTTATGTCCTCAGCAAATGTTTTCAGACTAGTTGGGCTCTAAGTGTTAGCTAATGATACTTTGTGTAAACATTGCTGGGGAGTTATAGATATGTCACTGCTTATGACTGTTTGTCTTACAGAATGCTTCTATGTCTGTGTGTAGTTATCAGTAGAAATCATATTCACTTTGACGTCTCTTTGTAATCCTTCCTGAGTGTCTCATAGCAAGATGTGCAGACAGACCAGCCTCTCTGAGATGAGAAGGAAACAGACATCCACATCACACACTAGACATAGGGGATTTAATATTACACACTAGACATAGGGGATTTAATACTACACACTAGACATAGGGGATTTAATACTACACACTAGACATAGGGGATTTAATACTACACACTAGACATAGGGGATTTAATACTACACACTAGACATAGGGGATTTAATACTACACACTAGACATAGGGGATTTAATACTACACACTAGACATAGGGGATTTAATACTACACACTAGACATAGGGGATTTAATACTACACACTAGACATAGGGGATTTAATATTACACTCTAGACATAGGGGATTTAATACTACACACTAGACATAGGGGATTTAATACTACACACTAGACATAGGGGATTTAATATTACACACTAGACATAGGGGATTTAATACTACACACTAGACATAGGGGATTTAATACTACACACTAGACATAGGGGATTTAATATTACACACTAGACATTGGGGATTTAATATTACACACTAGACATAGGGGATTTAATACTACACACTAGACATAGGGGATTTAATACTACACACTAGACATAGGGGATTTAATACTACACACTAGACATAGGGGATTTAATACTACACACTAGACATAGGGGATTTAATATTACACTCTAGACATAGGGGATTTAATACTACACACTAGACATAGGGGATTTAATACTACACACTAGACATAGGGGATTTAATATTACACACTAGACATTGGGGATTTAATATTACACACTAGACATAGGGGATTTAATACTACACACTAGACATAGGGGATTTAATATTACACACTAGACATAGGGGATTTAATATTACACACTAGACATAGGGGATTTAATATTACACACTAGACATAGGGGATTTAATACTACACACTAGACATAGGGGATTTAATACTACACACTAGACATTGGGGATTTAATATTACACACTAGACATAGGGGATTTAATACTAGACATAGGGGATTTAATACTACACACTAGACATTGGGGATTTAATATTACACACTATACATAGGGGATTTAATATTACACACTAGACATAGGGGATTTAATACTACACACTAGACATAGGGGATTTAATATTGCACACTATACATAGGGGATTTAATACTACACACTAGACATAGGGGATTTAATACTACACACTAGACATAGGGGATTTAATACTACACACTAGACATAGGGGATTTAATATTACACACTAGACATTGAGGATTTAATACTACACACTAGACATTGGGGATTTAATATTGCACCAACATGAAGTCAGTCCGCAAGTCATCTGCAATACACTGAGGCATGCTAAGCATGATTAACATAATGCATACAAATACATATATGGAGACAATATTCAAAACAATACCTGATGGATTTAGATTTCTGAGTGCTTGTGACATCATGGGGTATTTTACTCCATGATTGCCTCTTGAGTTATTCTGCCTGTATCAGGAATCTCACAAGACATTGGTGCTATTTTGCATCGCAAGTGATTTTCATGATATTGTCGTTGTCATTAATACTTTATTTGGATGAAGACAAACCCTTGTAGCAGTTAACTATAGTTTACCCAAGCCCATGAAATTAAGGACAGTGTTCTTAAGGAGGGGGAATCTGGTACTAAGTCAGGTAGACTCATCAAACAGATGGCAGTCAATCAGACCATTGGTATGTTTGTGTTTTTGTTGATCTAAATCCCTGTTTGACTGCTTTATGTCATGATACTGAGATTATTAAGGGGAGAGATTAACTGCTGTGGTAACATTTAACTCATTCCTACTTTTACTTGGCAAGTACAGTAAACTGTAGGGCATCAGCCTTCACAAACAGCATGCATGGAATGATCAGCCTTTACAAACGGCATGCACGGAATGATCAGCCTTTACAAACAGCATGCACGGAATGATCAGCCTTTACAAACAGCATGCACGGAATGATCAGCCTTTACAAACAGCATGCACGGAATGATCAGCCTTTACAAATGGCATGCATGGAATTCATGGTGATGATGGTTTGTAATAGTAAACTGGTATAACTGCTATCAGAGTTGACATTAGAGCTACCATTGAGATGCATAAACATTTATTAATGGTCAAATTGCTGAATATGAAAACAGCATTTACCAGATGTTTTTATCCAGGTGGCCCATGCAGGAATCATACCCAACATTATTGTATTGCAAGCACCATGGTCCAACTGACTGAGCCATTTTGCCAAGTTTACCTTTTCAATCAAAGAGATTATCTTGAAATACACACCATCAACAGCTGTTGACCCAGATAACAAACCTTGGTGTTCGGTATACACTACGCATGTCATGCTGTCATCCATGTTTATTGGCAAAGAGTAATAGTTGGACAAGGGTTGTTTATTATTTTTGATTCCAAACAATCTGCACTGGTGTCTTTTTAAAAAGACTGATTTAACAACTGACTGATTGGGTACTGTTAAAACCTCCTAGTACTACCAGGTAGACTCCATTCACAGGTAGATGTTTTCTATTCCATTCCAGTATGTTAGAATAGTGTGAAATACTGTTAAGTGGAACTGAGCTAAATCCTTTCTCGCTTTCTTTCTGATGTGTAGTGGTACTGTTTATTTTGTTATTTTATTCCCCACAGACTTAACATTTGTTTGATCTTTAGGATAATAAAGCAATTCGCTGTAATCTAAAATGGTATAGTTTGCTACCAATTATTCGAATTCAAATATAGGCCTCGTTTGGAAAACTAAACTGATGCTTTAACTAGTATGAATAGATGGTGTGCTGGTTACTGTGGAATATCACTGTTTGTACAAGGCATCATGACTAATTGCAACCATCTGCAGTCTTTGTTCACTTTTGAACAGCAGACTGTTGAGGTATAAGAGGTTTGGAAATATGAAAAGCCCATGGGACTGACACTTTGGATAGCTACAGAACATTTGTAATCCATTGTTTGATTTATTTGCTTTTATTTTCTAGAGCCCCTACAGAGGTCATCCTTAACCCGTTGATTCTTCATCTACATGATACATGATCTTCTTCCTATTGAATGCTGTGTTCAACATGATATAGTGAAGGAGAAGCTATAGGTTAACATAAACCATAAGGGACAAATCGGCATATGGATTTGAAAAGCATCCTTTTTATTTCATCGTATGCAAAGGGTAATGTAACTGTTTGTTGTACTTGTATTTATTGAGGGAGATAAGCCGGAGATTAACCAGGCTCTCTGCTGTGTCAGTGTGGCAGATTCAGCGATCAGCGACGGTCAAGGCAGGACTCTCACATGCTGTGGTCGGCACATTTCAGAGGCACGTCATGAAGACAGCATTAATAGCCAGAGTGTTCCCTTTAAGATCTCCTGTTTGGCAGCCACATAGCCCCACTCACGCAAAACGCAGTCACACTAATCTCGCCTGATACGAGGGGACCAGGATGGACTACTGGCTGGTTTTGTGGCCAAGGTCACACTCTGACTGTTAGCCTACAACATCTGTTTCAAATCCTCCTATTGTCACCAGTTAACGTGGATATGTGTGGAGATTGACGATACTAAGGGCAAAACATGTGATAGCAATGTACATGTTCTATCCTTCGATGTAATAATGCTGAGTTTCCTCTGATGATACTGGTATACTCATGATACTAGCTGTGTCATCTCAATTCATGATTATGTTGAGAAGTCTCTGTTTGCCCTGATCAAATTTGACTTCACTAGGTTGGACATCTGTCTAAATCCCTCTCTCTGGCTCTCCCTGTGTCTCTGGAACGACATGGGTGTTCTTGGTATTCCTATAATCACGTGATTGATTTGATATGAGGGCCATCTGTTTCCCTGCAGGACGATGGCATCCTGAAAGAGATCGACATCAGCCAGCACACCAAAGAGGGCTTTGAAAAGGCAGACCCCTCCCAGTTTGAGCTGCTGAAAGTGCTAGGCCAAGGTTCCTATGGAAAGGTAAACATATAGCTACCTGGATTAAAGTGTTTGGCTCTATGTTACACCTACTTTATATGTACTATGCATTTGTCACATTTTCCCTACCGTTCAATCTGACATTAATCTCATCCGTAAGTGTTCATTTGTCACATTTTCCCTACCGTTCAATCTGACATTAATCTCATCCATAGGTGTTCATTTGTCACATTTCCCCTAATGTTCAATCTGATTAATCTCATCAATAGCTGTTCATTTCCCCTACTGTTCAATCTGATATTAATCTCATCCATAGGTGTTCCTGGTGAGAAAAATCAAAGGCTCTGACAGAGGACAGCTTTATGCCATGAAAGTGTTAAGGAAAGCAACGCTAAAAGGTACTTATTCTGATACTTTCGAAGAGTGGTATGTTTTTCATCAGACCAATCTGTCACACCCTGGCTCTGGGACTCATTATGTTGAGCCAGGGTGTGTTCATTTCTATGTGTGTATTTCTATGTTGGTGTTCATTCTAGTTTGTTGTATTCTATGTTTGCCTGAGTGACTCCCAATCAGAGGCAACGAGTGTCAGCTGTTGGCTGGTTGTCTCTGATTGGGAGCCATATTTAAACTGTATGTTTTCCCTTTGTGGTTGTGGGTTTTTGTTCCGTGTTCGGTCATTGATACCGTGGACGTCACGAGTCGTTTCTTGTTTTGTTTCGTGCTTTAACTAATTAAAGTCATGTTTGTTCATCACGCTGCGCCTTGGTCTACTCCTTACCTCGACCTTGACAGAAAAACCCACCCGCCAATGACCAAGCAGCGTGTCCAGGGGCAGCTCTTGGGCTGGACATGGGAGGAAGCGCCGGGAGAAGAGACGGTGGAGGCGCGCCGTAGAGAGGAGCTACGGCGTGATCAGGGTCGTCGTCGGACGGTCGTGAGGCAACCCCAGAAAATTTTTAGGGGGGGGCACACGGCATGGACGACGGGGCTGATGGAGGAGAAAAGGGGGCGGATCCAGAAGGCCACCAGGCCAGGGGTACACCGCCCTGTACGTCCTGTGCGGATGCCTCACACAGAGTGTGTGAGGGTAGGCATTCAGCCAGGACGGGTGGTGGCCGCTCTTCACTCCAGGCCTCCTATCCGTCTCCACAGCCCGGTTCGGCCTGTCCCTGCTCCACGCACCAAGCCTACGGTGTGCGTCGCCAGCCCAGTCCGGCCTGTCCCTGCTCCACGCACCAAGCCTACGGTGTGCGTCGACAGCCCAGCCCGGCCTGTCCCTGCTCCACGCACCAAGCCTACGGTGTGCGTCGCCAGCCCAGCCCGGCCTGTCCCTGCTCCACGCACCAAGCCTACGGTGTGCGTCGCCAGCCCAGTCCGGCCTGTCCCTGCTCCACGCACCAAGCCTACGGTGTGCGTCGACAGCCCAGCCCGGCCTGTTCCTGCCACCCGCACCAAACCTACGGTGTGCGTCGCCGGCCCGGTCCGGCCTGTTCCTGCCACCCGCACCAAGTCTACGGTGCGCGTCGCCAGCCCGACCCGGCCTGTTCCTGCCACCCGCACCAAGTCTACGGTGCGCGTCGCCAGCCCGACCCGGCCTGTTCCTGCCACTCGCACCAAACCTACGGTGCGCGTCGCCAGCCCGGTCCGGCCTGTTCCTGCCACCCGCACCAAGTCTACGGTGCGCGTCGCCAGCCCGACCCGGCCTGTTCCTGCCACTCGCACCAAACCTACGGTGCGCGTCGCCAGCCCGACCCGGCCTGTTCCTGCCACTCGCACCAAACCTACGGTGCGCGTCGCCAGCCCGACCCGGCCTGTTCCTGCCACTCGCACCAAACCTACGGTGCGCGTCGCCAGCCCGGTCCGGCCTGTTCCTGCCACTCGCACTAAGCCAGGGGTGCGAGAAGTCAGCCTGGTAAGGCCCGTTCCTTCTCCACGCACCAAGCCAGGGGTGCGAGTCGTCAGCCTGGTAAGGCCCGTTCCTCCTCCACGCACCAAGCCAGGGGTGCGAGTCGACAGCCTGGTAAGGATCGCTCCTGTTAAGTCCAGTCCTGCTCCAGCCGGCGGGGCCAGACTGGACCAGGGGCACTATGGGGGGTGTATTGGAGGGTGGTGGTCAAGGCCGGAGCCAGAACCGCCGCCGAGGAGGTATGCCCGCCCAGCCCTCCCCTGGTTTGTTTAGTTGAGGCGCGGTCGCAGTCCGCGCCTTTAGGGGGGGGGTACTGTCACACCCTGGCTCTGGGACTCATTATGTTGAGCCAGGGTGTGTTCATTTCTATGTGTGTATTTCTATGTTGGTGTTCATTCTAGTTTGTTGTATTCTATGTTTGCCTGAGTGACTCCCAATCAGAGGCAACGAGTGTCAGCTGTTGGCTGGTTGTCTCTGATTGGGAGCCATATTTAAACTGTATGTTTTCCCTTTGTGGTTGTGGGTTTTTGTTCCGTGTTCGGTCATTGATACCGTGGACGTCACGAGTCGTTTCTTGTTTTGTTTCGTGCTTTAACTAATTAAAGTCATGTTTGTTCATCACGCTGCGCCTTGGTCTACTCCTTACCTCGACCTTGACACAATCTTGCTAAAACCGTAATATTATTACAGTAAACAGACATGATCGGGGTATGATTAAATTCCCTATCCAGCCAAACTGGTTTTCTGGCATAAGTCAAAAAATATATATATATGAATAATAAATCAAAAACATCTTACGTTTCCTGTACTCATCAAATCTCAGTCAAAAACATCTTATGTTTCCTATACTCATCAAATCTCAGTCAAAAACATCTTACGTTTCCTGTACTCAATCAATCAATCTGTCAAAAACGCTTTACGTAAAAAAATATCTGCTCTAGAAAATGAAATGCGGTCTTTTGGCCCTGTCTCAGGAAATGGAGATTATATTCTCCTTGCTTACATAATACAGGCACAGCTGCAGGAATGTCTTCACTGCAAAGCAGAGAGCCATTGCAAGAGGAAGCTGGCATAATATTCTGCATTGCAGTACAGGTGCTTGAGGGGATTATGATTATGAACACCGAATTATTGATAACGAAGTAGCTGACCTCCATTTCTCAGGTGACATAGGGAGAAGGCTTAGGTAATGCAGATAGATGAGCAAAATGCAGCAAATCATTGCATTAGCCCACTCTGTCTCTTATGTGATGACATTCCCAATGCACTGACTAGATAAGTGGCTGACTAGTGACGGAGATGTCTTACATATGCATGGTTGAGCGGTTTCCAGATTTTCATAGTATCAACAGTTTTGACGGTATAGAAATTCATACTTGAGGTATTTTATACAGTATCATCGGATACCGGCCCAACTCTTATGGGTTGTTCATGTATAGCTTTTGTCCACATCTGTTCAGTTCTACAAGTATCTTAATTCATTACCACTATTTTTGATAAGCTTTGTATGTTTTTCAGTCCGGGATCGGGTGCGGTCCAAAATGGAGAGAGACATTCTGGCTGAAGTCAACCACCCCTTCATAGTCAAACTCCATTATGGTGAGTGTATTTCCCAAGTGCTTCTTTCTCATCCATGCAACCATGTTCTGACTGGCACACATACAACAAACATTGAGACATGAAAACTTGCTTGATAAGACAGCCAAATAATTATGTGATGAGATTGTCTTTAGTCATCAGTTGTTAGAATAGTTCTGCCATTAGGCAGCAGGCAGAAACACATTGTGATATCAAATAGAGTAGGTTCTTGCATTGAATAACTCTACAAATGTTTTATAAAGCTTGGCACGTCTCTCTAAAAATTTCAGTGACGTCTGGAGCCCTTCAGACAGCATTAGCCATCACTCCGTCTCAAAGCACCTCACCTCCTTGTTTATTAGCGTGCTCTGAATATTGCCACAGCAGCCCCAGGCAAACAGATGCACTCAACAAAGCAGATAATAGGAATACACAAGGAGACCATATTATCAAAAAAAGATTTTCCTTGACATGTGCCTTTAAGCAGAGCCGGATTACTGAATGGGCACGTAGGGCACATGCCCCGGGCCCCCCCGAACTCCAGGTGGTCCCCAACCAAATTGATTTATTTTGGGTTGTGGGCCCCCTGGAAGTCGGGGGCCCCCCAGATAGCATATGAAAGCAAAAAGTGTAGAATTGCAGTAAATTTGCTTTAAAACTGCCAACTCTTCTCTCAGCCTCATTGCAAAATGTGAACAATAGCATGAGATGACCTATAAAGCAGCAGATGTTTCTCTCTGACCCATGGCAAAAAGTGTCGAATTTCAGGAAATTAGCTTTAAAACGGCAACATTTTCTCATAGCCTCATGACAAGATGTGTAGGATAGCATTGTAAAGCTGCAGACTTTTTTCAACATAAAATGGAGGTCGGTGCCCCAGGGCCCCAAATGCGGTAGTCTGTCCTTACCTTTAAGCAGTATAACTTCTCACCATACTCCAATTCACATTTGGAGTGTTTTCATTTTATTGCATGTCATGAGCGAAGGAGAATATGTATTTTGTGTGACCATTTATGTTGTTTTTATGGCCCAGCCTTTCAGACGGAGGGGAAGCTGTATCTGATTCTAGACTTCCTCCGAGGCGGAGACCTCTTCACACGGCTTTCCAAAGAGGTCAGTCATCATGTTACTCACTGTGATGGCTTACTGCTCATTCACTGTTTTATTAATACATTCAATCACCACATGCATGATGTTTAAAAAAATAATAATTTTAGAAGCATTTCCAATAATTTGTTTTCTTGGTGCAAATGTCCCTTTGATTGAATAGTTACAGTATATTTCGAGACATTCTCAATTTGCGTGATATTACTTATATTTTTTATTGGTCAACAATGACTCAACAGCAATTGGTAATTTGGCTTATAGAGTAAAAACCCTCCCTAGTAAAATCCCTTCCAATGTGTTATTTCTAAGTCATGGCCCTTAAACTATCTCTTTAGATTTGTTTGCCTTCATTGACAACATCAACAAAAAGTACATTCCAAAAGAGAGAAAATCAGTTTCGATGACCAATTGTATGTTCAATGCCGAGCTATTGATGGATCTTTGACACTTCTTAGTAGTACAGTGATTCATCATGCCACTTTGGGGCCCATCACTGTGCACCACAATTACCAATTGTGGCTTGCGAAAGTATTCACCCCCCTTGGCATTTTTCCTATTTCGTTGCCTTACAACCTGGAATTAAAATTGATTTTGGGGGGGTTTGTATCATTGGTACCCTCCCCCCCTTTTATTTAACTAATTATGTGACTTCTGAAGGTAATTGGTTGTACCAGATCTTATTTAGGGGCTTCATAGCAAAGGGGGTGAATACATATGCATGCACCACTTTTCCGTTATTAATTTTTTTGAATTTTTTGAAACATTTGTCCATTACATGAAATCCAAATAAAAATCAATTTAAATTACAGGTTGTAATGCAACAAAATAGGAAAAACGCCAAGGGGGATGAATACTTTTGCAAGGCACTGTATAACTGCCTCTCAGCCACCATCATAGTTAGCCTTCCTGTGAAGTAATTTCAGAGCTTGAGCCAAGTAGGAGCAAATCGGTCCCCAAAACACTGTGTGGCCCTCCGTTGAATTTTGAAATCCCAATGAGGCCCTCAAGTCAAAATTATTGCCCACCCCTGCAATAGCCTGTATTGAAATACTGCTATTATGAAGAAATTATAGACAACAACTCATTTGATTAAACCATTGGCTCATAGAGTTCCTTTGGGACATTTAGCCAACAACTGCAGATTGTTTCATCACACTATACATTTTTTAACTCATTAATTGGCGATACTCCAAGCTATGTGGATTGCAGTATTTTGTGTTTGTAACAAACAATGATCATATTTAACATGCTAGTTGACTCCATTATGAATTAAGATGCATGTATTATATACAGTGCATTCGGAAAGTATTCAGACCCCTTGACTTTTTCCAATGTTTGTTACGTTACAGCCTTATTCTAAAATGAATGTAAAAAATGTTTCTCTCTCTCATCAATCTACACACAATAACCCATAATGACAAAGCAAAAACTGGTTTTTATAAGTAAAAAAAAATAAAAAATACGGAAATATCACAATTACATAAGTATTTGTTGAAGCACCTTTGGCAGCTATTACAGCCTCGAGTATTATTGGGTGTGACGCTACAGGCTTGGCACACCTGTATTTGGGGATTTTCTCCCATTCTTCTCTGCAGATCCTCTCAACCTCCGTCAGGTTGGATGAGGAGCGTCGCTGCACAGCTATTTTCAGGTCTCTCCAGAGATGTTAGATTGGGTTCAAGTCCAGGCTCTGGCTGGGCCACTCAAGGACATTCAGAGATTTGTCACGAAGCCACTCTTGCGTTGTCTTAGCTGTGAGCTTAGGGTCGTTGTCCTGTTGGAAGGTGAACCTTCACCCCAGTCTGAAGTCCTGAGCGCTCTGGAGCAGGTTTTCATCAAGGATCTCTCTGTACTTTGCTCTGTTCATCTTTCCCTCAATCCTGACTAGTCTCCCAGTCCCTGCTTCTGAAAAACATCCCCACAGCATGATGCTGCCACCACCATGCTTCACCGTAGGGATGGTGGCAGGTTTCCTCCAGACGTGACGCTTGGCATTCAGGCCAAAAAGTTCAATCTTGGTTTCATCAGACCAGAGAATATTGTTTCTCATGGTCTGAGAGTCCTTTAGGTTCCTTTTGGCAAACTCCAAGTTGGCTGTCATGTGCCTTTTACTGAGGAGTGGCTTCCGTCTGGCCACTACCATAAAGGCCTTATTGGTAGAGTACTGCAGGCCTGATTGGTAGAGTGCTGCAGAGATGGTTGTCCTTCTCGAAGGTTCTCCCATCTCCATAGAGGAACTCTGGAGCTCTGTCAGAATGACCATTGGGTTTTTGGTCACCTCCCTGACTAAGGCCCTTCTCACCCGATTGCTCAGTTTGGCCAGGAGGCAAGCTCTAGGAAGAGTCTTGGTGGTTCCAAACTTCTTCCATTTAAGCATAACAGAGGCCACAGTGTTCTTGGGGACATTCAATGCTGCAGAAATGTTTTGGTACCCTTCCCCAGATCTGTGCCTCGAAACAATCCTGTCTCGGAGCTCTACGGACAATTCCTTTGAACTCATGCCTTGGTTTTTGCTCTGACATGCACTGTCAAATGTGGGACCTTATATAGACAGGTTTGTGCCTTTCCAAATCATGTCCAATCAATTTAATTTACCACAGGTGGACTACAATCAAGATGTATCTCAAGGATGATCAATGGAAACAGGATGCACCTGAGCTCAATTTCGAGTCTCATAGTAAAGGGTCTGAGTACTTATGTAAATAAGGTATTTCCGTTTTTTATTTTAAATACATTTACAAAAATGTCTAAACCTGTTTTCACTTTGTCATTATGAGGTATTGTGTGTAGGTTGATGAGGAACATTTTAATCTAATACATTTTAGAATAAGCCTATAACATGACAAAATGTGGAAAAGGGGAAGGCGTCTGAATACTTTCCGAATGCACTGTATATGAATGTTATCCGATTTTAGCAAGTTATTGATTTCATGTACCTTATTTCTAAGGCTACATACAGTTGAAGTCGGAAGTTTACATACACCTTACCCAAATACATTTAAACTCAGTTTTTCACAATTCCTGACATTTAATCCTAGTAACCATTCCCTGTTTTAGGTCAGTTAGGATCACCACTTTATTTTAAGAATGTGAAATGTCAGATTAATAGTAGAGAGAATGATTTATTTCAGCTTTTATTTATTTCATCACATTCCCAGTGGGTCAGAAGTTTACATACACTCAATTAGTATTTGGTAGCATTGCCTTTAAATTGTTTAACTTGGGTCAAACGTTTCGGGTAGCATTCCACAAGCTTCCCACAATAAGTTGGGTGAATTTTGGCCCATTCCTCCTGACAGAGCTGGTGTAACTGAGTCAGGTTTGTAGGCCTCCTTGCTCGCACACGCTTTTTCAGTTCTGCCCACAAATTTTCTATAGGATTGAGGTCAGGGCTTTGTGATGGCCACTCCAATACCTTGACTTTGTTGTCCTTAAGCCATTTTGCCACAACTTTGGAAGTATGCTTGGGGTCATTGTCCATTTGGAAGACCCATTTGCGACCAAGCTTTAACTTCCTGACTGATGTCTTTAGATGTTGCTTCAATATATCCACATAATTTTCCTTCCTCATGATGCCATCTATTTTGTGAAGTGCACCAGTCCCTCCTGCAGAAAAGCACCCCCACAGCATGATGCTGCCACCCCCGTGCTTCACGGTTGGAATGGTGTTCTTCGGCTTGCAAGCATTCCCCTTTTTCCTCCAAACATAACGATGGTCATTATGGCCAAACAGTTCTATTTTTGTTTCATCAGACCAGAGGACATTTCTCCAAAAAGTAAGATCTTTGTCCCCATGTGCAATTGCAAACCGTAGTCTGGCTTTTTTATGGCGGTTTTGGAGCAGTGGCTCCTTCCTTGCTAAGCGACCTTTCAGGTTATGTCGATATAGGACTTGTTTTACTGTGGATATAGATACTTTTGTACCTGTTTCCTCCAGCATCTTCACAAGGTCCTTTGCTGTTGTTCTGGGATTGATTTGCACTTTTCGCACCAAAGTACGTTGATCTCTAGGAGACAGAACGCGTCTCCTTCCTGAGCGGTATGACGGCTGCGTGGTCCCATGGTGTTTATACTTGTGTACTATTGTTTGTACAGATGAACGTGGTGCCTTCAGGTGTTTGGAAATTGCTCCCAAGGATGAACCAGACTTGTGGAGGTCAACAATCTTTTTTCTGAGGTCTTGACTGATTTATTTAGATTTTCCCATGATGTCAAGCAAATAGGCACTGAGTTTGAAGGTGGGCCTTGAAATACATCCACAGGTACACCTCCAATTGACTAAAATGATGTCAATTAGCCTATTAGAAGCTTCTAAAGCCATGACATCATTTTCTGGATTTTCCCAAGCTGTTTAAATGCACAGTCAACTTAGTGTATGTAAACTTCTGACCCACTGGAATTGTGATACAGCGAATTGTAAGTGAAATAATCTGTCTGTAAACAATTGTTGGAAATATTACTTGTGTCATTCACAAAGTAGATGTCCTAACCGACTTGCCAAAACTATAGTTTGTTAACAAGAAATTTGTGGAGTGGTTGAAAAACAAGTTTTAATGACTCCAACCTAAGTGTATGTAAACTTCCGACTTCAACTGTATATTCATATTCTTAGCCCTTCCCTGGGTAGCTTATCGGAGATAATATGCAGAGAAAAAAGTGGTGTGTGTGTGTGATGTTGGGCTGAAGCTACTGACCCTGAAGCTTGGCTCTCTTACTCCTCCCATGCTTTTGGGAGGGAGGGTGGAGAATGATCTTGTTGTAGCGGATGTAAGCAATGTCCCCACGCTCTCTGGCAGCTTTTATATCTGGGATAAGTTATTTCCGGCTCTGGCGCACAGCTTCAGAGAAGTCCTCGTTCAGGAAGATGTTGGTTTCTCTCAAGTTCAAGGCTCAAGCTTGACCACTATCGGCCTGGGTCTATCACCTGGGCTGGTTACAGGTTTTCCAGACCTGTGGGCGTGCTCCATCTCAATCTTCCTATTTTCCATCTGCAGCTTTTCGATGATCATTTTTCTCACTTTCTCCTCAGAGTCCGTCCAGGCCTCATGTGGAGACTGGTATGACATCCACAACAATGTTATTCCTCCTGGATTGTCCCTCTAGATAGTAGGGCTGGGAATTGCCAGGGACCTTACAATACAATATTATCATGATACTTAGGTGCCGATACGATATGTATTGCGATTCTCACAATGCTATATGTATTGTGATTCGATACTGTGATTTTATTGCGATTCGATGTTCCAAACATATTGCTCACCATATGTCTGCTGCAGAGGGTTTTGGTGTAGGTACAGCCAACTAGCACAAAAATAATATTGCAACATTGTCAAAACAATACGATATATCGTCAAAAATAATATCCTGATATGTAACTGTATCGATTTGTTTCATCACTACTAGATAGTCTGTTTTCCCAGTCATCTGAAATAATGATACACAGACAGTGATGTCATCTCACGTGAGCTTACAGTTTGTTGTCATCTTGCTGCAAGTCTCTTTCTGTCACGGTTTCGGCCGAGGCTGCCTCTCTTCCTTGTTCGGGCAGGCTTCGGCGTTCGTTGTCTCCGGAATACTAGCTGCCACCGTTGTATGTTTCATGTTCGTTTGCATTTGTCTGTTTGTTGTGACACCTGTTCTCGTTTAGCGTAATTAGTGTCCTATAAGTTTCTCGTTGTGTTTGTCTAGTGTTGTGTGTTATTGATTTTGGTCTGTCGTGTGTTGGGCTATTTTCGCTATTGCGCTCGGTTGAGCTTCCCTCCACTGCGTTGGAGTGTTTCCGCACCTGTTTAGTGCGCTTTTGTTTGTTCGCCTTCGTGCGTAATTTCGCCTTCGGGCAAGTTCGTGTCGTATTTTCCTTGTGGAGATTGACTAAAGTCTGTTGGACTATACTTTGGTGTCCTGCGTTTGATTCCACCACTACACCCACCTACAGCACTCGTGACACTTTCAGGACATCCACCTCTCACTGGGATAACTGCAAACTGTTCTTATGGTCTTGGACTTCTCTGGTCAGATTGCCCATTATTTTGTTAGTTGAGTCCACCAGTATTTGGACAAAGCTCTTGAAGCTGTTTTCCCATTGCTGTAACAATTGCTTGTAGACATATTTTTGTTGATTTTAAACGATCACGCACCTGTCATAGTGAAACACTGTCCTCTCCATTACTCCAACCTTATTTAACTTTGGGCGGCATTATGGTAGCAACGTAGGCTAAAACTGGTACTCCACGCAATTCCAGCCATCACAGCTCACAGGGCCGATGTGAATCGCAATACATATCGTAGGCCTCCTGTAGCTCAGTTGGTAGAGCATGGCGCTTGTAACGCCAGGGTTGTGGGTTTGTTTCCCACGGGGGGCCAGTATGAAAAATGTATGCACTCACTAACTGTAAGTCGCTCTGGATAAGAGCGTCTGCTAAATGACTAAAATGTAAAATGTAACAGCAACAAACAGCAGAAATTTTTACCGCCACAAGCGTGGGACTAGGGCTGGGATGATATCAGTATCGCGATACTCGTTAGTATCGTGGCAAGGAAACAAAACACAAAGCGGATTTAACTTTAGGAAAACAGCCCTAATGTTGTAACCAAACATCATTATGTTGTCATCCAGTGTAATGTATTTATTTTCCAAGCTATAGCACACAATATTATACATACAGCAGGTATTTAAAGGACCAAAGAGTTTGTTCTGCTTCGTGTTTTCACTTTTGCCATGGAAAATATTGCGATACTGGTATCGTCACAGCCCTATTAAGCACACACCCCTGGGGGGCCCCCATGTTGAGGGTGAGAGTGGCAGAGGTGTTGTTGCCTTCTCTTACCACCTGGGATCAGCCCGTCAGGAAGTCCATGATCCAGTTGCAGAGGGAGGTGTTCAGCCCCAGGGTCCCGAGCTTGGAGGGCACTATGGTGTTTGAAATCTGAGCTGTAGTCGATGAACAGCATCCTCACATAGGTACTCCTCTTTTCTAGGTGAGAGAGGGCAGAGTGGAGTGCAATTGAGATTGCATTGTCTGTGGATCTGTTGGGGCAGTAGGCAAATTGGAGTGGGTCCAGGGTGTCTGGGATGACGGAGTTTATGTGTGCCATGACCAGCCTTTCAAAACACTTCATTATTACAGATGTGAGTGCTATATGGCAGTAGTCATTGTGGCAGGATGCCTTAGTGTTTTTGGGAACAGGAATGATGGTAGTCAGCTTGAAACGTGGGGATTGCAGACTGGGAGAGGTTGAAAATGTCTGTAAAGAGACCTGCCAGCTGGTCTGTACATGCCCTGAGGACATGCCCTGGAATACCGTCTGGCCCTGCAGCCTTACGAGTGTTGACCCGTTTAAAAACCTTACTCACATCAGCCTAAGAGAGAGAGAGAGAGATCACCCTGTCCTCCGGATCAGTGGGGGGCCTCATGCAGGGCTCTGTGTTATTTCCAAACCTCTCCTTGAGTACCCCCAGCCATTGTTCTTATTTGTTCAATTCCAACTAGCATACCGGCTCTAACTGGTCAACTAATCATCAAGCCCCTGATTAGTTGAATCGGGTGTGCTAGTAGGCCTACTGGAATATATCATATAAAATGAACTTTCTGGGGTACTTGAGGGGAGGTTTTCTCAAATAAATGATTAAGTGGATAGAGACCTTGATTATTATTGCATAATAAATACAACCTGCAGTCTGGATAATAGACCACCAACTTTGTAAATGAGTTCATCCATTTACCCATGCTTCCTAAAACTACTGCCTCCTACAGTATGTGTCATCGTGACTACTACCAATCCTTTTGTAAATGATAACTGGAATCAAATTGGACAAACAATTTGTCTCTCTGGATTTAAATTTGCTCTTCTGGGCGGACAGACAAGTGGGAATTGAGATATGAATTACTTACTGCTGGTCTTGGAAATCACTCATCTGGAGCAGATGCCCTAATGCTGGCAGAAACTTGTTACTTTCACCGCAATTAAATTCTCTACTTGGCACCGCAGAGTTTATTACCCACACATATTCTATTTGGGAGCTAAAGTAATCTTTCTATGGTTAAAATGATCTATTTAGTAAACAAAGAGAAAGACAACAATCCATGCTCTACCTGAGGAAACTCAGCAAAGTTTGTATTAAGATGAATGCAACTCGCTCTGGATAAGAGTGTCTGCTAAATTACTAAAATGTAAATGTTGTATAACGTCCTTGATGCAAATATTTTGGGTGAGGTTCCAAACAGCTGGCTTTGTGGTCAAGTTAATCAGTTTCAATAGTGTTCAATCTGTGGGTAGAGCTCTTGTTTTGCTCATGCTACCTGACATCGGAATTATGGAAAGCTGTCTGTTTGTTTTTCATGTGTTTAAAACACATCAATGTAGGCTACTCTAGGGTTTTAAAAACATGGCTTTTATTTTCACAATCATATATCCCGCGTGTACTGTTTGCATCTTGTCAATGACTAATTAACTGTTACTTTTATATTTCACCTTTCTCCATCTGCAGGTGATGTTTACTGAAGAGGATGTGAAGTTCTATCTGGCTGAGCTGGCCTTGGCCTTAGATCACCTTCACAGTCTGGGCATCATCTACAGAGACCTCAAACCAGAGAAGTAAAGCCTCACTGACTGTACTGTGCCATAGACTACTTCCCTATTCAAAGAGCATCTTGCATACCCATTCTCTGCAGCTATACAGTTTTTACCCATATGAGTACTCCTACTGTACACAATGTTTCTTTATCACAGAGACTGAATGAATATTCTGATCGGGAATGACCAAGTACATAACTGTCTGATTTGATATCGTATACTTCCGATCCAGGAGTTCAAACAAGGTTGCGTTACTGCGCCGTGTTGCTGCCTGTGACAGGTCTATAAAAAAAGCTACAGGTCTCTGGTGCAATCAAGGCTGCATCTGTTCTGCGTCTTTTCCGTGAGCACATCCTCCTGTTTAGACTAAAAGGGCTATCAGAGTGCTTTTACAGTTTATTAAAATGTTTGACAGACTCCAAATGCATCAAAATGTCGGGTCGTACAGTCAAAAACACATTTAGGCCCTTGAGATGCAGGACTTGCAAATTGGCTCTCGGGTATTTGATGAGAGAAAATAAATGAGGAGCTCTCGGCCTGGGAATAATTGACGTGTGAAGGTCTCGCGTGATTCCAGTGGTTCTGCTTTTTTGTTTTGTTTTGAAGGACAAGCTAATCCCAGCTTTACTGTTGATGATTAATGACACCAACCCAGGGGCAACAGTGTGCTGTGCACAGATCTATTCGTTCTAACAAACAAACACTCAATAAATGTGTGGGTGTGCAGTGCCGCGAGGTGTGTAAGATGTGAAGATTTTACACTGCTCAAAAAAATAAAGGGAACACTTAAACAACACAATGTAACTCCAAGTCAATCACACTTCTGTGAAATCAAACTGTCCACTTAGGAAGCAACACTGATTGATAATACATTTCACATGCTGCTGTGCAAATGGAATAGACAACAGGTGGAAATTATAGGCAATTAGCAAGACACCCCCAATAAAGGACTGGTTTTGCAGGTGGTGACCACAGACCACTTACATTTACATTTACATTTAAGTCATTTAGTAGACGCTCTTATCACTTCTCAGTTCCTATGCTTCCTGACTGATGTTTTGGTCACTTTTGAATGCTGGCGGTGCTTTCACTCTAGTGGTAGCATGAGATGGAGTCTACAACCCACACAAGTGGCTCAGGTAGTGCAGCTCATCCAGGATGGCACATCAATGCGAGCTGTGGCAAGAAGGTTTGCTGTGTCTGTCAGCGTAGTGTCCAGAGCATGGAGGTGCTACCAGGAGACAGGCCAGTACATCAGGAGACGTGGAGGAGGCCGTAGGAGGGCAACAACCCTGCAGCAGGACTGCTACCTCCGCCTTTGTGCAAGGAGGAGCAGGAGGAGCACTGCCAGAGCCCTGCAAAATGACCTCCAGCAGGCCACAAATGTGCATGTGTCTGCTCAAACGGTCAGAAACAGACTCCATGAGGGTGGTATGAGGGCCCGACGTCCACAGGTGGGGGTTGTGCTTACAGCCCAACACCGTGCAGGACGTTTGGCATTTGCCAGAGAACACCAAGATTGGCAAATTCGCCACTGGCGCCCTGTGCTCTTCACAGATTAAAGCAGGTTCACACTGAGCACGTGACAGACGTGACAGAGTCTGGAGACGCCGTGGAGAACGTTCTGCTGCCTGCAACATCCTCCAACATGACCGGTTTGGCGGTGGGTCAGTCATGGTGTGGGGTGGCATTTATTTGGGGGGCCCACAGCCCTCCATGTGCTCGCCAGAGGTAGCCTGACTGCCATTAGGTACCGAGATGAGATCCTCAGACCCCTTGTGAGACCATATGCTGGTGTGGTTGGCCCTGGGTTCCTCCTAATGCAAGACAATGCTAGACCTCATGTGGCTGGAGTGTGTCAGCAGTTCCTGCAAGAGGAAGGCATTGATGCTATGGACTGGCCCGCCCGTTCCCCAGACCTGAATCCAATTGAGCACATCTGGGACATCATGTCTCGCTCCATCCACCAACGCCACGTTGCACCACAGACTGTCCAGGAGTTGGCGGATGCTTTAGTCCAGGTCTGGGAGGAGACCATCCGCCACCTCATCAGGAGCATGCCCAGGCGTTGTAGGGAGGTCATACAGGCACGTGGAGGCCACACACACTACTGAGCCTCATTTTGACTTGTTTTAAGGACATTACATCAAAGTTGGATCAGCCTGTAGTGTGGTTTTCCACTTTAATTTTGAGGGTGACTCCAAATCCAGACCTCCATGGGTTGATAAATTTGATTTCCATTGATAATTTTTGTGTGATTTTGTTGTCAGCACATTCAACTATGTAAATAAAAAAGTATTTAATAAGATTATTTCATTCATTCAGATCTAGGATGTGTTATTTTAGTGTTCCCTTAATTTTTTTGAGCAGTGTATATAAAGTATTTATATTATACAGATACAGTTGAAGTCGGAAGTTTACATACACTTAGGTTGGAGTCATTAAAACTTGTTTTTCAACCACTCCATACATTTCTTGTTAACAAACTATAGTTTTGGCAAGTCGGTTAGGACATCTACTTTGCATGACACAAGTAGTATTTCCAACAATTGTTTACAGACAGATTATTTCACTTATAATTCACTGTATCACAATTCCAGTGGGTCAGAAGTTTACATGCACTAAGTTGACTGTGCCTTTAAACAGCTTGGAAAATTCCAGAAAATGATGTCATGGCTTTCGAAGCTTCTGATAGGCTAATTGACATCATTTGAGTCAATTGGAGGTGTACCTGTGGATGTATTTCAAGTCCTACTTTCAAACTCAGTGCCTCTTTGCTTGACATCATGGGAAAATCAAAAGAAATCAGCCAAGACCTCAGAAAAATAATTGTAGGCCTCCACAAGTCTGGTTCATCCTTGGGAGCAATTACCAAACGCCTGAAGGTTCATCTGTACAAACAATAGTAAACACCATGGGACCATGCAGCCATCATACCACTCAGGATGGAGACGTGTTCTGTCTCCTAGAGATGAACGTACTTTGGTGCGAAAAGTGCAAATAAATCCCAGAACAACAGCAAAGGACCTTGTGAAGATGCTGGAGGAAACAGGTACAAAATTATCTATATCCACAGTAAAACAAGTCCTATATCGACATAACCTGAAAGGCCGCTCAGCAAGGAAGAAGCCACTGCTCCAAAACCGCCATAAAAAAGCCAGACTACGGTTTGCAACTGCACATGGGGACAAAGATCATACTTTTTGGAGAAATGTCCTCTGGTCTGATGAAACAAAAATAGAACTGTTTGGCCATAATGACCATTGTTATGTTTGGAGGAAAAAGGGGAACACTTGCAAGCCGAAGAACACCATCCCAACCGTGAAGCACGGGGTGGCAGCATCATGCTGTGGGGGTGCTTTTCTCCAGGAGGGACTGGTTCACTTCACAAAATGGATGGCAGCATGAGGAAGGAACATTATGTGGATATATTGAAGCAACATCTCAAGACATCAGTCAGGAAGTTAAAGCTTGGTCGCAAATGGGTCTTCCAAATGGACAATGACCCCAAGCATACAGTGAGTGAAAAACGTATTTGATCCCTTGCTGATTTTGTACGTTTGCCCACTGACAAAGAAATGATCAGTCTATAATTTTAATGGTAGGTTTATTTGAACAGTGAGAGACAGAATAACAACAAAAAAATCCAGAAAAACGCATGTCAAAAATGTTATAAATTGATTTGCATTTTAATGAGGGAAATAAGTATTTGACCCCCTCTCAATCAGAAAGATTTCTGGCTCCCAGGTGTCTTTTATACAGGTAACGAGCTGAGATTAGGAGCACACTCTTAAAGGGAGTGATCCTAATCGCAGCTTGTTACCTGTATAAAAGACACCTGTCCACAGAAGCAATCAATCAATCAGATTCCAAACTCTCCACCATGGCCAAGACCAAAGAGCTCTCCAAGGATGTCAGGGACAAGATTGTAGACCTACACAAGGCTGGAATGGGCTACAAGACCATCACCAAGCAGCTTGGTGAGAAGGTGACAACAGTTGGTGCGATTATTCGCAAATGGAAGAAACACAAAATAACTGTCAATCTCCCTCGGCCTGGGGCTCCATGCAAGAGCTCACCTCGTGGAGTTGCAATGATCATGAGAACAGTGAGGAATCAGCCCAGAACTACACAGGAGGATCTTGTCAATGATCTCAAGGCAGCTGGGACCATAGTCACCAAGAAAACAATTGGTAACACACTACGCCGTGAAGGACTGAAATCCTGCAGCGCCCGCAAGGTCCCTCTGCTCAAGAAAGCACATATACATGCCCGTCTGAAGTTTGCCAATTAACATCTGAATGATTCAGAGGAGAACTGGGTGAAAGTGTTGTGGTCAGATGAGACCAAAATGCAGCTCCTTGGCATCAACTCAACTCGCCGTGTTTGGAGGAGGAGGAATGCTGCCTATGACCCCGAGAACACCATCCCCACCATCAAACATGGAGGTGGAAACATTATGCTTTGGAGGTGTTTTTCTGCTAAGGGGACAGGACAACTTCACTGCATCAAAGGGACGATGGACGGGGCCATGTATCGTCAAATCTTGGGTGAGAACCTCCTTCCCTCAGCCAGGGCATTGAAAATGGGTTGTGGATGGGTATTCCAGCATGACAATGACCCAAAACACACGGCCAAGGCAACAAAGGAGTGGCTCAAGAAGAAGCACATTAAGGTCCTGGAGTGGCCTAGCCAGTAGAAAATCTGTGGAGGGAGCTGAAGGTTCGAGTTGCCAAACGTCAGCCTCGAAACCTTAATGACTTAGAGAAGATCTGCAAAGAGGAGTGGGACAAAATCCCTCCTGTATGTGTGCAAACCTGGTGGCCAACTACAAGAAACGTCTGACCTCTGTGATTGCCATCAAGGGTTTTGCCACCAAGTACTAAGTCATGTTTTGCAGAGGGGTCAAATACTTATTTCCCTCATTAAAATGCAAATCAATTTATAACATTTTTGACATGGGTTTTTCTGGATTTTTTTGTTGTTATTCTGTCTCTCACTGTTCAGATAAACCTACCATTAAAATTATAGACTGATCATGTCTTTGTCAGTTGGCAAACGTACAAAATCAGCAGGGGATCAAATACTTATTTCCCTCACTGTACTTCCAAAGTTGTGGAGAAATGGCTTAAGGACAACAAAGTCAAGGTATTGGAGTGGCCATCACAAAGCCCTGACCTCAATCCTATAGAAAATGTGTGGGCAGAACTGAAAAAGCATGTGCGAGCAAGGAGGCCTACAAACCTGACTCAGTTACACCAGCTCTGTCAGGAGGAATGGGCCTAAATTCACCCAACTTATTGTGGGAAGCTTGTGGAAGGCTACCCGAAACGTTTGACCCAAGTTAAACAATTTAAAGGCAATGATACCAAATACTAATTGAGTGTATGTAAACTTCTGACCCACTGGGAATGTGATGAAAGAAATAAAAGCTGAAATAAATCATTCTCTCTACTATTATTCTGACATTTCACATTCTTAAAATAAAGTGGTGATCCTAACTGACCTAAGACAGGGAATATTTACTAGGATTAAATGTCAGGAATTGTGAAAAACTGAGTTTAAATGTATTTGGCTAAGGTGTATGTAAACTTCCGACTTCAACTGTATACACAGTTTATTAGGTACACCCATCTAGTACCGGGTCGGACCCCATTTGCCTCCAGTACAGCCTGAATTCTTCGGGGAGTGGAAACGTTGCTCAGTTGGTATCAAGGGAACTAACGTGTTTCAGGAAAATATTCCCCACATCATTACACCACCGCCACCAGCCTGTACCGTTGACACCATGCAGGATGGGGCCATGGAGTAATGTTGTTACGCCAAATCCTGACTCTGCCATCAGCATGACGCAACAGGAACCGGGATTCATTGGCCCAGGCGATGTTTTTCCACTCCTCAATTGTCCAGTGTTGGTGATCGCGTGCTCACTGGAGCCGTTTCATCTTGTTTTTAGCTGATAGGAGTGGAAACCGGTTTAGTTGTCTGCTGCAATAGCCCATCCGTAACAAGGACCCTGACGAGTTGTGCATTCCGAGATGCCGTTCTGCACACCACTGTTAACGTATTACGCTGTTATTTGCCTGTTTGTGGCCTGCCTGTTAGCTTGCACGATTCTGGCCATTCTCCTTCGACCTCTCATCAACGAGCTGCTTTCACCCACAAGACTGCCGCTGACTGGATATTTTTTGTTTGTCGCACCATTCTCTGTAAACTCTAGACACTGTTGTACGTGAAAAGCCCAGGAGGCCGGCCGTTTGAGATACTGGAACCGGCGCGCCTGTCACCGGCGATCATACCACGCTCGAAGTGGCTCCAAGCCACATCCACGTGACTCACTGTATGTAGGAGCGAACTATTTCCGTGAACGGGTTGGTGTACCTAATAAACTGAGTATGTGTGTATATATACACTACCAGTCAAAAGTTTGGACACACCTACTCATTCAAGGGTTTTTCTTTATTTGTACTATTTTTTACATTGTAGAATAATAGTGAAGACATCAAAACTATGAAATAACACATATGGAATCATGTAGTAACCAGAAAAAGTGTTAAACATATCAAAATATATTTTATATTTGAGATTCTTCAAATAGCCACCCTTTGACTTGATGACAGCTTTGCACACTCTTGGCATTCTCTCAACCAGCTTCACCTGGAATGCTTTTCCAATATTCTTGAAGGAGTTCCCACATATGCTGAGCACTTGTTGGCTGCTTTTCCTTCACTCTGCGGTCCGACTCATCCCAAACCATCTGAATTTGGTTGAGGTCGGGGGATTGTGGAGGCCACGTCATCTGATGCAGCACATCACTCTCCATCTTGGTAAAATAGCCTTTACACAGCCTGGAGGTGTGTTGGGTCATTGTCCTGTTGAAAAACAAATGATAGTCCCACTAAGCCCAAACCAGTTGGAATAGCATATTGCTGCAGAATGCTGTGGTAGCCATGCTGGTTAAGTGTGCCTTGAATTCTAAATAAATTGCAGACAGTGTCACCAGCAAAGCACCCCCACACCATAACACCTCCTCCTCCATGCTTTACGGTGGGAACTACACATGCGGAAATCATCCGTTCACCCACACCGCGTCTCACAAAGACATGGCGGTTGGAACCAAAAATCTCAAATTTGGACTCCAGACCAAAGGACACATTTCCACCGGTCTAATGTCCATTGCTCGTGTTTCTTGGCCCAAGCAGGTCTCTTATTATTATTGGTGTCCTTTAGTAGTGGTTTCTTTGCAGCAATTCGCATGAAGGCCTGATTCACACAGTCCCCTCTGAACAGTTGATGTCGAGATATGTCTGTGACTTGAACTCTGTGAAGCATTTATTTGGGCTAACATTTGAGGCTGGTAACTCTAATGAACTTATCCTCTGCAGCAGAGGTCTCTGGATCTTCCTTTCCTGTGTTGGTCCTCATGAGAGCCAGTTTCATCATAGCGCTTGATGGTTTTTGCAACTGCACTTGAAGAAACTTTCAAAGTTCTTGAAATGTTCCGTATTGACTGACCTTCATGTCTTAAAGTAATGATGGACTGTCATTTCTCTTTGCTTATTTGAGCTGTTCTTGACATAATATGGACTTGGTCTTTTACCAAATATGGCTATCTTCTGTATACCCCCCCCCCCCCTACCTTGTCACAACACAACTGATTGGCTCAAACTCATTAAGAAGGAAAGAAATTCCAGAAATTAACTTAAGAAGGCACACCTGTTAATTGAAATGCATTCCAGGTGACTACCTGATGAAGCTGGTTGAGAGAATGCCAAGATCGCGGCAGGTGTTTATTTCGCCTTCGCAGAAGGCAGGAATCGTGGTCACAGGCAGGCAATGGTCACACACAGCTAAGAAAACAGGCAGGTGAATCAAAACTAGGACTGAAGACTATAACTGGTTCTCACAAACGAGTTAGGAAAAGGCTTAGTAGAGTCAAAACTAACAATACCTCACAAGGCACAAACAGAATTACTTAACTAAATAAGGAGCTGATGAGACCAGGTGAGTAACTAACACAGGTGAAATCAATGAACAAAAATGAAAGACAGGGCTACGTTAAACAACACAAAGAAACAGGGCTACGTTCAAGAACACAAGGTTGACTAAGAAAATAAATACAGAACCTTACAGTGCAAAGCTGTCATCAAGGCAAAGGGTGGCTATTTGAAGAATCTCCAATATAAAATATATTTGTTTAACACTTTTTTGGTTACTACATGATTCCATATGTGTTATTTCATAGTTTTGATGTCTTCACTATTATTCTACAATGTAAGAAATAGTAAAAATAAAGACAAACCCTTGAATGAGCAGGTGTGTCCAAACTTTTGACTGGTAGGATATATATATGTTTATATATATATATATATTGAAGTCGCATTCCTTCCCTCTACAGTATTCTTCTTGATGAGGAGGGCCACATCAAGATAACAGGTGACTAAAGACTGTTTTGAAAACATACAGCAGTGGTAGTTGCAGTAGTAGTTCGTTAGAATAGATGTAGCAGTAGTCTCTCTTCTACGTTGAATCAATTAAGCCCATAGCTGGTGGCTGTTTTCCTCTGTCTTTGACATCAATCCCTTTTATCAAATGTATTTTAGATTTCGGGCTGAGTAAAGAGGCAATAGACCATGACAAGCGAGCGTACTCCTTCTGCGGGACGATAGAGTATATGGCCCCTGAGGTGGTCAACAGAAGAGGACATACACAGAGTGCTGACTGGTGGTCGTTTGGTGTCTTAATGGTGTGGACCTCCCTCCCTTTCTTTTTGATAATGCATTACACACATACTATAGCTATTGGTTGGCTGCAGTGTTGCTGCAATAAAATCTCCAGTGCAGAGTTTCATATAGTGAAATGATGTTTGCACACAGTATGTGGACATGTAGTGCTATGCATACAGCCTGTATGACCAGGTCACTACACTTGCAACCTATAGTCAAAATGTGGATCTTAATGCAGAGACATCATAATGACGATGCATACTGGGATGGTAGTAGTCCACAACTTCTACGCCATACACTAGTCTCACCTCTTCAATCCTCTTATATTAAAAGATTAATGCCGATTGAATAGAGCCAGACCTGTTATAATAAGGTTGCTGCAGACTAATCCACACATACACACATTACTCCACCACCTCTAAAGAACAAAGGACTCCCTAATGGTTTCTTAGCTCAGTATTTTAGCCTCACGTTAAAACCAGATCAATACAAACCTTGTCAAATGTATCCCTTTAGGGCCAGAAATTATAACGCAAGCTTTGCTCTCTCCAAAAGAAACCCGCCAGGCACTCTCACTGATATCACCTTGAAGACACATTTCAGTTGAATGCATTCAGTTGTACATCTGACTAGGTATCCCACTTTCCCTTTCCCTTTGCGCTGCATCTGCAGTGTTAGAAGAAGTGCATGTGTAGTAACTGGAAAATATTATTATCCTATATCATGCCATAGTATAGTGAGTTTGTCAGCCAAGAAACGGTCAAAATTGTGGTGAAACACATTATATTGTTTTGTAAAGAGATTTAGAGGATTGGCACGGACATTGTTTGTCTTTATTTTCAGTTTGAAATGCTGACAGGATCTCTACCATTTCAAGGCAAAGATCGCAAGGAAACAATGGCCCTCATACTAAAGTAAGATACGACAATTTGTATGGCAATTATATATGAAATACGTTACTTTGTGAAATAATTTTTTAATATATTTTTCTGTTTTGTAGGGCAAAACTTGGCATGCCGCAATTCTTAAGCCCAGAGGTGCAAAGTTTAATACGGGCCCTCTTCAAAAGAAATCCTACCAATAGATTAGGTATGTAGTTTATTAAAGTGTGTCATTTCACATGCTCCTCTAATTGGAAGACTAATTTACAGCATTAGATAAGCCATTTCTCATTTTTTAAATGTGACACAGACTGCATTGAAATCGGAATCTTAGCTCATCTTCACGTTGAGGGTTTTAGGGACAGTGCAGGCTAGAAAGCACAGTTACCGCATGTTCTCTCTTACCCCTCGGTGGAAGCTGGTTGACCAGTGTTAGGATTGAATATAACCACATTAATCACTTCCTCCATGATTTATAAGATGGAGAGTAATGTCAAGCTAAATATCAACTGTACCACAGGCATCACTAGCGTGGTACCTGTGGTGCAGTCAGCTTCAAGCCAGAAGTCATTCTTTATGTATGATTGCGGTAAATATTAGTAACAACTTACTTAAAGTAGAGAGGTTTAATGCTTTATTACGTGTTATACAACCGGTGGGTCTAATCCTGAATGCTGATTGGTTAAAACCGCATTCCAGCCGGTGTCTATTCCACAAGTTACCACCGGCTAAATCTTTAACGTTAAAACGCCTATTTACTCTGTTCCATCTGACTGCACAATCCACTGTCTCATCAGTCTAGCCAAGAAATGTATAAACTGGATCTCCACTATAAAAAGCATCTAGACATCAACAGCGGAGATTTGTATAAACCTTGCTGTCTGTCTCTCCGACATGTGCAACATTGTTTCAATATTCAAATTCAATCTCCAGCTGTCCCATAGTAATGAACGTGCCGGGATGAGACAGACAGGCAGGCAGTGTTTCTCAGCCAGTCGAAATAATGAATAATGTGGCATAATTTTTATGGATATATACAAAGAAATGTAAATTGAAAAAAGGTAAAACAAAACGAAGTGCAACAAGTGCAATCTTTCCAGCTTCAGTTTGAAGTGATTGTGTTAGCTGTGTTGTTGGTCATCTCCTCTGAACAACAGTGTCCTGACGAGTGAGCATATTTTCTGTGCCAGGCGAAATCGCACCTCATTAGCTCATTGTTATGGATGTATCCATATACATTTCACTAGAAAACAGCTTAAACAAATGCAAATGCAGCTACTTTGCTGTTATTCTGGCTGCACTTTTTGACGTGACTGTAAGTTAGCCGTAATTGGCTAGCTAGCAAGCAAGGGATAAGAACGTTTCCAGCCAGTATGGCTATGGAACATTTAGAACTAACAACTTGTTCGCGTCCATAGATACAGAACAATAAGACTGAACGGCTGGGTCGCGATAGAACGAACGACCAGCCGGCTTGGGTAGCAACCCTAGATTTGTGTCGGGACTAAATCTTGCGGAAGGATGAAATAGTATGAATAAATTCCTCAAAATAACGTTTTGAATTAAAATATGTCAATCATTATTTGAATATGTTGGTAACCCGTTGTATAAAAATGATACCGTGTTAGATTCTACTGCACTGTTGGAGCTAGGAACACAAGCATTTCGCTACACCAGCAATAACATCTGCTAAATATGTGTATGTGACCAATAAAATTTGATTTGATTTAATTTGATAATGCCCTCGAAGCCGGTGTTTGTAGGATATATTGGCACGGACTACGTCTCGGGCCTAACAACACCAGTGGCAATATATCCTCCAAACACCAGCTTCTCAGGCATTATCACTTAATTATATGCATGTATATGAGCCTTTACAGTTGAAGTCGGAAGTTTACATACACCTTAGCCAAATACGTTTAAACTCACAATTCCTGACATTTAATCCTAGTACAAATTCCCTGTCTTAGGTCAGTTAGGATCACCACTTTATTTTAAGAATGTGAAATGTCAAAATAATAGTAGTGTCAAAGTTGCGTCAATTCAAATCTGGCATTAGGAACAAAAGAGGTCAACACGACTTCTAAGATATACTAGTTATTTTAATTAATGCAAAAACCTTCAATGGTAAATATGATGTTTCGTATATACGGGCTCTCTGAAATACCTCGCAGGGCACCCCAGAGAACTAATCCATTGTTCTAGGATCTTGCTCAAATACTCTGACAGAGAGAGTTTCCCACCTCTCTGCTGGCCAATTAGAGTAAAGACTTGAGCGTGGTTTAGACTTACTCAGCCAATCCGTTGATGTACCCCTGTTGCCAGGCATAAGTCCATATCATAACAACCTGTCATAGTGAGAAGAGCCAGCTCCCTTAGACACCATTCCTACGTCCAAGGAAGGTTCACAGATCACAAAGAACCAGTATATTCCAGTATCTGGAGACAAAATCCTTATCTCATTTTACCCCCTAAAACAGCTCTTCACATCAATCACAGCCTGCCAGGTGACACAACCTACATTAGCCCAGTCAAGAATGCATTCTTTTTAAGTTAGTCAACCCATCAATTATAAAAATAATAAATCTCTCACAATCCCCCTTTTCACACCCCTTAGGGTGTGATTCAAAAAATAAGAAAACACAGGGTGTCATTCATTATAATACAATACAAACAAAAATAATCACACTTTTATTAATAGGCCATAATGATACTAAAAAATTTGGTTCCTAAAATCCTCTGGCTGCAACAAAGAGGAGAGATTAGTCATGGTCTCTTTTAGTTGTGTTATTCTCTGTGTAGGATCAGAGCTAAGATGCCCTACTCTGTATCCTATCTTACTAGTCCTAGAAAAACAATTAGAATCCCCTGAGACTTCAAACGTAGGCAACCTATGTCGGAATGACTTTGTTATCGGGGGATATAGATAGTTCAAGTTACCATAAGACTCTTTCACCACATGCCCAGGTGGCTTGCATGGAGGATAAACCTGTTTTTGCGTACTTCAGACTTTCAGACAGTACCTACCCTTCTATGGGTCGCACTGCCATTTCTGGTAATTCCCTACTTTCACAATACTACACCTGTCCCTAAACTGTGTATGGAGATCTACATATCCCCCCCCCCCCCCCCCCCCCCCCCCCCCCCCCGCTCGGTATGAGCAACTACATAATCCCAGGATGTACATGGTGACATACATATGGTGATGTCCTCCCCTAAAGTCCCTAGTACTTCCCCTTTCCCTACGTCTAGCTGTCTCCTATGCCTTCGTAGACTGTGCTCAGGTATTATTTTATCAACTTGTTTTAGGTTAACTACTACTTCTGGCTGATCAGGAGGGTTTGAGTGTGTTAGGAATATGGCCCCCACAATCAGACAGCTACCTACCGTCAGGAGACCTGTGAATCCCCACCCTCGCCCTGAGAACATGTCAGACGCCAACCCATTGCTTCACCTTCTACCGAACTCACACAGGGATGATCAGATAGGGTAAGGGAATCTTCGTTAAGGAGCCAACCCCCGAGCCCTAATGGTGATCGGTTCTTTCTCTTAACTCTGTGTTTGTTCATCAGGTGTAACTGGGTTTACCTTTTTGCAGTGTGTGACATGCACCCAGGTGGATCTAATAGGACTTGATAGGGCCCTTCCCAACAGGCCTGCTTCCAGTTTTTCTTATTTTAGGGACTGGATCCACACCCAGTCTCCTGGTGAGATAGAGTGGGTCACCCTCTCCTTTAGTTCACCTGTGGGGCACAAAACCTCTGACATACAGGTGTGGTTAATAAACTATCTTCACACATACATGTTGAGCTCTCAATTTCTATTGTTTTTTTTGTTTTTTTTTAGTATTTTTATTTATTTAATCCTATCATTATTATTTAATCCTATCACTCCCCCTTTTTGACACATGATTTGCCCATGTGTCAATATTACCACCTTTCTAAACCATCCCTTAGGTAATTTATCATCCAATTGCCATGCCTTTCATTTTTGAGATTGTCTTTTGCTTCTTTATTGCTCCTCCCACTTCCTTTGTCTTTTATGGCAGCTAAATTCGACTTTCATCCAGTTCAGAATCAATTAGTAATCCAATCTTCAATCTCTTATCTTGTAAAAACACTCATGTTTAGTTCAAACTCTGTTCTACCCAGGCTCTCCCGGGCTTGACCTGAAGACTAATTGTTGGACATGACAAGTCTATTTTTAGGTCACCTAAGTCTTCTGTCTAGCAACAAAGAATAAAAATCTCTATGTTCATGATTAACCCAGTTATATCTAATAGCCCACCAAAAACCTAATCGTCTTTAAATCACGACCAATGTCATATCCCTCTTTACTCTCTACCATTTGGATAACATCCCTGATGTATATATGCCTCCTTAGAGTTCCAAATTACTTTACCATGGGCTGCCATTGCCTTCCCATAGATAAGATCACTTAATTTACCCGTATGCAGTACATAATGGAGTACCCAAGCTTTACAGCAGTTTATCATTACCAAAAGCTCATCATTTGTTTTTTGTTTAACGGTTTTGGCGCTTCAAGTATAGCAGTTTTCCTGGATGAGTTTAACATTCACCCCTCCTGAGTTATAGTGTGTCCTAGGTAAATGACCTCGCTCTGCCAAAGTTGAAGTTTCTTTTTGCTCACTTTGTGTCCCTGTTCTGCCAGGAAGGTTAACAATTGGATTGTATCCCTCTTACATCCCTCCTGAGTGGGATTAGCCAATAGAATATCATCTACATAAACTAACATTTGGCTTCCTTCCCTAGGTTCAAACTTTCCCAAATTCCTAGTTATAGCCTGGGTTAAGATTGTAAGACTTTCCGAGTAGCCTTGAGGCATCCTAGCGTAAGTCCATTTCCGTCCCTGAAAAGTAAAGCCAAACCACCCCTGACTATCCGGATGAACTGTGATTCTAAAGAAAGCATTAGCTAAATCTATCACTGTAAAATAGGAGTTCTCTGGTTTCAATTGGTTCAGCAATGTATGTGGATCTGGTACTCATGGAGCTCTGGGAATTATATTTCTATTAACCCCCTGCAAGTCCATGACCATCCTCCAGTCGGCGCTAGGTGCCGCCTTTTTAACAGGAAATACTGGAGAGTTGCATTGTGCCTCATCTCCAGGAATTATCACCCCTCCCTTAAGTAAATGCTGAAATGTAGGTGTTATCCCTTTTATTGCTTCTGGTTTCATAGTATATTGCTTTTGGTATGGTCTATTATCGGATCGAGGAATCACTTGTACTGGAGCTACCCCCTTAATTAGTCCTACATCTGCTGTCCTTGTGACCATAATTTTGAAGGAATTGCTGCTAACTCAGCCTCCTGTTCCTGAGTTAAGAAAATCTCTTCCTGTCATCCGTTAAAACTTATCTCCAAGTGGACCCCGGGCAGGGTTTTTGCTCTCCAATTTAACTTTCTTCTATATCTCCCAGTGGAGTGGCCATACTGATCCCCATTTGGTGTATTCTGCTAATCAGTAATGTTTTTCCCCTGTTTTATCCATTTACCTAGTGATAACCATTCCTCTGAATGTTCTTTCACTAGGGCAACATGGGGGCTCCACCTTTCTCTGTACAGCCTCTGGCTCTGTGAACCCATGTTAACCCAATTTGAAAAAACAACAATCACAAATAGCCAGGCCTCACTCAATTTGATAGCTCACTTTTATGACCTAAATACTGCCTAACTGAGATGAGCTAATCTCTTTCTCCTGGTTATAATCTAAAGATGGTAGTATACACAAAACATGTGTCACACCCTGGTTCTGGGACTCATTATGTTGAGCCAGGGTGTGTGCAGTCTATGTGTTTATGTTCTATGTTGGGTGTCTAGGTTGTTGTTTTCTATGTTTGGTCAATGACTCCCAATCGGAGGTAACGAGTGTCAGCTGTCGGCTCGTTATCTCTGATTGGGAGCCATATTTATACTGTGTGTTTTCACCTTGGGGTTGTGGGTTTTTGTTCTTTATTCAGTCGGTGTAACTGAGGACGTCACGGATCGTGTTTTGTTTTGTCGTGTGTTTCAAAATTAAAATCATCATGTTCACTCCCAACGCTGCGCTTTGGTCATACTTCATTGGCGATCGTGACAGAAAAACCCACCAAAGAAAGACCAAGCAGCGTGTCCAGGAGCAAGGAGACTGGACATGGGAGGAAGCGCCGGGCAAGGAGATAGAGAGGCTGGCGATGGCCCAGGTGGGCACATCGTGGTCCTGGGAGGACACGCTCGGAGGCAAGGGACCTTGGGGAAGGATCAAGGCCCTGGCGAGAGAGGAGCAATGGCGGCAGCAGGGCCATCGTCGGAGGGTCGTGAGTCAACCCCAGAAAATTTTTAGGGGGGGGGCACACGGCATGGACGACGGGGCTGACGGAGGAGAAAAGGGGGAGTATCCAGGAGGCCACCAGGCCAGGGGTACACCGCCCTGTATGTCCTGTGCGGATGCCTCACACAGAGTGTGTGAGGGTAGGCATTCAGCCAGGACGGGTGGTGTCCGCTGTTCGCTCCAGGCCTCCTATCCGTCTCCACAGCCCGGTCCGGCCTGTTCCTGCCACCCGCACCAAGTCTACGGTGTGCGTCGCCAGCCCGGTCCGGCCTGTTCCTGCCACCCGCACCAAGTCTACGGTGTGCGTCGCCAGCCCGGTCCGGCCTGTTCCTGCCACCCGCACCAAGTCTACGGTGCGCGTCGCCAGCCCGGTCCGGCCTGTTCCTGCCACCCGCACCAAGTCTACGGTACGCGTCGCCAGCCCGGTCCGGCCTGTTCCTGCCACCCGCACCAAGACTACGGTGTGCGTCGCCAGCCCGGTCCGGCCTGTTCCTGCCACCCGCACCAAGTCTACGGTGCGCGTCGCTCGGCCAGAGTCTGCCGTCTGCCCAACGGCGCCTGAACTGCCCGTCTGCCCAACGGCGCCTGAACTGCCCGTCTGCCCAACGGCGCTTGAACTGCCCGTCTGCCCAACGGCGCCTGAACTGCCTGTCTGCCCAACGCCGTCTGAACTGTCCGTCTGCCAAGCGCTGCATAAGCCGCCCGTCTGCCATGAGCCTTCAGAGCCGTCCGCCAGACCGGAGCCGCTAGAGCCTTCCGCCAGACAGGATCAGCCAGAGCCTTCCGCCAGACAGGATCAGCCAGAGCCTTCCGCCAGACAGGATCAGCCAGAGCCTTCCGCCAGACAGGATCAGCCAGAGCCTTCCGCCAGACAGGATCAGCCAGAGCCTTCCGCCAGACAGGATCAGCCAGATCCGTCAGCCAGCCATGAGCAGCCAGATCCGTCAGCCAGCCATGAGCAGCCAGATCCGTCAGCCAGCCATGAGCAGCCAGATCCGTCGGCCAGCCATGAGCAGCCAGATCCGTCGGCCAGCCATGAGCAGCCCGATCCGTCGGCCAGCCATGAGCAGCCAGATCCGTCAGCCAGCCATGAGCAGCCAGATCCGTCGGCCAGCCATGAGCAGCCAGATCCGTCGGCCAGCCATGAGCAGCCAGATCCGTCGGCCAGCCATGAGCAGCCAGATCCGTCGGCCAGCCATGAGCAGCCAGATCCGTCGGCCAGCCATGAGCAGCCAGATCTGTCAGCCAGCCATGAGCAGCCAGATCCTTCAGCCAGCCATGAGCCGTCCAGCCAGGATCCGCCAGAGCCAGCCAGCCAGGATCCGCCATTGAGTCCGGTGCTGTCCCTTAGCCCGGTGCTGCCCCTTATCCTGGTGCTGCCCCTTAGTCCGGTACTGCCCCTTAGTCCGGTGCTGTCCCTTAGTCCGGTGCTGCCCCTTAGCCTGGTGCTGCCCCTTAGTCCGGTGCTGGCCCTTAATCTAGTGGGGTTAAGGTGGAGGGTGGTCATTTGGAGGAGGCTACGTAAGCGGGTAGTGACTATGGTGGGGTGGTGGTCTAGGCCGGAGCCAGAACCGCCACCGAGGAGGTATGCCCGCCCAGCCCTCCCCTGTTTGGGGGTTTTGAGGCGCGGTCGCAGTCCGCGCCTTTAGGGGGGGGTACTGTCACACCCTGGTTCTGGGACTCATTATGTTGAGCCAGGGTGTGTGCAGTCTATGTGTTTATGTTCTATGTTGGGTGTCTAGGTTGTTGTTTTCTATGTTTGGTCAATGACTCCCAATCGGAGGTAACGAGTGTCAGCTGTCGGCTCGTTATCTCTGATTGGGAGCCATATTTATACTGTGTGTTTTCACCTTGGGGTTGTGGGTTTTTGTTCTTTATTCAGTCGGTGTAACTGAGGACGTCACGGATCGTGTTTTGTTTTGTCGTGTGTTTCAAAATTAAAATCATCATGTTCACTCCCAACGCTGCGCTTTGGTCATACTTCATTGGCGATCGTGACAACATGATACAGATATCCCCAGTCTTAACCCATCAATAATTGTTTGTATCAATCTAATTCCTCATAACTAATCCATTAAACCACTCAAAATTCCTCGAGTATACAATGATTATTTAATTAATTACCCTAACTCTGCTACATGTGATCTCATCTCAAATGATCCATTATCAATTATTTGTTCAACCCCCTAGGAAAATCTGTCTCCCCTTCTATTGTTCCTGTCCCTACTGTTTCACCAATCCAGAACCCACCACAGGCTGGCGCTATTTCCCCAGCACAACAGCCATTGCACACTTTCATCCTAACCAAAATAAATTATCGTTCTAAAATTGTCCAACTATTTTGTATTTTCCCGCTAACCCATTTCAGTTCGCTATTCAATTTCTTTAACTGTTCTCTCTGATTAGGCCCTAATTAATAAAACAAATACTTGCTATCGTTTATCAGCATACGCTTAATGACATTCCTACCATCTGAACTATGTCCTGTCTCTTACATCTCCTCCCCCTCTCCTGCTCCTTCCTACATTATGGGGGAGGCGCGGGAAACTTCCCTACAATCTTCCTTCTTAGGTAATAATGTCATTCGTACCTGTAACATATTTTCATAGACCTATCTAAAATATTACTAAAGCTATCTTATGCAACTTTTAATACACGTAAAAACTCTCTCTCTCTCTACCCATTCCCTGTTGAATAAGTGAGTCTTTTTATTTAACCCCTAAACACGCTACAAATAGTCCATTCAACATTACCAAACCAAATACTCCATCGTACAAATTCGATCAACACATCAGCAGTGGAATTTACACTCATAAATGCAGATTGTTACTCCATGCCTTGAAATGATAAATAGATTTCCACCAATAGCATATTACTGATTTCTCATTTTACCCTCTGACACAAAATGAAGTTCCCTCACTGTACTACGTTAGCTCTACCATGATAATTAGTTCAATTGAACCCTCCATCTGCTTTGTACTATATTATACATTACGTCTAAAACAACATTACTTATGGTCAGTTTATTCCACCATCACATGATCCAACAACGCCACAATCTTAAACTCATATGGGGCGGCAGGCAGTTTAGTGACCAATAGCGCCGCGCCAACAACCGAGAGGTCGCCGGTTCCAATCCCCGAGCCGACCAGGCGAAAAATCTGCCGATGTGCCCTCGAGCAAGGCACTCAACCCCAATTGCTCCCATAAATCGCTCTGGACAAGAGCGTCTGCCAAATTACCAAAAATGCAAATGTAAATATTCTCTACTTTCTCACCCATGACGCACGTCTACGCTCGGGTGAGCAAGTTTAGAACATTCTCTCGTCAGATACCCACATGCGTTCCCAGCCAACTCCCAGTCTTTTCTGGCTCCAAAAGCCACACTTTCGCTCTCTCCAGCCCCTCCCCTCGCAACTCTACTTCTTTCCCGTTCAGGGGGAACAGGCTTTTTGAGGAGCTGTGAGGAGCTGTTTCTCGTTTTAGCGCGTTTCCAATATTCTGCCGTTATTCAAAATACTTTAGTCTATTTATTTAAATCGAATAATTCCCACCTAATTAGTTAAAGTTGGTGCACGTTTATATTTAAACGATAAACCGAATTATTTCAGTCTAATTGTTTAACCAGTATTTTGCAGGGTCAAACGTCAAACATTACATCAAATAATCTACAAAAAAGCCTCAACCCAAGCACCTATAACCAGAATTATGCTATGTCTAACACCAAACGGCACAGTTCAAACATATCAGCTCAACCGTTTCAGTTCAGTCACACAATTCATCACTTTAGCTTTATGTTCCCAATTGTTTTTAACGGGTTATATGGTTTAAGCAACCACAAATCCAACAGTTATTCCCAAATTATACCGTTTGGATAGTCACAAACGTCTTTTGATTCCCAATTTGTTTTCTATCAAGGTATACAGGTTTATCATTCACACTTTCATGCATACGACAACACTCGCACTGTCTAACTTTTTATAGTACCTCCTATGGGTGTCTTTTGTTAACGTTTGCACAATTTAAACCTTATTTCCTAATTGTAATTCTCATTATTTACTGTTTTAAAATATTCTTTGTATTCACAGCCAAAAATGGTACACAGTTAAACGTAGTATACAGTTATCACACAGCAAAAATAGTACACAGTTATCACACTCACTCACAATACACAGTCATAATCCTATCACACAGTCAAATATGTCACACAGTCATAAATGACACACTTATATTCCACACACAATCTATTTGGGCACACAGCCGCTTCTATTTGGGCACACAGTCTCCTCTACTATCTTTAAAAAATACTCAGCTGAACCTAGCCATATCCTCGAAGTTATGGACCTTGCCAGTCGCTAGTATTTATCTATAATTTCCCGAACCTAGCCGTATCCTCGTAGTTACGGACCTTGCCGGTGTAATTCTTCAAACCTTAGTCGTACTGTCATAGTTACGAACCTTGCCGATAGCAATTACTTAAATCAATTATTCCCTATATCTAAAATTTCCCGAACCTAGCCATATCCTCGTAGTTACGGACCTTGCCGGTGTAATTCTTCGAACCTTAGTCGTACTGTCGTAGTTACGAACCTTGCCGATAGCAATTACTTAAATCAATTATTCCCTATATCTCCTAACCTTAGCCGTATTGTCGCAATTACGGACCTTGCCGGTAGATGTCAGTATTGTCTCCTGAAGCTAGCCGTATCCCACGGACCTTGCCGGTAGCACAAAATACTCTCTGGTACCATGGTTTAACATCACATTTACCAAAGGTTTGCATGTCACAATATTGTGCTTGTCTACTCATAATAGTTTCATAATTTAGTTCACTTACATCAACCAGTTGTTTCACAAAATTAATTTGAATAAAGCCAATGTGCAGATCTTTAGTTATTTAACAATAGGTATCTGCTTACCTTTTTAGAAGCCCGGGCACTTTGTGAAACACACGGTTCGATGAAAGAGGTGACCAAATGGGCCGGACATTACCCAGCGAAGTCCCTTCTACCAGATCACGTCGAGTGTCACCAATTGTCAATTCAAATCTGGCATTAGGAACAAAAGAGGTCAACACGACTTCTAAGATATACTAGTTATTTTAATTAATGCAAAAACCTTCAATGGTAAATATGATGTTTCGTATATACGGGCTCTCTGAAATACCTCGCAGGGCACCCCAGAGAACTAATCCATTGTTCTAGGATCTTGCTCAAATACTCTGACAGAGAGAGTTTCCCACCTCTCTGCTGGCCAAATAGAGTAAAGACTTGAGCGTGGTTTAGACTTACTCAGCCAATCCGTTGATGCACCCCTGTTGCCAGGCATAAGTCCATATCATAACAACCTGTCATAGTGAGAAGAGCCAGCTCCCTTAGACACCATTCCTACGTCCAAGGAAGGTTCACAGATCACAAAGAACCAGTATATTCCAGTATCTGGAGACAAAATCCTTATCTCATTTTACCCCCTAAAACAGCTCTTCACATCAATCACAGCCTGCCAGGTGACACAACCTACATTAGCCCAGTCAAGAATGCATAGTTAGTCATCCCATCAATTATAAAAATAATAAATCTCTCACAGTAGAGAGAATGATTTATTTCAGCTTTAATTTCTTTCATCACATTCCCAGTGGGTCAGAAGTTTACATACACTCAATTAGTATTTGGTAGCATTGCCTTTAAATTGTTTAACTTGGGTCAAATGTTTCGGGTAGCCTTCCACAAGCTTCCCACAATAAGTTGGGTGAATTTTGGCCCATTCCTCCTGACAGAGCTGGGGTAACTGAATCAGGTTTGTAGGCCTCCTTGTCTCCTTGCTCGCACACGCTTTTTCAGTTCTGCCCACTAATTTTCTATAGGATTGAGGTCAGGGCTTTGTGATGGCCACTCCAATACCTTGACTTTGTTGTCCTTAAGCCATTTTGCCACAACTTTGGAAGTATCCTTGGGGTCATTGTCCATTTGGAAGACCAATTTGCGACCAAGCTTTAACTTCCTGACTGATGTCTTGAGATGTTGCTTCAATATATCCACATAATTTTCCTTCCTCATGATGCCATCTATTTTGTGAAGTGCACCAGTCCCTCCTGCAGCAAAGCATCCCCACAGCATGATGCTGCCACCCCCATGCTTCACAGTTGGGATGGTGTTCTTCGGCTTGCAAGGCACCCCCTTTTTCCTCCAAAAATAACGATGGTCATTATGGCCAAACAGTTCTATTTTTGTTTCATCAGACCAGAGGACATTTCTCCAAAAAGTACGATCTTTGTCCCCATGTGCAGTTGCAAACCGTAGTCTGGCTTTTTTATGGCGGTTTTTTGAGCAGTGGCTTCTTCCTTGCTGAGCGGCCTTTCAGGTTATGTCGATATAGGACTCATTTTACTGTGGATATAGATACTTTTGTACCTGTTTCCACCAGCATCTTCACAACCTTTGCTGTTGTTCTGGGATTGATTTGCACTTTTCGCACCAAAGTACGTTCATCTCTAGGAGACAGAACGTGTCTCCTTCCTGAGCGGTATGACGGCTGCGTGGTCCCATGGTGTTTATACTTGCGTACTATTGTTTGTACAGATGAACGTGGTACCTACAGGCATTTGGAAATTGCTCCCAAGGTGGAACCAGACTTGTGGAGGTCTACAATTTTTTTTCTGATGTCTTGGCTGATTTCTTTTGATTTTCCCATGATTTCAAGCAAAGAGGCACTGAGTTTGAAGGTAGGCCTTGAAATACATCCACAGGTACACCTCCAATTGACTCAAATGATGTCAATTAGCCTATCAGTAGCTTCTAAACCCATGACATCATTTTCTGGAATTTTCCAAGCTGTTTAAAGGCACAGTCAACCTAGTGTATGTAAACTTCTGACCCACTGGAATTGTGATACAGTGAATTATAAGTGAAATAATCTGTCTGTAAACAATTGTTGGAAAAATTGCTTGTGTCATGCTCAAAGTAGATGTCCTAACTGACTTATCAAAACTATAGTTTGTTAACAAGACATTTGTGGAGTGCTTGAAAAACTAGTTTTAATGACTCCAACCTAAGTGTCTGTAAATTTCCGACTTCAACTGTATGTATTACTGCATAGGGCTTATATGTGATCTATTTTACTACCGGAGACCCTTGTTTAAAAATCATGCCTAGAGAGTGTAGACTAATATTCCCCATAATGCCCCATATTCTCACTGAATAAGATGGTGGAGCAGAGATACTTGAGATATAATTTTTGTAAGTGAGCAATTACAGCCCAGTGAAGCTAAAAAGAGTATTCAATCTAAATGTTCTGGTGTATTTTACTGTTAGGTGCTGGACCAGATGGAGTTGAGGAGATTAAAAGGCATAATTTCTTTGGAAATATAGATTGGAATGTGAGTATAAAGCTCTTCATAACCCTTTCTAGAAATCATTAAAGGCAAAGATGACCACCCATTGCTTCGGATATGTCCTCCTGAGGATTTCGATTTGATTGTTATACCTTCTGACAAGAAGTAAAGGTATTTTACCCCAGACCTTGTACTTACAGATGTAGGACCTTACATTTTTGCCAGTTTTCTACAGCAGTAAAATAATCCTGCAGCAACAGGAAATGTAAATTAATATGTGGATTATAATTCATGGACATTTTTGTAGGTGATGATAAATTTTTTGTAAGGGGAAAAAAAGTCTGAAATGTCTAAATGGAAATTACAAACTTCAGAAGCCTTTTTAAAACTTAAATACAAGTTTTACATTTCCTGCATTGCAGGACAGTTCATGTGCAACAGGGCCCTTCTCCTGCAACAGGATCCTACATCTGTAGCTCAAATACTAAATGGAAAAATAAAAGTTGTATTTTTCCTTTCCCCCTCATGGTGAAACTACAGAAACTTTACAGAAGAGAGATCAAGCCTCCATTCAAACCAGCAGTGGGCAGGCCAGAAGACACCTTCCACTTTGACCCTGAATTCACCTCCCGCACACCAACAGGTGATTGGTAATTGTAGGTGTAGTAGTTCATCTGTGCGTGCGTGCGTGCCTGTGTACGTGCTTGCATCCCTGTCGCCTCATAATTTCATTAATCATGATGTTATGTTTTACTTCATGCTGTTTGCTTCATTTGTATGCTGTTTACTCAGAATAATAATTTCTCCATGCATCTGGGTTACACACTGACATAAATTTGCCACTCAATTACTGACAAACCCCTTCTTATAATATCCACATAAACTCACACTTATATATCCACATAAAGTCACCCAGCCGCAACTTTAAATCTTTGAATTTTGAATCCTCTGAAATGATGATATCCTTCAATGGATCATAGTCCATGGGCAATGGAAATGTGGTACAAAAGTACCAATATTTAGCCTCCTATATCAGCTGCTAGTGTGCAAAGTCAGAGCTGGGCAGTTGCCTGTCGACAAGACCCTCTAGGCCACAGCTATCCAGTACAATGAGACTAACCTTCTCAGAAGTCAATTAATGATAACTGACATTCAATCAACTGATGTGATGTATTTCCAGTTGCCAATGTGTCCATGTTTGTCTCATATCTGCCTGTTAGACAGTAGTGGTTGTAACATTTCTGTATCCTTCTCCCATCAGACTCGCCGGGCATCCCTCCCAGTGCCAACACACACCAGCTCTTCAGAGGGTTCAGCTTTGTGGCCACAAATCTGGACCAGGAGCAGTCCATTGCTGAAATACGGCAGAACTCAACTGTCAACACTATTGTCCAAGTGAGTATGATAGGCTAGAGGGAGGGGACTAATCATCTCAGTTATTCAGCTCTATCAACCATGCTCTATTTAAATACTTCAAATAATCAAAAATATTTATATTTTGTAGATAATATGACGTCCTTCAGGCTATTGTCTTTATATACAGTGGGGAAAAAAAGTATTTATTCAGCCATCAATTGTGCAAGTTCTCCCACTTAAAAAGATGAGAGAGGCCTGTAATTTTCATCATAGGTACACGTCAACTATGAAAGACAAATTGAGAAAAAAATATCCAGAAAATCACATTGTAGGATTTTTTATGAATTTATTTGCAAATTATGGTGGAAAATAAGTATTTGGTCACCTACAAACAAGCAAGATTTCTGGCTCTCACAGACCTGTAACTTCTTCTTTAAGAGGCTCCTCTGTCCTCCACTCGTTACCTGTATTAATGGCATCTGTTTGAACTTGTTATCAGTATAAAAGACACCTGTCCACAACCTCAAACAGTCACACTCCAAACTCCACTATGGCCAAGACCAAAGAGCTGACAAAGGACACCAGAAACAAAATTGTAGACCTGCACCAGGCTGGGAAGACTGAATCTGCAATAGGTAAGCAGCTTGGTTTGAAGAAATCAACTGTGGGAGCAATTATTAGGAAATGGAAGACATACAAGACCACTGATAATCTCCCTCGATCTGGGGCTCCACGCAAGATCTCACCCCGTGGGGTCAAAATGATCACAAGAACGGTGAGCAAAAATCCCAGAACCACACGGGGGGACCTAGTGAATGACCTGCAGAGAGCTGGGACCAAAGTAACAAAGCCTACCATCAGTAACACACTACGCCGCCAGGGACTCAAATCCTGCAGTGCAAGACGTGTCCGCCTGCTTAAGCCAGTACATGTCCAGGCCTGTCTGAAGTTTGCTAGAGTGCATTTGGATGATCCAGAAGAGGATTGGGAGAATGTCATATGGTCAACTCGTCGTGTTTGGAGGACAAAGAATGCTGAGTTGCATCCAAAGAACACCATACCTACTGTGAAGTATGGGGGTGGAAACATCATGCTTTGGGGCTGTTTTTCTGCAAAGGGACCAGGACGACTGATCTGTGTAAAGGAACGAATGAATGGGGCCATGTATCGTGAGATTTTGAGTGAAAACCTCCTTCCATCAGCAAGGGCATTGAAGATGAAATGTGGCTGGGTCTTTCAGCATGACAATGATCCCAAACACACCGCCCGGGCAATGAAGGAGTGGCTTCGTAAGAAGCATTTCAAGGTCCTGGAGTGGCCTAGCCAGTCTCCTGATCTCAACCCCATAGAAAATCTTTGGAGGGAGTTGAAAGTCTGTGTTGCCCAGCGACAGCCCCAAAACATCACTGCTCTAGAGGAGATCTGCATGGAGGAATGGGCCAAAATACCAGCAACAGTGTGTGAAAACCTTGTAAAGACTTACAGAAAATGTTTGACCTGTGTCATTGCCAACAAAGGGTATATAACAAAGTATTGAGAAACTTTTGTTATTGACCAAATACTTATTTTCCACCATAATTTGCAAATAAATTCATTAAAAATCCTACAATGTGATTTTCTGGAATTTTTTTTCTCATTTTGTCTGTCATAGTTGACGTGTATCTATGATGAAAATTACAGGCCTCTCTCATCTTTTTAAGTGGGAGAACTTGCACAATTGGTGGCTGACTAAATACTTTTTTTCCCCACTGTATATACACACTACCTACCCCTGTAGCTCAGTTGGTAGAGCATGGCGCTTGCAACGCCAGGGTTGTGGGTTTGTTTCCCACGGGGGGCCAGTATGAAAAATGTTATGTACTCACTAACTGTATGTCGCTCTGGATAAGAGCGTCTGCTAAATGACAAAAAAAAAAATGTAAAATGTAAATACAAAAGATAGCCCTATTTGGTAAAAGACCAAGTCCATATTATGTCAAGAACAGCTCAAATAAGCAAAGAGAAACGACAGTCCATCATAACTTTAAGACATGAAGGTCAGTCAATCCAGAAAATGTCAAGAACTTTGAAAGTTTCTTCAAGTGCAGTTGCAAAAACTATCAAGCGCTATGATGAAACTGGCTCTCATGAGGACCGCCACAGGAAAGGAAGACCCAGAGTTACCTCTGCCGCAGAGGATAAGTTCGTTAGAGTTACCAGCCTCAGAAATTGCAGCCCAAATAAATGCTTCACAGAGTTCAAGTAACAGACACATCTCAACATCAACTGTTCAGAGGAGACTATGTGAATCAGGCCTTCATGGTCGAATTGCTGCAAAGAAACCACTACTAAAGGACACCAATAAGAAGAAAAGACCTGCTTGGGCCAAGAAACATGAGCAATGGACATTAGACGGTGGAAATTTGTCCTTTGGTCTGGAGTCTAAATTTGAGATTTTTGGTTCAAACCGCAACGTCTTTGTGAGATGCGGTGTTGGTGAACGGATGATCTCCGCATGTGTATTTCCTACCGTAAAGCATGCAGGAGGAGGTGTTATGGTGTGGGGGTGCTTTGCTGGTGACACTGTCTGTAATTTATTTAGAATTCAAGGCACACTTAACCAGCATAGCTACCACAGCATACTGCAGCGATACGCTATCCCATCTGGTTTGGGCTTAGTGGGACTATAATTTGTTTTTCAACAGGACAATGACCCAACACACCTCCAGGCTGTGTAAGGGCTATTTTACCAATAAGGAGAGTGATGAAGTGCTGCATCAGATGACGTGGCCAACCCAATTGAGATGGTTTGGGATGAGTCAGACGGCAGAGTGAAGGAAAAGCAGCCAACAAGTGCTCAGCATATGTGGGAACTCCTTCAAGACTGTTGGAAAATAATTCCAGGTGAAGCTGGTTGAGAGAATGCCAAGAGTGTGCAAAGCTGTCATCAAGAAAAGGGTGTTTATTTGAAGAATCTCAAATATAAAATATATTTTGATTTGTTTAACACTTTTTTGGTTACTACATGATTCCACATGTGTTATTTAATAGTTGTGATGTCTTCACTATTATTCTACAATGTAAAAAATAGTACAAATAAAGAAAAACCCTTGAATGAGTAGATGTGTCCAAACTTTTGACTGGTACTGTATATATTTTCCTTTTCCATTAATGAAATGTAACCACCGGACAAGAGTCTCAACATCAAGGGGAATATCAATCCTTGTTTTTGAAGCTCTGTATGTACAAAGGAAGAAGAAATTAATATGATATCAGGAAGGAACCTCATGGGGATGTCATGGCATTACATCAGAATACAATGGATTAACCACTGTTGATACTGTATTCAGAAAGTGTTGAGTAAAGAAAGTAAAGGCTCCCTATCAAACATCAAAACAACTCATATTCAATGGTAATTTCTGGTGATTTAAAATGTATTTAATCAATGAAATACATTTTCTCTTTATGTACATAATTCATACCTTTTTGACACCTTCATCCTCTTACTTCCACATTGGACACATAACATGAAAGGTGGGAGCTTAAGGGAGATAAGATTGTAGCCCAACTGTACTAACAAGCTGCCACTAGAGACCTCTGTCGGTCTGTATGTGTATGGTGCTGTTACTGACATAACTGTCAGCTTACCTATAGTACAGCACAAACATCTGAGGAATATGTCTTTTGACGAATTCAATTTATTTTAAGTGGACACATGACAGTGAGGTCGAAGTGACCCTCTTCTTTAAGGCTGACCCCTGATTTTTTGTTCTAACCGCAACACACATCTTAGCCACTGCTCTAGAGAGGCTCTCTTGTGTGTCCTGCAGCACACACAAAAACAGATCCGCTTACATAACCACCAGAACTGATTCTACCAGATGGTTCATACCTGAGTGAGCATTTCATTGAAGTCACTCACCAGAGAGGCCTCCCAGTGCCCTCAGCAAAGCATATTGATTTGTGAGAACACATAGTTCCCTCTGACATCATGGCCATGGGTGCTCTGCAGTGGCAGCGTTCTGAGAATATTTTGATCCTCTGCTGTGGTGGTGCAGAGATCAACGGTGAACATTTCCATTGTATTGAACAAGTGAGATTAGATGCTGCTGCAGTGTGGATGAATATGAATGAGCCAACGTATGTGCAGACAAGGTCTCTCAGCGAACACAATAGAATAGCATGGAATGTACTGCAGACCACAAGGTGAACATTTTCAGTTCACCTTTCTTGCTCTTATTTGTGGTTTGACATACTGTACAGCAACAAAGGAACACGTCCTAAATCTCCACATATGAAGAGATACATCACAAGAGAAAGGAGAAATGGCACCAAAGTGCACTCTCGCAGGAACACTGTTCACATAGAATGTTCTTCAAGGACAATTCTTACTAGGGGAATTGTCACGATCGTTGAATGACTGGTCGAACCAAGGCGCAGTGTGATAAGCGTAAATTTTATTTAATTACTGAACACGACAAAACAACAAACAAACGATACGTGAAGTCTTAAGGTTACACAAAACAAACCTATACAGAACAAGATCCCACCACTGACTGGTGCCAAAAGGCTGCCTAAGTATGGTCCCCAATCAGAGACAACGAGCTACAGCTGCCTCTGATTGGGAACCACCCTGGCCAACATAGATCTAAACGATCTAGAACTAAACATAGAAAAACACAACATAACACGGAATATACACACCCTGACTCAACAAATAAACATCCCCTGAGTCAGGGCGTGACAGTACCCCCCCCAAAGGTGCGGACTCCGACCGCGCCACATAAACATAACAGGGTAGGGGCCGGGTGGGCATTCCGCCTCGGAGGCGGATCCGGCTCCGGGCGTGACCACCACTTTCTCTCCACCTCCCTGTTGCGCCCCTGGTCTGGTCTGGCACCGCTGACTGGAGCTGGACCCGACGACGGTGGATCGAACTGTACAGGCTCCGGACTGGAGCCGCTGACCGGATCTGGACTGGGCACCGGTGGAGCGGACTTCTCTGGCTCCGGAGTGGAGCGGCTGACCGGAGCTGGACTGGACCCCGGTGGCGCGGATTGCTCTGGCCCCGGAGTGGATCCGCTGACTGGAGTTAGACCGGACCCCGGTGGAGCGGATTGCTCTGGCTCCGGAGTGGAGCAGCTGACCGGTGCCGGACCAGGCACCGGTGGAACAGGCACGGGCAGTGCCGGACTGGACACACGCACCACTGGCTTGGTGCGGGGAGCAGGAACGGGCCGGACCGGGCTGACGACGCGCACCACTGGCTTGGTGCGGGGAGCAGGAACGGGCCAGACCTGGCTGACGACGCGCACCACTGGCTTGGTGCGGGGAGCAGGAACGGGCCGGACCGGGCTGACGACGCGCACCACTGGCTTGGTGCGGGGAGCAGGAACGGGCCGGACCGGGCTGACGACGCGCACCACTGGCTTGGTGCGGGGAGCAGGAATGGGCCGGACCGGGCTGACGACGCGCACCACTGGCTTGGTGCGGGGAGCAGGAACGGGCCGGACCGGACTGGTGACGCGCACCACTGGCATGGTGCGAGGGGCAGGAACAGGCCGGACCGGGCTGGCGACGCGCACCACAGGCTTGGTGCGAGAGACAGGAACAGGCCAGGCTGGACTGGGAACACGCACCACTGGCTTAGTGCGGGGAGCAGGAACGAGCCGGGCCGGACTGGGAACACGCACCACTGGCTTGGTGCGGGGAGCAGGAACAGGCCGGGCGGGACTGTGGAGGCGGACTGGAGGTCTGGAGCGGAGAGCTGACACAACCCGTCCTGGCTGAATGCCTACTTCCACACAATATGTGTGAGGCATTAGCACAGGACGTACGGGGCTGTGCACTCGTACTGGTGATACAGCACGTAGCACCGACGCAGGATATACGGGACCGAGGAGGCGTACTGGAGACCACAAGCGTTGAGCCGGCACACCCCGTCCTGGCTGAATGCCCATCTTCGCACGACACGTGCGTGGTGCTAGCACAGGACGTACAGGACTGTGCCGGAACACTCGCGGCACAGTACGTGGCTCCGCATAACACGGAGCCTGCCCAGTCACACGCTTCCTAGCATGAGTACGGGGAGTTGGCTCTGCTCTAACACTAGGCTCCGCCAACCACCCTTTTAGCCCCCCCCAAAAAAAATTATTGGGGCTGTCTCTCGGGCTTCCTACTCGGCCGGCACCCTCTGCGTTGCCGCTGCTCCTCTCTATAGCGCGCCTCCACAGTCTCCTCCCAAGGACGGCGATCCATTCCGGCCTGAATCTCCTCCCAAGTCCAGGATCCCTTCCCGTCCAGGATCTCCTCCCAGGTCCAGGCTGTTTGCTCCTGGACACGCCGCTTGGTTCTTAGTGGGTGGGATCTTCTGTCACGATCGTTTAATGACTGGTCGAACCAAGGCGCAGCGTGATAAGCGTACATTTTATTTAAGTACTGAACACGACAAAACAACAAAAACAATACGTGAAGTCTTAAGGTTACACAAAACAAACCTATACAGAACAAGATCCCACCACTGACTGGTGCCAAAAGGCTGCCTAAGTATGGTCCCCAATCAGAGACAACGAGCTACAGCTGCCTCTGATTGGGAACCACCCTGGCCAACATAGATCTAAACGATCTAGAACTAAACATAGAAAAACACAACATAACACGGAATATACACACCCTGACTCAACAAATAAACGTCCCCTGAGTCAGGGCGTGACAGGAATAATTTGATAGCTACAGTAGATCTGTTTTGAATACCAGTGTGCAACCCCTGGATATGTCTGAGGATTATAGGAGGATTGATGGATTCCCTAGTCTGCCTGAGCAGGATTATGATATGAGCGAAGAGTAAAAAAAGCAGATGACAAGCTTAGAGCATTAATATGAGCAGATGCTTAAACTTATTCATGATGACTGGACATGTTTGTAATTTCAGCAACTTCATGGGACCAACATCCATTTCACTGATGGGTATGAGATGAAGGAGGATGTGGGCTTGGGGGCGTACTCCGTCTGCAAACGCTGCATCCACAAAATCACCAGTGTTGAATATGCTGTCAAAGTAAGTGAACCGTATAGGTAGATCTTTCAAGAGGAATATTTTTGGTAGATCATTCTTGGAGAGAATTATGATTTTCACGGCCCATGGAGAGAAAAATGATTTTCACGGCCCATCAGTTACAGTGAGGGAAAAAAGTATTTGATCCCCTGCTGATTTTGTACGTTTGCCCACTGACAAAGACATGATCAGTCTATAATTTTAATGGTAGGTTTATTTAAACTGTAAGAGACAGAATAACAACAACGAAATCCAGAAAAACACATGTCAAAAATGTTATAAATTGATTTGCATTTTAATGAGGGAAATAAGTATTTGACCCCCTCTCAATCAGAAAGATTTCTGGCTCCCAGGTTTCTTTTATACAGGTAACGAGCTGAGATTAGGAGCACACTCTAAAGGGAGTGCTCCTAATCTCAGTTTGTTACCTGTATAAAAGACACCTGTCCACAGAAGCAATGAATCAGATTCCAAACTCTCCACAATGGCCAAGACTAAAGAGCTCTCCAAGGATGTCAGGGACAAGATTGTAGACCTACACAAGGCTGGAATGGGCTACAAGACCATCGCCAAGCAGCTTGGTGAGAAGGTGACAACAGTTGGTGCGATTATTCGCAAATGGAAGAAACACAAAATAACTGTCAATCTCCCTCGGCCTGGGGCTCCATGCAAGATCTCACCTCGTGGAGTTGCAATGATCATGAGAACAGTGAGGAATCAGCCCAGAACTACACAGGAGGATCTTGTCAATGATCTCAAGGCAGCTGGGACCATAGTCACCAAGAAAACAATTGGTAACACACTACGCCGTGAAGGACTGAAATCCTGCAGCACCCGCAAGGCCCCCCTGCTCAAGAAAGCACATATACAGGGCCGTCTGAAGTTTGCCAATGAACATCTGAATGATTCAGAGGAGAACTGGGTGAAAGTGTTGTGGTCAGATGAGACAAATCAAGCTCTTTGGCATAAACTCAACTCGCCGTGTTTGGAGGAGGAGGAATGCTGCCTATGACCCCAAGAACACCATCCCCACCGTCAAACATGGAGGTGGAAACATTATGCTTTGGGTATGTTTTTCTGCTAAGGGGACAGGACAACTTCACTGCATCAAAGGGATGATGGACGGGGCCATGTACCGTCAAATCTTGGGTGAGAACCTCCTTCCCTCAGCCAGAGCATTGAAAATGGGTCGTGGATGGGTATTCCAGCATGACAATTACCCAAAACACACGGCCAAGGCAACAAAGTCATCATGTCTTTGTCAGTGGGCAAACGTACCAAATCAGCAGGGGATCAAATACTTTTTTCCCTCACTGTAGGTTACACATTTCACTTCCTTGAATCCTGGAACAACTATAAGCCTTTCAACTACAGTGAGGGAAAAAAGTATTTGATCCCCTGCTGATTTTGTACGTTTGCCCACTGACAAAGACATGATCAGTCTATAATTTTAATGGTAGGTTTATTTGAACAGTGAGAGACAGAATAACAACAATAAAATCCAGAAGAACGCATGTCAAAAATTTTATAAATTGATTTGCATTTTAATGAGGGAAATAAGTATTTGACCCCTCTGCAAAATATGACTTAGTACTTGGTGGCAAAACCCTTGTTGGCAATCACAGATGTCAGACGTTTCTTGTAGTTGGCCATCAGGTTTGCACACATCTCAGGAGGGATTTTGTTCCACTCCTCTTTGCAGATCTTCTCCAAGTCATTAAGGTTTCGAGGCTGATGTTTGGCAACTCGAACCTTCAGCTCCCTCCACAGATTTTCTATGGGATTAAGGTCTGGAGACTGGCTAGGCCACTCCAGGACCTTAATGTGCTTCTTCTTGAGCCACTCCTTTGTTGCCTTGGCCGTGTGTTTTGGGTAATTGTCATGCTGGAATACCCATCCACGACCCATTTTCAATGCTCTGGCTGAGGGAAGGAGGTTCTCACCCAAGATTTGACGGTACATGGCCCCGTCCATCGTCCCTTTGATGCAGTGAAGTTGTCCTGTCCCCTTAGCAGAAATCACCCCCAAAGCATAATGTTTCCACCTCCATGTTTGACGGTGGGGATGGTGTTCTTGGGGTCATAGGCAGCATTCCTCCTCCTCCAAACACGGTGAGTTGAGTTGATGCCAAAGAGCTCGATTTTGGTCTCATCTGACCACAACACTTTCACCCAGTTCTCCTCTGAATCATTCAGATGTTCATTGGCAAACTTCAGACGGCCCTGTATATGTGCTTTCTTGAGCAGGGGGACCTTGCGGGCGCTGCAGGATTTCAGTCCTTCACGGCGTAGTGTGTTACCAATTGTTTTCTTGGTGACTATGGTCCCAGCTGACTTGAGATCATTGACAAGATCCTCCCGTGTAGTTCTGGGCTGATTCCTCACCGTTCTCATGATCATTGCAACTCCACGAGGTGAGATCTTGCATGGAGCCCCAGGCCGAGGGAGATTGACAGTTATTTTGTGTTTCTTCCATTTGCGAATAATCGCACCAACTGTTGTCACCTTCTCACCAAGCTGCTTGGCGATGGTCTTGTAGCCCATTCCAGCCTTGTCTAGGTCTACAATCTTGTCCCTGACATCCTTGGAGAGCTCTTTGGTCTTGGCCATGGTGGAGAGTTTGGAATCTGATTGATTGATTGCTTCTGTGGACAGGTGTCTTTTATACAGGTAATAAACTGAGATTGACCAAATACAATGCTATTTCTCTGTAAACAAATTAACAACAGACTTTCAGCATGCTTATAGGGAAGGACACTCAACATGCACTGCACTGACACAAATGACTGATGATTGCTTGAAAGAAATTGATAATAATAAGATTGTCGGAGCTGTACTGTTAGATTTCAGTGCAGCCTTTCATATTATTGATCATAACCTGTTGTTGAAAAAACGTATGTGTTATGGCTTTTCAACCTCTGCCATATCGTGGATTCAGAGCTCTCTATCTAATAGAACTCAAAGGGTTTTCTTTAATGGAAGCTTCTCTAATGTCAAACATGTAAAGTGTGGTGTACCACAGGGCAGCTCTCTAGGCCCTCTACTCTTTTCTATTTTTACCAATGACCTGCCACTGGCATTAAACAAAGCATGTGTGTCCATGTATGCTGATGATTCAACCATATACGCATCAGCAACCACAGCTAATGAAGTCACTGAAACCCTTAACAAAGAGTTGCAGTCTGTTTTGGTATGGGTGGCCACTAATAAACTGGTCCTGAACATCTCTAAAACTACGGGCATTGTATTTGGTACAAATCATTCAAGTTCTAGACCTCAGCTGAATCTGGTAATGAATGGTGTGGCTGTTGAACAAGTTGAGAAGACACAATTACTTGGTGTTACCTTACATTGTAAACTATCATGGTCAAAATATAGATTCAATGGTTGTAAAGATGGGGAGAGGTCTGTCCGTATGTCACGCGGGTCGATGTCGTCTAAGTAAGACCAAGGCGCAGCGTGTCCAAGAAACATGACTTTAATTGAGTAAAGCACGTAATACAAAACAAAAGACGACTCACATGAAGTCCACGGTATACTGACCGAAACGAAACAAAAACCCACAATACCCACAGGAAAACATACAGAATAAATATGGCTCCCAATCAGAGATAACGAGCCGACAGCTGACACTCGTTACCTCCGATTGGGAGTCAATGACCAAACCTAGAAATACACACAACAGAACTACCAACATAGAAATACACCCAAATGCCCAAACTACCAAACCAAAACCCAACAACACAAAATACACCCTGGCTCAAATACAAACGTCCCGGAGCCAGAGTGTCACACCGTAATAAAGAGATGCTCTGCTCTTTTGACACCACACTCCAAAAAGCAAGTTCTGCAGGCTCTAGTTTTGTCTAATCTTGATTATTGTCCAGTCGTGTGGTCCAGTGCTGCAAGGAAAGACCTAGTTAAGCTGCAGCTGGCCCAAAACAGAGCGGCACGTCTTGCTCTTCATTGTAATCAGAGGGCTGATATAAATACTATGCATGCCAGTCTCTCTTGGATACGAGTTGAGGAGAGACTGACTGCATCACTTCTTCTTTTTATAAGAAACATTAATGTGTTGAAAATCCCATATTGTTTGCATAGTCAACATACACACAGCTCTGACACACACACTTCCCCCACCAGACATGCCACCAGGGGTCTTTTCACAGTCCCCAAATCCAGAACAAATTCAAGAAAGCGTACAGTATTATATTGAGCCGTTATTGCATGGAACTCCGTTCCATCTCATATTGCTCAAATAAACAGCAAACCTGGTTTCAAAAAACAGATAAAGCAACACCTCACGGCACAAAGTCTTTCCCCTATTTGTCCTAGATAGTTTGTGTGTATGTATTGATATGTAGGCTACGTGTGCCTTTTAAAAAATGGTTTTATGAAAGTTCTGTCCTTGAGCTGTTCTTGTCTATTAATGTTCTGTATTTTGTCATGTTTCATGTTTTGTGTGGACCCCAGGAAGAGTAGGTGCTGCTTTTGCAACAGCTAATGGGGATCCTAATAAAATACCAAAAATACAAAAAATTTCATGCAGCGACAATCATTCTGTATTTTGTGCAGATGATGCTCTGTCATACATTTTATCGTAAGAGGATACCAAGCAGGGGGACCAGTACGAAAATGTATGCACTCAGTACTGTAAGTCGCTCTGGATAAGAGTGTTTGCTAAATGAAAAAAAAAAAAATATATATATATATATAATCTAACAGGGGGTGTGTCTCTTTCAGATCATCGACAGAGCTAAAAAAGATCCATCTGAGGAAATTGAGATTCTGTTGAGATATGGGCATCATCCAAACATTATCACGCTGAAGGATGTAAGTAATCATTAAATGACTCACACACACGTGCATGCTGAAAGCCCTCCATAAGGACAGAGATCCTTGTGAGTTTGCATGACTAAGGAAAAATGTGCCCTGCAAACTTAATTTAGTTTTCAATGACCATCATATTTGACTGTATCTTCTCTTGTCCATTATATCTCTATTAGATTTTCACTGGCCACTTTTCGTGGGCTGTGAGGACTAGTCTAATGTAGTCTTGGTTCATAAATAACTCCACGTGGTATTAAACTGTCTTTTTGGCCCCTAGGTCTATGACGATGGGAAGTATGTGTACCTTGTGATGGAGCTGATGAGAGGTGGAGAGCTGCTGGACAGAATCCTCCATCAGAAGAGTTTCTCTGAGCGAGAGACCTCTGCTGTTCTCTGCACTATTACCAAGACAATGGAGTACCTTCACTCACAGGGGGTCAGTATCATTCATGTACGTCCAACAAAAATCTGTATCAAAGTGAAAGGAGTAGTGCTCTTAGCTAGGATATGTTCATACTGGCAATTTATTTTGATCTGTTTTGTCATAGGTTGTACATCGTGACCTGAAACCAAGCAACATCCTCTATGTGGATGAAACGGGAGATCCGGAATCGATCCGAATATGTGATTTTGGGTTCGCCAAACAATTAAGGGCAGAAAACGGTCTTCTCATGACGCCCTGTTACACAGCTAACTTTGTGGCTCCAGAGGTAAGGAGTGGTTTGATCAGCTCTTATTTATTTCAAGTACCGTATATCCCTATATTGTGATATGACACAGATTCTTCATGTCTTTCATAGGTCCTGAAGAAGCAGGGGTATGATGCTGCTTGTGACATCTGGAGTTTGGGAATCCTACTCTACACTATGCTCGCAGGGTAAGCCTAATTCGCTGGATTGTTTAAACGTCAAGAAGACTGAACATTCAGGGTCAGACCATTGATATCCCAATTTTACTTTGCTAGGTGACATTTTACCTTTGCTAGAAACCTGGTTGAACCTGTTTCACAGTAACAAAAAAACAAAAAATGAATTCTGGACTGTGCTACCTCTCCTGGCAACCACTGATTAAAGGACACATTTCTGGGACGGTGAGAGGGACAGTGGACGATGGATTACTTTCTAAGCTGAGGTCGTGTCTGTGGTACTCTGCATAATGCCAAATCTCTCAGGACCTGCCCTGACAATTTAATGTCCCAGCCTGTGGCTCATGTTTTAAATCTCTGTAATCAGGACATTAGAAAAAAAGCATAATTCTTTCATAGATGTCAAACACTGTTTAGATGCCATTCTTCGTATTACTTTCTTTAATTATTTGTTTTTAATCGCTCAGTTAGGGTATTGGAGAAACGGCCTAAAAATAACACCTCAAACATCTCGATTTTTTTGCACACGTACTTCTACACACTCACTCACACAAAACACACTCACAAGCTCACACATACGCCCATACTCACAAAGACACGCACATACACACTCACACACACAGCCAACGCTGCTGTCCCATTTACAGTGAGGGAAAAAAGTATTTGATCCCCTGCTGATTTTGTACGTTTGCCCACTGACAAAGAAATGATCAGTCTATAATTTTAATGGTAGGTTTATTTGAACAGTGAGAGACAGAATAACAACAAAAAAATCCAGAAAACGCATGTCAAAAATGTTATAAATTGATTTGCATTTTAATGAGGGAAATAAGTATTTGACCCCCTCTCAATCAGAAAGATTTCTGGCTCCCAGGTGTCTTTTATACAGGTAACAAACTGAGATTAGGAGCACACTCTTAAAGTGCTCCTAATCTCAGTTTGTTACCTGTATAAAATACATCTGTCCACAGAAGCAATCAATCAATCAGATTCCAAACTCTCCACCATGGCCAAGACCAAAGAGCTCTCCAAGGATGTCAGGGACAAGATTGTAGACCTACACAAGGCTGGAATGGGCTACAAGACCATCGCCAAGCAGCTTGGTGAGATTATTCGCAAATGGAAGAAACACAAAATAACTGTCAATCTCCCACGGCCTGGGGCTCCATGCAAGATCTCACCTCGTGGAGTTGCAATGATCATGAGAACGGTGAGGAATCAGCCCAGAACTACACGGGAGGATCTTGTCAATGATCTCAAGGCAGCTGGGACCATAGTCACCATGAAAACAATTGGTAACACACTACGCCGTGAAGGACTGAAATCCTGCAGCGCCCGCAAGGTCCCCCTGCTCAAGAAAGCACATATACAGGGCCGTCTGAAGTTTGCCAATGAACATCTGAATGATTCAGAGGAGAACTGGGTGAAAGTGTTGTGGTCAGATGAGACCAAAATCGAGCTCTTTGGCATCAACTCAACTCGCCGTGTTTGGAGGACAGAGGAATGCTGCCTATGACCCCAAGAACACCATCCCCACCGTCAAACATGGAGGTGGAAACATTATGCTTTGGGGGTGTTTTTCTGCTAAGGGGACAGGACAACTTCACCGCATCAAAGGGACGATGGACGGGGCCATGTACCGTCAAATCTTGGGTGAGAACCTCCTTTCCTCAGCCAGGGCATTGAAAATGGGTTGTGGATGGATATTCCAGCATGACAATGACCCAAAACACACGGCCAAGGCAACAAAGAAGTGGCTCAAGAAGAAGCACATTAAGGTCCTGGAGTGGCCTAGCCAGTCTCCAGACCTTAATCCCATAGAAAATCTGTGGAGGGAGTTGAAGGTTCGAGTTGCCAAACGTCAGCCTCGAAACCTTAATGACTTGGAGAAGATCTGCAAAGAGGAGTGGAACAAAATCCCTCCTGAGATGTGTGCAAACCTGGTGGCCAACTACAAGAAATATCTGACCTCTGTGATTGCCAACAAGGGTTTTGTCACCAAGTACTAAGTCATGTTTTGCAGAGGGGTCAAATACTTATTTCCCTCATTAAAATGCAAATCAATTTATAACATTTTTGACATGCGTTTCTCTGGATTTTTTTGTTGTTATTCTGTCTCTCACTGTTCAAATAAACCTACCATTAAAATTATAGACTGATCATGTCTTTGTCAGTGGGCAAACATACAAAATCAGCAGGGGATCAAATAATTTTTTCCCTCACTGTATATAGAGACATTAAACACTGGACACTTCCTGTTCCTTTTATACTGTTTTTCACACTGTGTATTTGTATATACGGTATTCTCGACATACTATAGCTCATTCTAATATATTGTATCTACTACTGTACATTGCATTTTCTGTTACACTGTTTATACACACCGCGTATTTATACTGTATACTGGATTATTGACATAGCTAATACAGTGCCTTCAGAAAGTATTCAACCCCCTTGACTTTTTCCACATTTTGTTGTGTTACAAAGTGGGATTGAAATGGATTTCATTGTAGTTTTTTGCGAACGATCTACACAAAATACTCAAAGTGGAAGAAAATGTGAAAGTTGAAGAAGAATGTAAAAAAAAATAAATCTATAACAAATAAAACTCTAATATATTTGTTAGAAACACATTTGGCAGCGATGTGTTGGATTTGCCCCAAGCATAAGGCTTTGTATTCAGGATAAAAAGTGTTTTTCTTTGCCACATTTTTTGCATAATTACTTTAGTGCCTTATTGCAAACAGGATGCATGTTTTGGAATATTTGTATTCTGTACAGTCTTCCTTCTTTTCACTCTGTCATTTAGTTTAGTATTGTGGAGTAACTACAATGTTATTGATCAATCATCAATTTTCACCCATCACAGCCATTACAATCTGTAACTGTTTTAAAATCACCATTGGCCTCATGGTGAAATCCTTGAGCGGTTTCTTTCCTCTCCAGCAACTGAGTTAGGACGGACGCCTGTATCTTTATAGTGACTGGGTGTATTGATACACCATCCAAAGTGTAATTAATATCTTCACCATGCTCAAATGGATATTCAGTGTCTGCTTTTTTATTTGTACCCATCTACCAGTAGGTGCCCTTCTTTGCGAGGCAATGGAAACATCCCTGGTCTTTGTAGTTGAATTTGTGCTTGAAATTCACTACTCGACTGAGGGAGCTTACAGATAATTGTATGTGTGGTGTACAGAGATGGGGTAGTCATTTGAAAATCCTGTTAACCACTATTATTGCAAAGAGAGTGAGTCCATGCAATTTATTATTTGACTTGTTAAGCAAATTTCTACTCCTGAACTTATTTAGGCTAGTCATAACAAATGGTTTGAATACTTATTGACTCAAGACATTTCAACTTTTAATTTTTAATACATTTGTAAAAACTTCTACAAACAAATTTCCACTTTAACATCAGTGACACAAAAGCTCTATTTAATCCATTTAAATTCAGGCTGTAGCAGAACAAAATGTGGAAAAAGTCAAGGGGGTTGAATAATTTCTTAAAGTACTATACTACTGTACATATCATTCTTAGTATATTTGATTACCGGTGTACAGTGGCTTGCAAAAGTATTCACCCCCCCCCCCCCCTTTGCATTTTTCCTATTTTGTTGCCTTACAACCTCGAATTAAAATGGATTTTTCGGGGGTTTGTATCATTTGATTTACACAACATGCCTATCACTTTGAAGATGCAAAATAAAAAAAATTGTGAAACAAACAAGAAATAAGACCAAAAAACAGAACACTTCAGCATGCATAACTATTTTTTTCTTTAAGCAATGGCTGTCTTCTGGCCACTCTTCCGTAAAGCCCAGCTCTGTGGAGTGTATGGCTTAAAGTGGTCCTATGGACAGATACTCCAATCTCCGCTGTGGAGCTTTGCAGCTCCTTCAGGGTTATCTTTGGTCTCTTTGTTGCCTCTCTGATTAATGCCCTCCTTGCCTGGTCCGTGTGTTTTGGTGGGTGGCCCTCCCTTGGCAGGTTTGTTGTGGTGCCATATTCTTTACATTTTTTAATAATGGATTTAATTGTGCTCCGTGGGATGTTCAAAGTTTCTCATATTTTTTTATAACCCAACCCTGATCTGTACTTCTCCAAAACTGTGTCCCTGACCTTTTGGAGAGCTCCTTGGTCTTCATGGTGCCGCTTGCTTGGTGGTGCCCCTTGCTTAGTGGTGTTGCAGACTCTGGGGCCTTTCAGAACAGGTCTATATATACTGAGATCATGTGACAGATCATGTGACACTTAGATTGCACACAGGTGGACTTTATTTAACTAATTATGTGACTTCTGAAGGTAATTGGATGCACCAGATCTTATTTAGGGTCTTCACAGCAAAGGGGGTGAATACATATGCACGCACCACTTTTCCGTTATTTATTTTTTAGAATTTTTTGAAATAAGGTATTTTTTTCATTTCACTTCACCAATTTGGACTATTTTTAGTATGTCTATTACATGAAATACAAATACAAATCTATTTAAATTACAGGTTGTAATGCAACAAAATAGGAAAAACGCCAAGGGGGATGAATACTTTTGCAAGGCACTGTATATACGCATAGATTACATTTGGATTGCTGATACAGTGTTATTTGGGTTGTTAATTGGATTCGTTCTGACATTTCTTGTTTTTATTTATTAATTTGTTTAGGCCTACTTGTTTGACGTTTTACTGCACTGTTAGGAGCTAGTAACACAAGCATTATACTGCACTGTTAGGAGCTAGTAACACAAGCATTTCACTACACCCATATAACATCTGATAAACTGTGTACACGACCAATTAACTTTGATTTGAGATACTAAAAGAAATACAAGACCCCCAATTCAAACAAACCCAGACACATAATTATTTGTGCAACAGGAAAGCACATTCCTTACTGTAGAGCAGGGTGAAAAAGGTTAACTCAGTTACCCAAAGTATTATTGAAAAGTGTTTGATTGTTTTGTCCTTCTCCACACTTACAGCTTCACCCCTTTTGCCAATGGTCCTGATGACACCCCGGAGGAAATACTGGCTCGCATTGGTAGCGGAAAATATGCCCTCATCGGAGGAAACTGGGATACGGTTTCTAATGCTGCAAAGGTGAGGTTACTTGGCCTTTATAAATGACACATCACTGTTGAATTTGATTAATACATGCAATTTCCATCCAACTGTTGTACTGAAATAAAATCCCATCCACATTCGTTTAGCTGCAATGCTGCATTTCATACTGGTCCTAACTGGACTATTTCTCTATTGGGTTCCAATAGGACATTGTGACTAAGATGCTCCATGTGGATCCACACCAACGGCTGACGGCCCCCCAGGTTCTCAGACACCAGTGGATAGTCAACCGAGAACAGCTGTCTCAGAGTCAGCTCATCAGACAGGATATACAGCTTGTGAAGGTAAGGAGGAAAACCTAAGAAAAACACTAAACCAGACATAGTGTGAGAAGCACCATCATCTGCATGTGGTGCCAATCTAGCCTCGTAGACCAGACTGAACACATTGTTTCACTTCAGCCCAGCGGTTTGACTGGTTGACCAGGCAAGTCGATTTATGTCACTAAGCAGTGATAGTTATTTTTTAGCATCACTAGCAACTTTGCCTGCTAAAGCTCACTGACTTACGAAAGGTCTCTCACAAATTAATTTGTCCTCTTTAGAAATGCAATTTTTGTATTCACTGACATTCTACTGCCACCCAGTGTACAGATCTGCCATTACATGTAGACCTTTTGCGTTCTTCTTTGTGTCAGCAAAAGTCATTTGAAACCTGCTCAAAGTTTCACATGCTCTCTTTGCCACCTTAAAAAGGTCCATTGCAGACATTTTTATCTCAATATCAAATCATTTCTGGGTAACATTTAAATACCTTACTGTGATTGTTTTAAATTAAAATAGCTTCTTGGCAAAGATCAATTTCTCAAGCAAGAATTTTGCTAGGACTGTCTGGGAATGGTCTGAGTGGTGAGTGGAAAACTGAAAACTACCTGTTATTGGCAGAGAGGTTTGGAACTACAGTGGGGAGAACAAGTATTTGATACACTGCCGATTTGGCAGGTTTTCCTACTTACAAAGCATGTAGAGGTCTATAATTTTTATCATAGGTACACTTCAACTGTGAGAGACGGAATCTAAAACAAAAATCCAGAAAATCACATTGTATGATTTTTAAGTAATTAATTTGCATTTTATTGCATGACATAAGTATTTGATCACCTACCAACCAGTAAGAATTCCGGCTCTCACAGACCTGTTAGTTTTTCTTTAAGAAGCCCTCCTGTTCTCCACTCATTACCTGTATTAACTGCACCTGTTTGAACTCGTTACCTGTATAAAAGACACCTGTCCACACACTCAATCAAACAGACTCCAACCTCTCCACAATGGCCAAGACCAGAGAGCTGTGTAAGGACATCAGGGATAACATTGTAGACCTGCACAAGGCTGGGATGGGCTACAGGACAATAGGCAAGCAGCTTGGTGAGAAGGCAACAACTGTTGGCGCAATTATTAGAAAATGGAAGAAGTTCAAGATGACGGTCAATCACTCTCGGTCTGGGGCTCCATGCAAGATCTCACCTCGTGGGGCATCAATGATCATGAGGAAGGTGAGGGATCAGCCCAGAACTACACGGCAGGACCTGGTCAATGACCTGAAGAGAGCTGGGACCACAGTCTAAAAAAAAAACATTAGTTACACACTACGCCGTCATGGATTAAAATCCTGCAGCGCACGCAAGGTCCCCCTGCTCAAGCCAGCGCATGTCCAGGCCCGTGTGAAGTTTGCCAATGACCATCTGGATGATCCAGAGGAGGAATGGGAGAAGGTCATGTGGTCTGATGAGACAAAAATAGAGCTTTTTGGTCTAAACTACACTCGCCGTGTTTGGAGGAAGAAGAAGGATGAGTACAACCCCAAGAACATCATCCCAACCGTGAAGCATGGAGGTGGAAACATCCTTCTTTGGGGATGCTTTTCTGCAAAGGGGACAGGACGACTGCACCGTATTGAGGGGAGGATGGATGGGGCCATGTATCGCAAGATCTTGGCCAACAACCTCCTTCCCTCAGTAAGAGCATTGAAGATGGGTCGTGGCTGGGTCTTCCAGCATGACAACGACCCGAAACACACAGCCAGAGCAACTAAGGAGTGGCTCCGTAAGAAGCATCTCAAGGTCCTGGAGTGGCCTAGCCAGTCTCCAGACCTGAACCCAATAGAAAATCTTTGGAGGGAGCTGAAAGTCCGTATTGCCCAGTGACAGCCCCGAAACCTGAAGGATCTGGAGAAGGTCTGTATGGAGGAGTGGGCCAAAATCCCTGCTGCAGTGTGTGCAAACCTGGTCAAGACCTACAGGAAACGTATGATCTCTGTAATTGCAAACAAAGGTTTCTGTACCAAATATTAAGTTCTGCTTTTCTGATGTATCAAATACTTATGTCATGCAATAAAATGCAAATTAATTACTTAAAAATCATACAATGTGATTTTCTAGATTTTTGTTTTAGATTCCGTCTCTCACAGTTGAAGTGTACCTATGATAAAAATTACAGACCTCTATATGCTTTGTAAGTAGGAAAACCTGCAAAATCGGCAGTGTATCAAATACTTGTTCTCCCCACTGTATCTATTAAAAAACTCTATCCCACCAAAACAGGCAGAACTTTCAGGCCCTTTTCAGACAGCTCTTACATTAAAGGACCTTATCATAATTTTCACAATTTCACATTATTATTCCAACCTCATAGTATGGAAATAAAACACAGGAAAATCCAGTTTTCTACTGTACTGGGCCTTTAAATATGCAGTTTTTTCCAGCTTTATATCATTTAAACACGTTGTTCTCTGTCATCCTAGGGAGCAATGGCTGCAACATACTTGGCTTTGAATCGTTTGCCTCTGGCTCCAAAGCTGGAGCCTGTGCAGTGTTCAAGTTTGGCGCAGAGAAGAGGAATGAAGAGACTCACATCCACTTGTTTATAGCACCGTCATAGATGATTCAGGGAAAGAGCTTGAAAAGGGGTCAAAGTGCAATGACTCATCAGACACTGGTTTAAGTGCCCGTCCAAAGTACCAGGAAGTCTACAGTAGTGGGAGCAAGGAGAAGCAACTTATCAGAAGAAGAAAAAAATTGCGGGGGAGAAGATGCATCAGGTTGTTGCACTAAGAAATACATCTTTACGGATTTTAGATGCACAAGAAACAAATGGTGGCATCAAAGACAAACCTGAATGATGTTCAAATGTTCATTGGTATTGAAGAAATGTAATGTTCATATTTTATTCATTCATATTTGCCTTTTCCTTTAGGTGCCATCTGCTACTGTTTAATTATTTGACACCTTTGTATTATGTAGAGTATGTTTCATATTATATTATCTAGGATACCAAGTAATCTTATACAACCTGGAGTTGACACTATCATAAAGGCTGTAACAGAGAAGTTGAGAACAGTTTATAACTACATGATGACAATTTTACGGGATTTTATCAACATCAGACAACATCTGTATTTTTCCCTGTGACATGTTGGAATGTTACTTTTATAGGTCTTCATTTGGGAGAATAATTGCTGACAGATTGTTGGCAGTGTAAATGTTCAGTTACAGCTGCTAAGGATACGTTGGTACATTTTGTAACAATCCAGAAATCCACAGGTAGAAGTAGACATTTAAAATACTGAAATAGCTGAATGAGCACAAATATTAGATGTATGCATCTGTCTTTGATTTTCAGGTTGATTCATAAGGTTAGACATACTGTAGTGTACAATATTTATTTTCTGTAGATCAAAAATGCAATACTCTATTGTTTAAAAAAATCTAGTGAGCATTATGTTGGATGTTTGTTTTTGGAGGGTTTACTGAAAACAGACCCATTTATAAATTATAAATGCAAGTTATATTTATTTTAAATGTGACTTATTTAAGTTATTTGATCAAACAAATGTATTTGTTTCTACATTATCCATTATTAATGTCTATTTATTTTATTGTTAATACACAACAGATTGAAGTGTTTTATACCTGAAGTGTTCCCCCCCCAAAAAAAAAAAAAAAAAAAAAAAAAAGTATAATTGTAAAGTGGTTATCCCACTGGCTATAGGGTGAATGCACCAATTTGTAGTCGCTCTGGATAAGAGCGTCTGCTAAATGACGTAAATGTGCCCTTGAGCAAGGCACTTAACCCTAATTGCTCCTGTAAGTCGCTCTGGATAAGAGCGTCTGCTAAATGACTAAAATGTAAATGTAAATGTAAATGTATACCTGATCTGAAGTGACTTTTTGGAAGGAAGTATTTGTTATATTAGCAAATACATTGATATGCCTTTATCAGCATTACCTTGTTTTGCCGTTTGTAAAATTACTTCTTTATTTTTTCAGTAAATATACCAACAAGATTCATCTTTAAACATTATGGAACCAATATGAGTGCACGTGAGTATTTTGATGTATTGTTCATATTTTGAACACGGACAACATAAAACACCTACAGTAGAATGCTACCTTGGATGCCTTTATGTTAATGATTTATGTGCAAGTCAAGTAGTAAAGAAGCTATGTGAAACAAACAAGAAATCTCAACAGTGTATTCAGTGTACCCACACATTGACGTATTATAGAATTACAGTTAGAAAGTACACAGGATTCAGGAATGGTTTATCAATCAACCTAAGCCCACAATGGAGCTTTAGTTGCTCCATAATAATAATAATAATAATAATAATAATAATAATAATAATAATAATAATAATAATAATAATAATATGGGATACACACCAATATGACAAAACAGGTTACATCGGCTAAATACCACAGACATACCTTTAGAATATATTCATAATTTCTAGAATATATTCATAAATTTGACAGTACAACTGTTATACAGTTGGTCGGAAGTTTACATACACCTTAGTCAAATACATTTAAACTCCGTTTTTCAAAATTTCTGACATTTAATCCTAATAAATATTCCCAGTCTTAGGTCAGTTAGGATCACCACTTTATTTTAAGAATGTGAAATGTCAGAATAATAGTAGAGAGAATGATTTATTTCAGCCTTTATTTCTTTCATCACATTCCCAGTGGATCAGAAGTTTACATACACTCAATTAGTATTTGGTAGCATTGCCTTTAAATTGTTTAACATGGGTCAAACGTTTCGGGTTGCCTTCCACAAGCTTCCCACAATAAGTTGGGTGAATTTTGGCCCATTCCTCCTGACAGAGCTGGTGTAACTGAGTCAGGTTTGTAGGCCTCCTTGCTCGCACACGCTTTTTCAATTCTGTCTACAAATGTTCTATAGGATTGAGGTCAGGGCTTTGTGATGGCCACTCCAATACCTTGACTTTGTTGTCCTTAAGCCATTTTGCCACAACTTTGGAAGTATGCTTGGGGTCATTGTCCATTTGGAAGACCCATTTGCGACCAAGCTTTAACTTCCTGACTGATGTCTTGAGATGTTGCTTCAATATATCCACATAATTTTCCTTCCTCATGATGCCATCTATTTTGTGAAGTGCACCAGTCCCTCCTGCAGCAAAGCACCCCCACAGCATGATGCTGCCACCCCCATGCTTCACAGTTGGGATGGTGTTCTTCGGCTTGCAAGGCACCCCCTTTTTCCTCCAAACATAACGATGGTCATTATGGCCAAACAGTTCTATTTTTGTTTCATCAGACCAGAGGACATTTCTCCAAAAAGTACAATCTTTGTCCCCATGTGTAGTTGCAAACCGTAGTCTAGCTTTTTTATGGTCGTTTTGGAGCAGTGGCTTCTTCCTTGCTAAGCGGCCTTTCAGGTTATGTCCATATAGGACTCGTTTTACTGTGGATATAGATACTTTTGTACCTGTTTCCACCAGCATCTTCACAAGGTCCTTTGCTGTTGTTCTGGGATTGATTTGCACTTTTCGCACCAAAGTACGTTCATCTCTAGGAGACCGAACGCGTCTCCTTCCTGAGCGGTATGATGGCTGCGTGGTCCCATGGTGTTTATACTTGCGTACTATTGTTTGTACAGATGAACGTAGTACCTACAGGCGTTTGGAAATTGCTCCCAAGGTGGAACCAGACTTGTGGAGGTCTACAATGTTTTTTCTGAGGTCTTGGCTGATTTGTTTTGATTTTCCCATGATGTCAAGCAAAGAGGCACTGAGTTTGAAGGTAGGCCTTGAAATACATCCACAGGTACACCTCCAATTTACTCAAATGATGTCAATTAGCCTATCAGAAGCTTCTAAAGCCATGACATAATTTTCTGGAATTTTCCAAGCTGTTTAAAGGCACAGTCAACTTAGTGTATGTAAACTTCTGACCCACTGGAATTGTGATACAGTGAATTATAAGTTAAATATTCTATCTGTAAAAAATTGTTGGAAAAATTACTTGTGTCATGCACAAAGTAGATGTCCTAACCGACTTGCCAAAACTATAGTTTGTTAACAAGAAATTTGTGGAGTGGTTGAAAAACGAGTTTAAATGACTCCAACCTAAGGTTATAAACTTCCGACTTCAACTGTAGCTGATTGCACAGTGAGCCTTAATAATTTCTGTTTTCACAAAGCTTAATTGAATAACTACTAAAATGCACGATGTGAAGAGATCCCCATAGAATAACACAATAGAAAACCATGATCAATGACTCTCCTTGTGCTGCTGTGGCTTGTATAGATCTTAAGTGTTTTGTGCATGCTGAAGGTACTTCTGCAAAGAGAATTGATTCAAATAGTCTTCAGCTCTGTGGTGTTCAGTCATGTAAAAAGTAACATTGTGAAACTAGTACATTTACATTGACATTTTAATAATTTAGCAGATGCTCTTATCCAGAGTGACTTACAGTTTGTTAGTGCATTCATCTTAAGATAGCTAGGTGGGACAACCACCTATCTCAGTCATAGTAAATACATTTTCCTCAATAAAGTAGCTATCAGCAAAGTCAGTGCGAGTGTTAGTATCTGTGCTAGTAGGACTGTACATACTGTATAGGCAAAACTTTACAAATAAATCAGGTGTGGAAGAAACTCTTGTGTTGATATTTTGTGATGATTGTGTCAGGCATACACACAGTGACTGAAACAATGTGGTCAATCTGGTTTATGAGGCTAGAGATTGGCACCACATACAGATGATGGTGCTTCTTACACTATGTCTGGTTTAGTGATTTTCTTAGGTTTTCCTCCTTACCTTCACAAGCAGTACATATTGTCTGATGAGCTGACTCTGAGACAGCTGTTCTTGGTTGACTATCCACTGGTGTCTGAGCACCTGGGGGGGGCGTCAGCCGTTGGTGTGGATCCACATGGAGCATCTTAGTCACAATGTCCTATTGGAAACCATGAATGAAATGCAGAATTGCAGCATAAGTCACGTATGGGTCAGGCATACACACATTGACTCTTGCCAGTTTGTGGCCAATTTGTGGTCCTGTGTGGCTCAGTCGGTACAGCGTGGTGCTTGCAACACAAGGGTCGTGGGTTTGACTTCCACTGGTGCCACTCATACAAAAAAATTGATGCATACACTACTGTAAGTTGCTTTGGATAAAAGCATCTGCTAAATGGCATTTAATTTATTATTATAACATTATGCAGATTTTTTAAATCTAGGCCTAATTGAATGGAAGTGTGGTCAGTCTAGAACTGTTGCCCATTGTGTCCTGGTTCTACATGTTTTAAAGGTGTTAAAGGTGTGTTTGAGCCAGTAAGTGATGGATAAAGGGACACCTCCTTCTGAGAATTGTGGTGTGACCAGTTCAACAACTATTCTTGAGCAGTATGTGTATCTACCAAGAGAGAAATTGCTGATCCTGGATCAGTGGCACAACCTCAGAAAGTAGATGCACAGATAGAACAATGAGACAGATATTTCACCGGATGCATAAATGTGAAGCATCCGCTTGGCGTTTCCAAATATGGTAGTGAGAGGCAGCCCACTTGCCGACAGCGAGAGAAGATGGAACGAGATGGGATTTGGCCGACATTCTGCACATTTTCTCATCAATTAAGCATTTGATTTCAATACAGTTTTCTGTTCCCAAAAACTAGAATATGTTATGAACAGAGTGGACTAAGTTTTATAGACTTTACCCTGTGCAAAAGTGTTTAAAAATCGCGTTGTTTAGAAGGAGTGCAAAGGCGAATTGTGTTATTGAACACGCACACTTCACAGCGTAGGCGTTCCCTAACGGAAATATGCAGAGAATGCTAGAACGCGCCAATAGGATCTCGCTAGCTCGTGCTTGGCTCTCCCCACCTCCTTGCTTGTTCTGCCCACTATGACTCATTTGTTCCCGTTGGAAACGACAGGCTGTGGTCTATCTTGTTTTATTTGTAAAGAAATCTTCGCTAGAGGCGGGTCATCACCATGAGGCCGGAAATCGTGAGATTGCATAGCAACACCAATGAGAGGCGTCCTAACTGAGTCATTGCGACAGTGTCATAAATATAATGTTTCGGTGACGAACTCGAACTGTGACCATTAGTGTCCTCTACGCTAAGCTGCATTTACCCAGTTTGTACATTCCCATAGTTATACTTTTCTCTGCACTGCTAACCACCACAATCCGAAGTCATGGCAGGTACTTTGGCACGTAAGGCTGTTGACCATCTTAAAAGCAAGGAGTTCAGAGAGTATCTAATGAGGTATGACACATTTGCAAGATCTGGAAGATAGCTAGCTAACACTTTTACTGTACCAACTAGCAAGCTAGCTAGCTAATATAGCAATTACATTAATTATCAAACGTATCGAGCTAACATTAGTTGTAAATTGTAGCTAGCTACTACCGTTAACGTTTTTTGTACAAATGTTTTGTGTCCGGCCTGAAGGACGTTTGCGCTTGAATGTTGTTGTTATCACTCAAGCTAGCCCTTATCTTCATGACCCCAATTACATTACATTGGGTCATTGCACGTCCCCTTTTGCCTTGTGAGTGAAATGACACCCCCCGGAAACATTTCGAACTTAACTTTCTCGAGTTATAAATATTTTTTCAAATACAAAAGATGCACTTACCGTGCTTAGTTTAGCAAAGTTGCACCCAGCTGTGTTTTGAGTAACACTTGCTTTGAAACCCGACGTTGAATTGCATAGAATTCTACGTCTGGCAGAAATGAACGTTTGAATCAGGAACGTTTCCTCTCGCTACCTCTACAAGCCAGAATGTTGAATAAAATTATATTTTAAAGTACTTTACCGGTTGTCCGTGTGGTTGGTCCTTTTGGCGGTAGGAATGTGAGACAATATATCCACAGGAAAGTATAATTACATCAACTTTTCAAAGCGCTGTAGTGCGTTCAGATTTCTTTCACCTGAAACATGCGCAGAACCATGTAAACACGAGCTCGGCAAGTATGCATGCTTCTCATGCATGTATTTTATCTTGTGCGCATGTTTCAGGCGATATCAAATGTGAATGCACAAACGGGGCTTTGACAAGTTGATGTAATTATACTTTATTGTGGATATATTGTCTCACATTCTTACCGCCAAAAGGTCCAACCGCACGAACAACTGATAAAGTATGTTAAAATATCATTTTATTCTGCAATTCAACTTTGGGTTTCCAGGCAAGAGTAACACTATGTAATTGCTAGCGTAAGGTGAGAGGTTGTGTTGTACCCTTGTCTGGAGGCTTTTACATCTGGGTGTGACTTTGCTAAATTGCGTACTGTAAATATATATATTTTGGTCCCCTGTAGCTCAGTTGGTAGAGCATGGCGCTTGCAATGCCAGGGTTGTGGGTTCGTTTCCCACGGGGGGCCAGTATGAAAAATGTATGCACTCACTAACTGTAAGTCGCTCTGGATAAGACCGTCTGCTAAATGACTAAAATGTAAATGTATTTGAAAGATTATTTGTTGTTGGTATGAAAGTTAAATTCCAAAGCTAAGGTTTCCAAAACAGTATCACAAGGGAGGATTATTTGCACATAGAAAAGATCTACCGCTTCAGTGAGAATGACAGATCTATAACTCACATTTCTATGTGAATTTGGTCCGGTCGCCCAAAAAGTTACATATTGCAGCTTTAATGTTTCTAAACGTCAGAACAGAGTGTCAGGTTTGTAGTTCACATGGAGCCAGCTGTGGTCCCAAAAGGGGGCCGGCTATAAGCCCTCGTGGGCCCCCTTGGGTTCTCGAGAGCTAGCTGTCAAACTAGCCTACTGCTGATGTGTTGCCGGGGATGTCAGCCCTATATGAGTATTATGCCGCGTTCACGTCATGTCGTAGTGATCGGAGGAACGACCTTCTACTTCGGAGGAACAATTTGGACCGTTCACGTGCTCGGAGATCGGAAGGAACGCAAGAACCATTCTCACCATTGACAGCCGAAAACACGGCCATGTTTGTTGCCATTTTCAGTGGTGTGTGACGTCATAGTTCAGCATGTGGGAAAGATGGGGGTCCAGAGATCATACCGGAGTTTCCTAGTCGTAATTATGAGTTGGAGGGGCGTTCACATGCATTTTTCCCAGTAGGAAGGTCGTATTCATGAGTTCCCGACATGACTTGAACCATACATTTATTAGTTGTCCCAGGCAGGATGCGATGTGTTGGTTGTTTTCCTAAGGTATAGGCATATCCCCTAACCAAAACTCCTTCTGTCTTGTTATGTCTGTCATCTTGGTGTCTTCACGGGAACTTTCAAAAATAAGCACAGTAAGTACTCTGTTCGTTGTGTAGGCTACTTTTGTTTTTGTCTACTAAAATCACAGAATGTTTTGGCTTCATTGAACATAGCAGATAGACTCCTCTCTTAGGTAGTTAGTTGGCAAGATGGTATAATTGCTATGGCAGTTTGAATAAATTTGACCCTTACAGTAACCTCGTTGCTCTCAACATTAATTGTTCCTTAAAATGTTGTTTTCTACTTCTATTCCAGCACTTCTGGGGACCTGTGGCCAACTGGGGTCTGCCCATTGCTGCCATCAGTGACATGAAGAAAAGCCCTGAGATTATCAGTGGCAGAATGACCTTTGGTGAGACACGATACAGAAAACATAGACAGGTTTGATCGCCTGTTCACTATAATACTAGCAGCAGACTCAAGCTTGTTGAATAACTCCATGCTTTGATCAAGTAGAATTCCAATAGTTTAACATTATTCTTTGAACTTCAACAATCCTTTCCTGCAGTCTGACACACAAGGCAAGAACATTTAGGATGTCTGAAAGATATGAATGAAGTTTCAAGTGGCTGTTAATTCCTTATTTATTCAGTGTTCTTTGTTGTCGCCCCTCCCCCCCTCCGGCAGCTCTGACCTGCTACTCACTCCTGTTTATGAGGTTTGCATACAAAGTTCAGCCTAGGAATTGGCTCCTCTTTGCTTGCCACCTAACCAATGAGACAGCCCAGCTCATTCAAGGATCACGACTTATCAAATACAAGTAAGCTCACATTTTACTGTACTGCATGATTTGTTTATTTCAATGCAAACCAAATTTGTTTTATACCAGTTCTAAACACATACGTGATTTATTCACTGCTCAGATGGTGGTGTCTCCTGTCCGTAACAACTTCTTTATGGAACTTGGTAGGGTATAATAGACTGATATTTCAAGGAGGCCACAGCCTTGAAGCCCACATCTTTTAGGATTTCTCCATCCGAGAACATGTTGAAAGTTACCATCAAATTAACAAAAAATTTACAACATGGAAGCACTGTACTTCATGACATTCATTTTATCCATATCCATGATAGTGTCTTAACGTCAGTCTCTCGCGCTCTCATACTGTACACGCATAGATAATGAAACATAGTCACTGGTTATAATTTCAGACTTAAATGCTATTCTACAGAATGTGTATCTCCAGTAATTCTGATGGATTCTTTCCCTTCTTTCCAGCATGGAGAAGAAGTCATCTTAGGGGTGGACATGAGGAATATATAGTTTCATTTGGAAACCAGCATAGTTTGGCCGTATGGGTTTCGGGTGTATGGCAATTTTATCTTATCATTGAATACCAATGTAAAACTCTTAAATTAAAAATTGTTAATAAAGTTTCAACTTCTGTTGAAGATCACCATGTGTGTTTCTTCAGGTATATAAGGTAAATGAATAGATTTGCCACATGTATCACGCACAAACGAATAAAATGGAATGGAATCTGTAGAGGCCCTTTTACAGATGTCTTTTAAAGAGATCGTCTGTAACACATGCACTGTATGTTATGTCCTCATTTTGATAATGTATTAGCTATACCAATAACACAATCTTTATCAGAATGTACTGGCAATACAAGTGGTACTCTGTTGTGTTGCCATGGCAGTGTTATTCCTGAAGATAATGAATAAACCCTTATCTATTTCCCATAAATGAAACGTCCTCTTACACTGATCAAACTACATGCTCATAATGTCTAATAAACTGTCTGATATCCATTGAGTGGCTGATTAACTTTTACCTTCATGAAGACTGATAACTCTTCCAGGAAGGCTGCATTCTGAATGAACTTGATGAAAGGCAACAGCGAACATTCTGCCTAAGTTACATGTACTGCAATATCTTTGAAGTTGTATCTTGCTCTCATCATGCTTTTTATTTTAAATGTGTTGTTAATTTGAGTAATGATACTTGAGGTGAAGTAGCTAGACATATCTGCTTATAGACTCATGCAGTTGCCATTGAATGCTATGACTCGTAATAATGTATCTGTTAGAAATATTCATTTTATTTGAGTTTAGCATAAGCAGTCACACGTTTACATAATAAACATTGCAGGATAAATTCTAGTAAAATTACCTAAAATATGTTTACATTGTCTGTCTGTGGAAAATGGCAAAACCCACCTTTTTTGACCCAAGAAACAGCCAATTGTGATCAGGCTTTTCTTCAGTTGGATAGGTTCAGTGCCATACATTTAGAAAGGGTCATTTTCCCTTGAAAAATGAAGGCTAGTGTATTAGCAGAAGTATGTATATGTATTTGTTTAATGATTTTGTTATTTATTGTCTGATCATAATACTGTCTGTTTCCCAGTTAGTACTTACAATCTGTCTGAATTACAATTATTTTCAATACACATCTTATCACTCATATTGTTATTCAATAGATACAGTTGATTTTTTAAAAAATTACTGAGGCATTGGGCAACTACTTTAATGCTAGTATACCATTTGGTATTTCACTGCTGCAGTATCAAAATAAGCTTTCCCTGCTAGGTATATCTGAATTATGTTTAGACAAAGTCACCCTTTTTATTGATGGAACACTCGGTAACAACACGCCCCCAAGTCAAGTTTCACAAGTCATCACTGGTGATCACAAGGCCATTGGCGATCTGGTTCTCAAGAATCAGCCCCTCCTCGTCCTCCTGCACAAGCAATGGAGATAATTAAAATGATCAACAACAAGCATTTTAGGTCTTCACAATATTATTTAATGCATGGTCTAGTAAATAATTTAGTAACCTATTTGATATATTTGCACCAGAATTACGCAAATGATTCATTGTCTACTAAAGTGCATGATGATCAAGTACACTTTATCCTCCCATCGTTTGGATTAGCAGAGGTCACTCACCTCGCTTCTGGGAATGTAGTCTTTTTCTGTGCTTCTGTACGACACCACATGGATAAGAGTATATACTCTGAAGAGAAACCGCACAGTGTGTACTTTTAGTTTGATTTCATTAAGACTCATCAGATAACTGAAACTGAACTATTGCGTGCATTGAGAGAGAAAAACTAACATTTTCAGCTGTAATAATGGGCATGGCATGAGGTTGTAATCGTATTCTATTAGTGTCTCTGTCTTTTATTTGGAAATGTCTGTCTTATGCATGTTTGGAAGGTGGTGTTATGTAGATATATCATGTATCAAATTATTAAATATGTATCATATTGTGTTTGAGAAATGTTTTCCTACCTGTGGTAAAGCATAGCCAGGAACTGCACCACTAGAAGCACAGCAAATGACAAGAGGAACATCAGACTGAGAGGCTCCACCTTCAGGTATTCTCCAGATGATGTGCCATTTGGCCAGATTTTTTCAATCTTGATGCTAATCACATCATTTCCAATGGCTTGTAAAAAGAAAGTGGCCACAATCCACAAAACGTTGACGATGAAATACAGAAACACTGCCTGTAAAACAGCAAAAACAAAAGATGATCATTCCACGAGCCATGCGAGTAAATAAATAGACGGATTTAGATGCAGTTAATAAAATTAAAGCTCACCTTGTTCCGTAGTGACTTCAGTTCCCTTGTCACTTCCTCTTTATGTGCTTTATCATCAACAATGGGTGCAAGGTATCTCTCAAGCAGTTTCTTCCAAAAGTCATGTTCATCCTGCCAAAATACATAGGGAAACATGGTAGCTATATTTTTGACCATTTGTAATATTCATAATCCCTACCTAGATGAGGGCAAACATTGTTTCTCAACACTGTCTGTTATTCAGATCAGGGGCGGACTCGGATCAGAAATCAGCCCTGGCATTTATAACACACCAGACCATTTGTTTCCTTGAGGCCCCCACACCGGCCCATTATTTTCCTCAAGGCCCCCACACTGGCCCATTTTTTCCCTTGAGGACCCCATTATTAGCCAGATAATTATAATTTTGTGCTAAAAACCCAAGATAGACAGGCCCACTGGGCTAAACATGGACCAGCCCATATGTCATTTCGGCCAGTCCGCCCCTGATTCAGATTATAATTCAAAGGGTCTGGTTCCAGAGTCTTATTATTGCTAAAATCCATCCCAGGTCAAATATTTAGAGAAAAAAATGCATGGAGCTGCATTGATAAGACACCAGGCGATACAATATAACATATAAATACAATATGAATGGCATGTGGCACTCAAGCAAATACCTCAGTCAGTTTCACCACCTGTGGGGCAATGAGGGTCTTCTCTATGGCTCTTTTCACCCTCCTCTCCAGCCTCTCCATGCGGTTGGTTTTTAGGATCCTCCTGGCGGCCTCGTTAAGGGCGTACTGCAGCTCTTCTAACTGGCTGTCGCTCAGCACGTCCTCTGGGCCCACCTTGTCCTTCAGCTCTCCGTTCACTGTGTCCGTTAGCATCATCACCAGCTCTTCACACACATCCTCCTGGTTCTTGTTCCTCAGGGTGTAGCGGATCTGTTCCTGAAGGTTCCTTTTCATGTTGGCGTAGGTCAATTTCTTCAGGAACTCTTCCTTGACAGGCTGAACCCAATCTATTTATTGAAAGCAAATTGTGTAGAGATGAGGGTGCTGTTGAGTATAATTCAACTTGCGGTTACATACTGACTTTTGTATGCTATAGGTTACAGCTATACTCTTTTATTGACGTGCTCCTTTGTCAATAATCATGTCTACAGGTTGCACATTATTTCACAGGGTGTTTCTATTGGTATTTACCTGGTATTGTATGTAGGAAATCAATGGGTACCTTGATACCAGATGGTGGCTTGTGGTACTTGATTTAATTTAATTAATTGGTTATTATGATGTAATTACAATTTTACCATGTACCCTTTCAGTAAATACCTAGTAATTTCTATACTGTAAGATAAAGTACTTTCAATTTAAAAGTGTTAGCAAGAATCAGGTTAGCAAATGGATGGAAAAGCTTAGACTTTCATGTACTGAACCACCTACCACTTTGAGGTAGTATTTCTCTTTCTTCCTCGGTGAAGCCACTATAAAGCGAACCATCATAAAGCATATTATCATCATCATCTCTGTTGTCATCTTCAATGCTGGAATAAGCACTCTCCTTTTTTGGAAGGCTGTCAAGACTGTCATCACTGCTGTGAACAAAATTATGAAAAGTTACAACTGATATAGCACTTCATTTGATAAAAGTTTGCATTAAACAATATATGAGCAAGATCCTTTGGGCCTTTGTGAAATGCTTTGTACATGCCTTGTATCAGATTTTGAGTCGCTGTCTTTCTTGGCCCATTTGCTGTCTGAAGACTCTGGAAGTATTTCCTTGTTGTTTTCTTCATTCAGTGCATTATTTATCTCTTTCTTAGTGTTGGCTTGTTGTTCTTTCACCACCTGTTCAGTGACTTGCGTGTTTGGATTGACTGCCTGCTGGAGTTGCTGGAGCATCAAGTTATCAGTCTCTTGGGTGACTTGTAGTTTCATATCCCAACAGCAAAGTTTGCAGTTGCGATCACAGAGAACATTCTGGGTCATCTTCTCTTCTTTCTCCTTGTTTGTCTCTCGGGTGCCCCATGTGACAATGTGCATGTTCACCAGGGAGTAGATTGTGAGCAAGAGATAACCACTGGGGATACAGATGAAGTACATCAGACCATAGATGATCATGCTGAACTCCTGGGGATGAAGGATGGCAGTTACCAAGTACATGACAGCCATGGACACCAGGAAGAGGCCAGTTGGGGTGATAAATGTGCCCTGCATAGCCATGTCACCTGGGGAACGAATGAAATTAAATGTGTATCGTAACAGTCTGACTTGGCACCAATCAACAGTAGTGATGTAAGAGTTAGTGATAAATTACAGCTTAATCTCAGAACCAATAACTAAATCAGTTACTTAGGCTGTCATGAGAGACTAAATACAGCTCAATGTCATACAGTATGTTTGGGTGAAAAGAAACTAGAACAAAGTCTACCTGTGGTTTACTGATGATTACAGGTTAACCGATAATGTAAAAATATAAAAATAGTTATACTGATGATGGGACAGGCAATACAATTTAATTTATCACCAGCCTCCACCCTTGAAATGATAAGAGGTAGTGTCACGGATCCCCCCAATACTGCTGCTCATTCCATTCACCAGCTCCGGAGGTCTACGTCACCGGCCTTCTAGGCGTCACTGATCTGGTTAATTACCACCAACCCCTGACTGTCTTGTCTCATTACGCACACCTGGTTCCCATTCCCCCTGATTAGTATGTGTATATATGTGCCCTCTGTTCCCCATTGTCCTTGTCGTTTATTGTCCGATGGTCTCGTGAGTACATTGTATTACAGTTTACATGCAGAGTAATCGTGCACTTGTTATTACGGGTCTCGTCCCGTGTATTATTTAGGGGTTTACACCTCGCTCTTTTGTTTGGGTTACATCCCTGTGTTATATGTGTGTTTATTTTGGGCTTCGTCCACGTCGTTTTCCATGACGTACCTTATGTTGGGTTGAGTAATAAAAAACCCTATTACGTATTCCTGCGCCTGTCTTCTATCAGTATACAACGTGACAGGTAGCCTCTATCTTTGCCTATTCAACCTGTGGTATGTAGTGAAAAGTCATTGCCAAAGCTTACCGATGATGGCGAAGAATGACGCTAACATCAGAAAGGCGTACAACACACTCATAATGGCTGCAATGATTATCTGGGCATTTGGTTTTGCCAAAAAGCAAATGAACATGTAGAAAATAGGTGGGATGACTGCTATGATGATGGACAGGGTTCCTTCAATGTTGAACACAAACTGGAAAGCACCTAAAGAGGAAGAAAGAAAAATGGTGAATACTTCCTGGAATGGAGATCTGTATATCCTAGCATATAAGAACAAAACCATTTGAATTCATCTTCGCCACATAACTTTTTATGGTTTTATCAACCAAAGCAAAAGTCATACAGTGCTGTGAAAAAGTATTTGCCCCTTTTCAAACTCTCTACTTTTGCATATTTTTTTATTAGATAATGACCGTTTTTTTTTCTTCTCGACTGTCTTTGATTGTTAGTTCTCAAAGATGGTATTATAAAAAATATACATAGTTCAATATCTTTTCTGCATGCTTTCTATTTGTTTTGTAGTCATCTAAGTTAACAAACTGTTTTTCCATCCCGAAATTGAATTTTCTATACCAGTAATTAGCTTAAATTACTGTAATTTCCTCCATATTAAAGGGATAGTTTGAGATTTTGGCAATGAAGCCATTTATCTACTTCCCCAGAGTTGGATGAACAGCTAGCATGCTAACTGTTCCTGTAGACTTCCAGTCATTGCGCTAACGCTAGTTCGCATTGGCTCATGAAACTACCTCTAATTTCCTTCATACTGGACGTAGAGACGTAAAATTGGTATCCAAGGTGGTATTCTGTTGCAGCTAGCGATATTCATAAAATAATATTTTTTCACGGAAAATAATTACCCCAAATATTTGTTCTAACAAAATAAATTCATTGCAGACCCCAGTTTGAAAATCCCTGCTTTAATTGGTTAGACATACTTTATGGTTATACCTTTTGTCCTGTGCCCTAAAATGTTAGTCATATGTAATCTCATCCACCCAGCTGATGCGCTGCCTGAAGTTGAGCTTTTTAATTTATTGACAATTAGAAATACTTAACTTTACTTCATTATTTAGAGTGTAAGACAGGGGGTGCTAAGCTGACATGGAATTGTTTTAAGATGGTCATACTATGGAAGTGTGACACTGGAGGATGTGGTGGATTGAGACGCATTCAATGCAAAAAAAACATCTCTAGTTTAAACTGACTGATTTTGAAGGGGATTTGTTTTGTTATGTAACAGATTGACGCACCAGTTAAGGGAATAAGTGGCACATCTGCTTTAAGCACAGCTCTAGTTATTCTAGGTCATACAGTATAATTGGTATTCATCAACATTAATTTCCAAGAAATAACAGAACAAGCACAGCGTGAGATTGGTGCCCACCTGCTATCATCAGAGAAACGGAGGCAGGGCCGAGAATGGAGGAGCTGACAGTGAATATCTGGTAGAAGATGTAGAGCCTGGAGATGGAAGAGTTCCTCTTGACCGTCTCATTGCCGCTGTGCAGGAGGTCCAGGGTGTTGGCTAGAGTGGAGGGCCCCCAGCGACGCCTCTGGTTATAGAACTCTTTGAACTCCTGAGGGGAGTTGGTGTAGGCATCCGACGCAGCGTTGTACTCCACTCTCCAGCCCTGCTGGAGGAGCAGGGTGCACAGCCAGCGGTCCTCACCTGGCCAGCGGGAAGACGGAAGATTCATGAAAGTCATTGTATGGATCAGGTCCTAGGACCGGTGCACACCATAATGATTATCTCTAGGGAACCCTTAATCAGCAAGCAAATATGTAGCTCAAGGAACTGTGATAATACTTTCTATGAACCACCTGTGTATAGGCTGATACAGACAATCAAGTGTTGTTGATGGGAGAATAAGAAAGTAGTCACCTTGATCATATTGAACGTACTCAGAGGCTCTAGTTGCAGTGGTGGTGTATCTCTTGAGCACATTGTCATCCATCAGAGCTGATCCCCTGAACAAGCTGAAGCATCCAGGACTGCAGAGGACTGAACCAAACACGTGCTCAGCTGTTTTCTGGAGCCAGTGACCAACAGCGTACTCAAATTTCTGATACCACACCATTGGACCTACAATAGAATACAATGCTCATCAGTCATACTGTAGCCTACATCTCTTTGTGATATAGGACATCAATAAGGGAACATAGCTTTCACCTGGTCAGTCTGTGTCATGGAAAGAGCAGGTGTTCCTAATGTTTTGTACACTCAGTGTATATGCTAGACATAGCAATGTCTGAGTGGACCATCTAACTCTTTGGTAAAGCTTTACTCACCCATTCCTGTTGGATGGATTCTTCCGCATGCAGCACCCACATTGCCGTACTTCCGAAGTCGATCCACCAGTAAGATCAGAGCTGCGGGCTGGAAGTCTGTGTCCCCATCCAAGGCCATGATGTAGGTATTGTCATCAGATATGTGTTTTCTCTTACTGTCATTGTCATGCTGTGGCAACAGGAAACTCTCCCCATCCAATGATATGAGACTGGCACGGCAAGGATTGTTCTGTCTCTGTATAAGACACAAAAAATATCATACACATTAATTTAGGGAAACCATGGAAACCATGGCTCTGCTGATTTATCATATTTACAGATCACCTGTGATTTATCATATTTACAGATCACCTGTATTGTAGGGATAAAGGCAATAACATGGAAATGAGCATTACATGTATTACATACCGTTATCTTCTGAGGATTCTTGACAATGTATCCTTTCCACCCAAGCAGATAGTACAGGTACATGATCTGAAAGACATGACAGATGCAAACCTATAACCATTTGATTTTCCTGAAGTGTTTCCATTCTAAAACCAGAAAGCAATTACAAGATGTACATATGTTCTTCAAGAAATGTCATTAAAAACCCTCCCGTTGTCCTAGGGTCAAAATGACCCGCCACTGTGTTGAACCAACTTTATTTAATTTTTATATTTTGGGGATCATTTGTGAGAAGGAGGCAGTGAGACTTTAAAGAAAGTATCACTGCCTCCTTCTCACAAATGATCCAAAAAATATAAAAATTAAATAAAGTTGGTTCAACACAGTGGCGGGTCATTTTGACCCTAGGACAACGGGAGGGTTAAAGTATGTTAATATAGGTTACTGTGGTGAAATCATGGAATATAGAAAATCATCCCACCCACCTGTGACCATCTCTTCTTGTTTCGGATCAGCTGTTTGTCTTTCAGATGGACATACAACATGTTTCCCTCTGGCATCACAAACATTAATCGCCCACCATAGGGAGTCTCGATAATTGACACATCATCAGGCTCCTTATTGGTGAATACCCTGAAATACACAAACATTCAAGATTAATTATAAAACAGTTCACAGTAGTTGGATTAATAGAATTGCCATTTGTAGTGAATGCATCGTTACGCTTGCTTGTGCTCATTAATTGACACTATTGGTTTGGTTTTATATGGAACAAAGAGCAAAGAAAAACAAAATGTCCACTTACCTGTATACCTCTATGACCACGTGAATGAGATCGGTCACATATTCGTTGATCAACTTTTTGCCCTTCTCCTTTACTATCATGAATGCGTCATCTACAAATATGTGGCACTCAAAGTCAAAAACATCTTTATGTTCCTCTTTTGGGTCACCTCTGTACCGGTCCAACCTGAAACCATCAAGACACATATAATTACAGAAAGTCATATTTTTCTGCTAAACATTATGATCACCTTATCATTCATTGTATTTTCTGAAAGTCTGTTGACCCCGTACACACTAAGCTTGTACAACTGATGTGCAATGCATTTTACACAATGGTTGTGATACAACTGATATTTTGTGATACAACGGAGAGTTTGTCTGTACAAACATGTTTACACAAACATTTTACGTTGTCTCCACAACTCTTGTGTAATTAGTTTTATGCAGAAAAACTCTCTGTTGTATCACAACCAGTTGTGCCAAATGTGTTGAAGGCTTCATGAGTTATACAACTTGTGTACGGGGCCATTGTCTTGTGTTGTATACAAGAGGCCTCTGCTTTACCTGAACATGGATGTCAGGATCTTCAACATCTCATCATAGGTCTCATGCCACATTGTTGCACAGAGGTAAATTACACAATTCTCCACGTCGTCAACAACACTACTGTAGAATGAAAAATATGGGGAAAGTACGAGAACATGTTTGGATGGATGGGCAGAGAGAGAGCTGTTTCTAATCATGTTAATGTCCGTGAGTATATTTCAGCACACTACCACTGAGTCGCTGTGTTATATAGTACACTGTCGGTAAAACTAAACAATTAGTGAACAAATGTCTATTTGCCGTGTGAAGTATTAGACCACATGGACTTTTAATAATTTAAATAGCAGAATCTTGCCTCTCTTGGTTCCTCGTTCGTACAACCTTCATCTTAGTGTTCAGAAGCATAGACAGGTCGATGAAGGCAGACTCGTAGAGGCGTCGCACAAACAGCTCAGTTGTGCGCTCGATCCTCTGGACCCTGAAGTTCCACACGTAGTAGGTGCATGTGATAAGCCCGAGCCACATGCAAATCCCCTCCAGCGCAAGTAGGGAGAAAGGCCAGGTCCAGTAATGGCTGCTCAAAGAAGTCCTGCAGATGCTCTTGGTGATCTCCAGCATCACGACTGCGGTAGTGTTCTTGGTGCTTAGGTCCACTAGGCTTGAGCAAAAGTCTATGATAGAAGTTGTGTCGGCCGCAGCTAGGTCTTCAGATTGCGTTAGGAAAAGGATCATGCCGAGGATGAGAACGGCGGGCCCAGTGAAACAGACAGGGAAGGCGAAGCTCATTCGCACAGAGTGGATCTTACAAGCCACCACCCCAAACCAATGGCATGCAGCAGAGAAAAAGGCTTGGAGGAAAAGGACAGTAAGACCAATATCAAGGGTCTCTCTATGCCTTGCAATTGTATTTTCATCTTCATCGGCCTTAGGAGTGAAATCAAAATCTGACCATACAATGTTTTCCTGTATCAACACGTGGTAGATGAGGTACACAGCAGCAATGACTACTATCCTTAAGAGGCTGGATATCACAAACACAAAGTCTCTGAAGGTGTCCAACTCAGTCAGTATTTCTTGCATGTTGTTGCTTGCCTGCACTGGGTTTTCCCACCAGGTCAGAGAAACCAAAAAGGATGCAAAAACTGCAATGCCAACATACCAATAACAGTCATTTTCCTGGCCTGATACATACGAGGTTACCCGAACGTAATAGTCTGCCCCGAGGAGAAAGTAGCCGGTCAGGACAAGCATAAGCGAACAAATGGGGAAGATGATCTTCCAGTTCTCTCTCTGCAGGCGAAATGCTATCTGTAGGACAGAGGAAAGCATGCAGACTCCCCCAGAGATGAACAGGTTTGTGAGTACGTCAAACTGGGGCATCACAACCAGCACCAGGATGGAGGTCCCAAGAGACACCAGGCATTCAATGACACACACCTGAAAGATAAAGATTTACATTTGTATTGACAGCAAGCAATCGAGGAGCAAATAAGACAATCAAAGATCACCAAGGAGTCAAATTGTATAGTATTTCACAGTGTCAATTTACAATTCCCATAGTTCTCATGTTTGGCGGAACGAAGTTCTTGAAAGCGCATTTCCACAGTGACTTGAGGAACACGAGCAGGTTGGGCACCACCAAAGAGCACACCAGCATGAGCACGTAGTATTGTCTTTCCTTGGGAGTCCTAGTTGATGTGGGGCTTGAGAGCGTGGCTAGAACTAGCAGAGAGCCCTGAAGATTGGATGTAAACACAACTGGCATCAGACTTCTTATATTATAAAATCAAAGATGACTGAATTAATTCATTTAGACACTGATCTACACAGGGTTGGGTAGTAACTGATTACATGTAATCAGACAACATGTAATCTGAAAAAAGAAAAACAACTTTTGAAAAACTAGATGATTACTTCTCGGATTACTTTTAAATTCAGAAAGGACGTGGGCAAAAATACATTATGACACCTTTCTGTTTTCTCAATGACATTCAATTCAGCACTGAAACAAGGCGCAAGTTTAAGTTTGTCTTCCTCTAACGCCTCTTAAGGGGTAAGTCATCCAAAAGTAACTGAAAGTAATCAGATTACGTTACTGAGTTTGAGTAATCCAAAAGTTATGTTACTGATAACAATTTTGGACAGGTAACTAGTAATGGTTACTGGATTACATTTAGAAAGTAACCTACTCAACCCTGAAACTACATAGTGAGTGTGAACATTTCCTTCATAGTGTTTTGACTTTATGAGGAGAATGTTTGCAGTGTACATGTTAGAGAGAAAACAGATAGCAGAGTACAAAGTGTATACAGTACAGTCATGTCATAAATTCTCTTGCTACACACGTGTCCATGGAGATGGCAATGCCAGCTGAGGCGATAAGGGAAAACGTACAAGGGGCTTTAATTAGTATCATTCTGTCAGTGGAAATGTAATTAATTTTTGTTCGAAAAAATAGATTGCTCAGTCGTTGTCGTGCATGGCCTACAGTATCACATACATCATCTATGTGGATATAGAACAGTGGAGGCTGCTTAGGGGAGAACGGCTCATAATAATGGCTGGAACAGAGCGAATGAATGGCATCAAACCATGTGTTTAATGTAATTTGTAAGTCGCTCTGGATAAGAGCGTCTGCTAAATGACGTAAATGTAATGTAAATGTAATGTATTTGATACCATTCAACTTATTCCATTCCAGGCATTACCACGAGCATGTCCTCCCCAATTAAGATGCCACCAACCTCCTGTGATATAGAAATAGCATATTTATATAAACCCTCTCATTAAAGACAGTCATGAGATTTGTCTCATATAGAACCCATACCACTTCCCTAAACTATTCATCAATGCTGATTTGTGGGAACGTATCTGATACTGTATGGATTCGATATACATTAAAAGGTTAGTTTACCCAAATTACAAAATGACATATTGGTTTCCTTACCCTGTAAGCAGTCTATGTAAGCATTCTATGGACATGGTAGATGTACGACAGGAATCCATGATTTGGTTTAATTTCCCTGACACTGTTCCACATGCTAACGTTTTAGCATTTGTGTCACAAATCCCATTCAAATCCCATTCAAGTCATGGGACCGATATTTGGACATGATGTGCGAAAAATGCTTATATCGGTCCCATGACTTGAATGGGATTTGAATGGGATTTGTGCCACAATGCTAAAACATTAGCATGTGGAAATAGTGCCAGGGAAACTAAACCAAATCATGGATTGCTGTCATACATCTACCTTGTCCATAGACTGCTTACAGAATAAGGAAACCAATGCGTTATTTTGTAATTTGGGTGAGCTATCCCTTTAAAATATGATTATAAGATGACATCACAGGAGGTATTATGCTTGAATGTGTTGATCCAGTAGTTTCCAGGTTCAGGGTGCTGGTCCCTCATTGTGGCTCACCTTGCTGATGACAGCACTGGACAGGACCATTATCCCCACTAACCCTGCCACCAGGTGCTGGAACAGCTCAAAGCATCTTCTCTTCTCCTCTTTCTCAGCACCAATGGGATTCAACTGGAATGGATCCCAGGTGTCCCTGTGACAGTATCAAACACAATTTCAAACAGTTAAAACTGTTTATTACTGATTCATAAACCATCCTTAAAACAATAACATCCAGTCTTTATAAACCCTTTATAAAGTGTTACTGTAATATCTAACTTGAAGATATGTTATATCAAAGGAAGCCCAGTGGCACAAGTGAGTCACAAGTGGCATCAAACAACATCCATTTTCAAGTGTGTGTGTGGCAGGCAAAGGTGACACTATATTAGCCACTGTTGAATCATTGGAAATGGGACTGTTGATGGGGTACAATAGATACTGACAACGTCATACCCCAGTCTTAGTATATCTAATGAGCTTCGGCTTTGAAACACCCTAACTCACCCAACCCAATTGTGACCAGCCCTACAAGTTGAATCACCCTAATTAAGATATGACCGTTATCCATTATATCAACCTTATGTAAACTATTGCTTATACAAGCTTTCTACAAGGAAGTGGGTTAAGTGTCACCTCTATCAGGTTTACTGAAAGAAACTGATCTGAAGAGGGAACCAAATGTTGATCAACTTGTCTCAAATAATGAATCTGAATAGACTGTTGATTATGGTCTAGCTCAGTGGTTCTCAACCTGGCCACCCATAACATAGGCCTGATCATAAGTCTTATACCTATATTTGTATACTATTACTCACCCTAAAGCATGAATTTATTGCAATGCATCTGTCATGCTCATTCTCATGAGTCTCAAAACACTTATTGTAAACATAATGTAGTAATGAATAATACATTGTCAGATGTCTTTGTTTTCTCATTCCTATTGATAGGCTTCCTATCGATATAACATTGTCAGTATTGAGCTAATATCTATTGTCATCACACTATACCTTATGTAGAATAATAGATACATTATGACAGCTTCTGATGACATCTGACACACTGTAATTCCAGCAATATCAGAACAAAACAGAGGTCCACAATAAGAAGCATTTGGGAAGGAATTAAACTTTGCTTCCTTCCCACTGGGCAACAACTAGTTGAATAAACGTTGTTTCCACGTCATTTCAACAACAAAAACAACAACAAATGTGATGAGGTTGAATTAACATGGAAAACTATTTGGATTTGCAAAAAGTCATCAGCGTAAGCTTGGCATGGTGAAATTTGTTGTGGATTTCATATTGAATTCACACGAGTTGACAACTCAACCAAATGTAAATCAAAACTAGTAGGTTGTAATATACACTGAGTGCACAAAACATTGGGAACACCTTCCTAATATTGAGTTGCACCCCCTTTTGCCCTCAGAACAGCCTCAATTTGTCAGGGCATGGACTCTACAAGGTGTCCAAAGCGTTCCACAGGGATGCTGGCCCATGTTGACTCCAATGCTTCAACTTGTGTCAAGTTGGCTGGATATCCTTTGGTCGGTGGACCATTCTTGATACACATGGGAAACTGTTGGCCATGAAAAACCCAGCAGCATTGCAGTTCTTGACACACTCAAATCAGTGCGCCTGGCACCTACTACCATACCCCGTTCAAAGGCACTTAAATATTTTGTCTTGCCCATTCACCATCTAAATGGCACCATACACAATCCATGCTGTCTTGAGGCTTAAAAATCATTATTTAACCTGTCTCCTCTCCTTCATCTACACTGAATGAAGTGGATTTAACAAGTGACATCAATAAGAGATCAGAGCTTTTACCTGGATTCACCTGGACAGTCTGTGTCATGTTCATAATGTTTTGTACACTAAATTCTCATTACCCTCCAAATAATGGTAAATGATGTCTGTCATTGTACATGATATAGTTGTATCATGATATAGTTGTATTACCTCTATTTAGTATGATTTCAGTATAGGTAGAATATTTTCAATTTATGGAATAATTTCTGTTTTTTGTACAGAGCTAATTATGTTCAGGATCAGACCCTATGAATCCTAACAGTTTTGCCTGAAATTATTCCCACATTCCCACTGAATGTATTTATTTTAGATTAATAAAATGTACCTGTGCCTCCCTTCCCTTTTCCGCCCTCTGAATTTGAGCTCCTCCATGTTTCACCGTCCTTAGTGGTAGAGCTTAGTAGTCCTTATTAGCAGTCCATTTACTGAGGTACTAAGGTATTGATATGCGTACGTTTACTTTAATCAGCTACTACTATCTGCAACGCCTCGCCACTCCCTCGTTTACTGTCCATTAACCATAAAGAGGTACAAGGATCATACGTAAGACACTTTAACATCTTTATTGTCGCTTACGGAAATGAATGAAACTAGAAATTTTGAAAGTATTTTTGTTTACCTTTATGACAGTGTACAGTGCCTTGCAAAAGTATTCATCCCCCTTGGCGTTTTTCCTATTTTGTTGCATTACAACCTGTAATTTAATTGATTTTTATTTGGATTTCATGTAATGGACATACACAAAATAGTCCAAATTGGTGAAGTGAAATTTAAAAAATAACTTGTTTCAAAAAATTCTAAAAAATAAATAACGTAAAAGGGGTGCGTGCATACAGTGGGTAAAAAAAGTATTTAGTCAGCCACCAATTGTGCAAGTTCTCCCACTTAAAAAGATGAGAGAGGCCTGTAATTTTCAGCATAGGTAAACGTCAACTATGACAGACAAATTGAGAAAAGATTTTCCAGAAAATCACTTTGTAGGATTTTTTATGAATTTATTTGCAAATTATGGTGGAAAATAAGTATTTGGTCACCTACAAACAAGCAAGATTTCTGGCTCTCACAGACCTGTAACTTCTTCTTTAAGAGGCTCCTCTGTCCTCCACTCGTTACCTGTATTAATGGCACCTGTTTGAACTTATTATCAGTATAAAAGACACCTGTCCACAACCTCAAACAGTCACACTCCAAACTCCACTATGGCCAAGACCAAAGAGCTGTCAAAGGACACCAGAAACAAAATTGTAGACCTGCACCAGGCTGGGAAGACTGAATGTGCAATAGGTAAGCAGCTTGGTTTGAAGAAATCAACTGTGGGAGCAATTATTAGGAAATGGAAGACATACAAGACCACTGATAATCTCCCTCGATCTGGGGCTCCACGCAAGATCTCACCCCGTGGGGTCAAAATGATCACAAGAACGGTGAGCAAAAATCCCAAAACCACACGGGGGGACCTAGTGAATGAACTGCAGAGAGCTGGGACCAAAGTAACAAAGCCTACCATCAGTAACACACTACGCCGCCAGGGACTCAAATCCTGCAGTGCCAGACGTGTCCCCCTGCTTAAGCCAGTACATGTCCAGGCCCGTCTGAAGTTTGCTAGAGTGCATTTGGATGATCCAGAAGAGGATTGGGAGAATGTCATATGGTCAGATGAAACCAAAATAGAAATTTTTGGTAAAAACTCAACTCGTCGTGTTTGGAGGACAAAGAATGCTGAGTTGCATCCAAAGAACACCATACCTACTGTGAAGCATGGGGGTGGAAGCATCATGCTTTGGGGCTGTTGTTCTGCAAAGGGACCAGGACGACTGATCCGTGTAAAGGAAAGAATGAATGGGGCCATGTATCGTGAGATTTTGAGTGAAAAACTCCTTCCATCAGCAAGGGCATTGAAGATGAAACGTGGCTGGGTCTTTCAGCATGACAATGATCCCAAACACACCGCCCGGGCAACGAAGGAGTGGCTTCGTAAGAAGCATTTCAAGGTCCTGGAGTGGCCTAGCCAGTCTCCAGATCTCAACGCCATAGAAAATCTTTGGAGGGAGTTGAAAGTCTGTGTTGCCCAGCGACAGCCCCAAAACATCACTGCTCTAGAGGAGATCTGCATGGAGGAATGGGCCAAAATCAAATCAAATCAAATTTTATTGGTCACATGCGCCGAATACAACAGGTGCAGACATTACAGTGAAATGCTTACTTATACCAGCAACAGTGTGTGAAAACCTTGTGAAGACTTACAGAAAACGTTTGACCTGTGTCATTGCCAACAAAGGGTATATAACAAAGTATTGAGAAACTTTTGTTATTGACCAAATACTTATTTTCCACCATAATTTGCAAATAAATTCATTAAAAATCCTACAATGTGATTTTCTGGATTTTTTTTTCTCATTTTGTCTGTCATAGTTGACGTGTACCTATGATGAAAATTACAGGCCTCTCATCTTTTTAAGTGGGAGAACTTGCACAATTGGTGGCTAACTAAATACTTTTTTTCCCCACTGTATGTATTCACCCCCTTTGCAATGAAGCCCCTAAATAAGATCTAGTGCATCCAATTCCCTTCAGAAGTCACATAATTAGTTAAATAACGTCCACCTGTGTGCAATCTAAGTGTCACATGATCTGTCACATGATCTCAGTATATATACACCTGTTCTGAAAAGCCCCAGAGTCTGCAACACCACTAAGCAAGGGGCACCACCAAGCAAGCGGCACCATGAAGACCAAGGAGCGCTCCAAAACGTCAGGGACACAGTTGTGGAGAAGTACAGATCAGGGTTGGGTTATAAATAAATATCAGAAACTTTGAACATCCCACGGAGCACAATTAAATCCATTATTAAAAAATGGAAAGAATATGGCACCACAACAAACCTGCCAAGAGAGGGCCGCCCACCAAAACTCACGGACCAGGCAAGGAGGGCATTAATCAGAGAGGCAACAAAGAGACCAAAGATAACTCTGAAGGAGCTGCAAAAATCCACAGCAGAGATTGGAGTATCTGTACGTAGGACCACTTTAAGCCGTACACTCCACAGAGCTGGGCTTTACGGAAGAGTGGCCAGAAAAAAGCCAATGCTTAAAGAAAAAAATAAGCAAACACGTTTGGTGTTCGCCAAAAGGCATGTGGGAGACTCCCCAAACATTTGGAAGAAGGTACTCTGGTCAGATGAGACTAAAATTCAATTTTTTGGCCATCAAGGAAAACGCTATGTCTGGCGCAAACCCAACACCTCTCATCACCCCGACAACACCATCCCCACAGTGAAGCATGGTGGTGGCAGCATCATGCTGTGGGGATGTTTTGCATCGGCAGGGACTGGGAAACTGGTCAGAATTGAAGGAATGATGGATGGCGCTAAATACAGGGAAATTCTTGAGGGAAACCAGTCTTCCAGAGATTTGAGACTGGGACGGAGGTTCACCTTCCAGCAGGACAATGACCCTAAGCATACTGCTAAAGCAACACTTCAGTGGTTTAAGGGGAAACATTTAAATGTCTTGGAATGGCCTGGTCAAAGCCCAGACCTCAATCCAATTGAGAATCTGTGGTATTACTTAAAGATTGCTGTACACCAGCGGAACCCATCCAACTTGAAGGAACAGGAGCAGTTTTGCCTTGAAGAATGGGCAAAAATCCCAGTGGCTAGATGTGCCAAGCTTATAGAGACATACCCCAAGAGACTCTACAGGTGGCTCTACAAAGTATTGACTTTGGGGGGGGGGGGGGGGGGTGAATAGTTATGCACGCTCAAGTTTCTGTGTTTTTGTCTTATTTCTTGTTTGTTTCACAATTTAAAAAAAATATTGCATCTTCAAAGTGGTAGGCATGTTGTGTAAATCAAATGATACAAACCCCCCAAAAAATCAATTTTAATTCCAGGTTGTAAGGCAACAAAATAGGAAAATTGCCAAGGGAGGTGAATACTTTCGCAAGCCACTGTACATGTGAAAGGTTGATGATTTACATACTGTATGGACAAAATTAACCACCTCAAACATTTACATGTCTTCAGTTGGGCAATTTATTTACCAAGATAAGTTACATAGCAACAATGTTTTGAGAATATGTTTGATATTCTAGTTCTATCATTACAGAGCATACATTAACAGTGATTCAGTGCAAGGTCATAGTATGATGAAGGACCTCATAGATAAAAATCCACCTCTCCCACACTCTTAAACCCTTTTAGATGTGATTTTTCTTTCAGGCCTTCTTTAACTATGGTTTTGTTGGATTACAAATTATGAATGTGTTCGAAATAACCCTTAGTATGCGTAGATCCTCCGTTTGTACTTGTAGCCTATGTGTACAAAAATAAGATATACTGCATGAGGGGCCAAGTTTTTCCAACAACTTAAGAGAGAGTTCAGAGAGGTTATTTCCTTGTTCATGTGTACAGTAATCGATTGTAAAAAAAAAAAAACATTCAAGATTCTTGCCAAGGATGTAGGACATGAGGAAGTGAAGATCTTTTTGATTTAACAAAACAATTTCAGTTATTGGAGCAATCAAAATGTCTGAATTGACTTTATGCACTATACCCAGACATGACAAAGTAGATTTTCTTTTATACATGACTGACCAAGATCAAGCATTCAACCTCAGTAATAGTTAATATAGTTAGTTATAGTCATTCCTTCTTTTGTTTTTAAATGTAGTTTTTTATGTAATTTATTTCACATTTATTCATCCAAGTTAGACTCTTTAGGTATAATTTTTTTTAAAGGTTTTTGCAATTTTCAATTGAATTACAAATACAGGGACGCACTTCACAGACTTGCTACGGTATCACAGATCATTAGCCTCTTTGGCATAGAACCCAAAAGGTCCCTGTTGTTCACTCAGCAGAATTTGAGAGGGCAATATCACCCCTTGGCCGATATGCCAGGTCTAACTGATACTATTACAGTAAATCACAGCCATCTATTCAACTTGAACTTTGATATGACACACTATTACACTGACTAACATAACCAGCAAGCAAACCCAACCCTAACTCATACTAAACTGTTTTCAATGCCATAGATTGGCAAATTAATAACATTTAATTGGATATGTTGGTTGCATGGTTACCTGATATTTCTGTTTAATCATTGTCAAATGATAATCAATAAACCTACAGAAGCACATAGTGAACAAACATTTGAGTCGGCTCTTACTATTTGACCACTTTCTCTGTGTGTGTGTGTGTGTGTGTGTGTGTGTGTGTGTGTGTGTGTGTGTGTGTGTGTGTGTGGAGAGAGGTTACGCTAGATTGGGGCGAAGAGAATGATTTACTCCACAGCTGTTCTGGGGAAGAGGGGGGTAGGGGTTGAGGATGGGGTCTGGAAGTGGGCGGGGGGGGGGGCTGAGGTGGTCTCATGAAATTCGAGGTTAGTTGTACATTGCTAGAAAAGCTTATTTTTGACGGCTCGTGACAGATAAGAGGGCTTCAGTGATGAGGAAAAGCTCAAAGTTTAATATTGTTGAAAAGTTCAGATCGATGACCTCTTGATTTAGTCAACTGATCAAGTCTAAAGTTTGGTAAGCTACAATTGTATCTTGATCCTTATATGTCTCGATCTCTCCCCTTGTTCAGTAGCTCAGAAAGCATCTCTGCATGGAACATTTTCTGAATTCTGAATTTGTAGGATGTTACACACAGACATCGCTTCAAGCCATTCCTTTATACTCTTTATGATCCATCTCATCTCCTTCTCCTCCCTCTCCTCCCTCTCCTCTTTCTTCCGAAATACTGTAACAATCTCACCCACCGCCAAATAGAAGTAGACATTGAGTAAAACCTTTTATTTCTCTCCCTCCCACTCCCTTTGCTTTCTGTTAACCCCCTACCGCCTCTCCCCTCTCCCCTCCCCCATTTCTCCTCTCTGTGGTCTCTCTTCATCTCTCATGTTGGAAAACAGCTGTGGTTGCAGAACAAAACCAGCTTTGTCATTTCTCTAAGTTCAACTGACGAACATTCAACATTAATAAAGAAAATAAACCTGTAGTGCATGTTGGCAACATTCCACTCTGCTCTGTCTTTTCTTTCAACCTCTCTATCTCTCGCAAAAGTGTTCATTTCTTTGTAATGTTTCGGGACAGATTCCATTGTGAACACAATTCTGTAGCACTATCATCTGCCCGCCCGCCCAACCACATCCACACCCACCCGTCTCCCTCATGTAAATATCTCCCTCCATTGTGTAATATTAGTTCATCGACGAGGTTCTGTTTGAGGCAAGCCAGGTCTGTTACTATTTTACCACTTTCTATGCTATCCGTGTACAGTATCTATCTGTTAAATATGCTACAATTCAATTATTTGTGCATTTGTAACAGGTTAGGTTCTGTTATCAACACAACGGACATTCTTATCTTTACATATGTCACCAAAAGTAGTCAAAGTCCATTTGAACATGGCCGACCATATTATGTCATAGGTTCTAGTGTTGTTTTTGTTGGTGGTGAACTATTTGGGGAATATTTGATGAATATTGCAGTTCCTTGCAGACAAATACAGTATAATACATTATTTCTGACATTTGTTAGTTTTGAATTATAGGTTCAGACCTAGTACTCAATCTCAGCCTTATTATGTTTTCAAAACACTAAAAAGTTAGGCTATCTTGGTTTGATGTGGCATATAGCATCCGACTATACCTTATAATCGGCTTATCAGTTTATGGCCTATGATGATTGTCACATGTAGAAAAGATGAGCTCAGTGTTTGTTTTCAAATGGTTCATTTGTTGCTAGATTGTTTTTGTGTGATGCATACCATAGCATATTTATGAACTTTCACCCAGTTCTAGACCCCTGTGATTGGGGTCTGGGCCTTTACAAAACTATTTTCAATGTTGGTTGCTCTGAGGTTTGCTTTGCCACTGTTCTTACACTGTTCCCACATAGTTTCAAGTGTAATTAAAACCACACAGGTTCAATTATTTTCATCACAGCTGATCTTGCTGTTTATGGCCCTCTTCTGTTTCTCTGTCATGGTGTTATCAGTGTTGTCATGGTGTTATCAGTGTAGTCATGGTGTTATTGTTGTTATTGTGTTGTTATTGTTTTACTGTGTTATTAGTGTTGTGTTGTTAAGCCTACGAGGTCTTAACAGGTCTATATCCTTCAACAGATGATAATGTCGGTGAATATGGTGTCTGACATCAGTCCAGCAGGGGGAATAGGAGAGCCACATACCACCACAGTGGGAGGGAGTAAACCCCTGCACCGCTTCATCAGAGGGGAGCCCAAGAGTATTGGGGTGAGACTGGAAAACAGAGAACTGATGTATTCATTGTTGACAAATACTCCAAGGTATCATCGCAAACAAAAAATGTACTGTTCATTTAGTGGTAGCACTTTACATTACAGTACACAATAAAGTGGCAATAACATGGTAATAGCATGGTAACAGGATACAGTTACTCATAATGAAAACATTATTTGCCCAGATACCCCTTCATTTATGTGTAAATATATAATTTCTGTGTCTGGTTGGTTAGATTGTAATGCTGTTCATGGGCTCATCACTCTTCATCTTGGCAATTCCCATGAGAATGGATCCACTGGAGTCCTCTGCGGACAATTTCACCTCTTTTTGGCTAGGAATCCTGGTATGCCTTTTTTGCACATGTCTATATAAATCTATCATATTGACAATCCAAATGTCATACCATAACATCTAACTTACAGTAACACATAACCTGGAGTCTTAAGCCCCCATTTCCAAATCTTAAAATCAATGATATCTTTCAGACTGTCTCCCATGACAGTTTAATGTTGTTGAATTTATAAACTCGCACCCTCTTCTGTTTTGCAGTTCATCATCTGTGGTCTGTTATACGTGCTCACAGAGAAGAATACTTCAAAACAATTGGTGAGTACCATGAATTGGAATTCAGTGCACAGGCATTACAGATGTAGGATCTTAATTTGATAACCCTGTTGCAGGAGAACTTTCCTGCAGGAAATGTAATTCTCTACAGTCTAAGACGTTTGGTTTAGAATTTTACGACCCCTTTAGGTATATATAAAATAAAATAAAATGATTTGATAAAATATTGAATTTGGACTTTAGTAACAAATCACATAGAAATGCATTGAATAACACATTCATGAATGGCAAAAAAGTTCATCATAAGGAATAAGGCTTTGACGCATCTGTCCTATATCTAGGAAAAATAAGAAAGTTCAGGAAAAAGTTTGGACACACCTACTCATTCAAGGGTTTTCTTTATTTTTACTATTTTTTACATTGATGAAATAACACATCTGGAATCATGTAGTAAACAAAAAAGTGTTAAACAAATCAAAATATATTTTATATTTGAGATTCATCAAATAGCCACCCTTTGCCTTGATGACAGCTTTGCACACTCTTGGCATTCTCTCAACCAGCTTCACCTGGAATGCTTTTCCAACAGTCTTGAAGGAGTTTATTTATTAGCATTTATTTGGGCTGCAATCCGTATTGACTGACCTTCATGTCTTAAAGTAATGATGGACTGTCATTTCTCTTTGCTTTGTTGAGCTGTTCTTGCCATAATATGGACTTGGTCTTTTACCATATATGGCTATCTTCTGTATAAATCTTTTTACATTTACATTGTAGTCATTTAGCAGACGCTCTTATCCAGAGCGACTTACAGTTAGTGAGTGCATACATTTTCATACTGGCCCCCCGTGGGAAACGAACCCACAACCCTGGCGTTGCAAGCGCCATGCTCTACCAACTGAGCTACAGGGGACTACACAACACAACTGATTGGCTCAAACGCATTAAATTCCACAAATTAACTTTTAATAAGGCACACCTTTTAATTGAAATGCATTCCAGGTGACTACCTCATGAAGCTGGTTGAGAGAATGCCAAGAGTGTGCAAAGCTGTCATCAAGGCAAAGGGTGGCTATTTGAAGAATCTCAAATATAAAATATATTTTGATTTGTTTAAAACTTTTTTCGTTACTACGTGATTCCATATGTGTTATTTCATAGTTTTGATGTCTTCACTATTATTCTACAATGTAGAAAATAGTAAAAATAAAGAAAAACCCTTGAATGAGTAGGTGTGTCCAAACTTTTGACTGGTAGTGTATATATCTAGAATAATGCTTTGTTAATGTCAGTATTACCTTGTAACTTAAGCTTATGCCTTGTATGTGAATCCATTCATTTTACAAAGTTATTAAATAATACTTGTATTTAGAATTCCATTCTCATGACCGCTCCTTGATCTTAGTCAGCTAAATGCATAATACTTGATTGCACATGGTTTACATAGTCTCTTGCACATTGGTATTTATCTTATGGAGTCAGAGAAACATTTTAACAGGCTAATTGCTTAGTCTTATTTCGAGTGGCATGTTATGTACTGTATATATAATAGACTGTATATACACATATCAAATATTTGTCACGATCGTCGGGAACAGAGGACCAATGCGCAGCGTTGAATGCAAACATATTTATTAACTCTGAAGGATAACACGAACAAAAACGATAACGTGACAGTCAACGGTCTAACACAAACCAACTAGAACAAGATCCCACAACAACTGTGGGAAAACAGCCTGTATAAATATGGTTCCCAATCAGAGACAACCAGCACCAGCTGACACTCGTTGCCTCTGATTGGGAACCAATCTGGCCAACATAGAAATGCAACTACTAGATAAACAAATGAAAGGCACACCCTGGCTCAACATACAAGTGTCCCCAGAGCCAGGGCGTGACAGTACCCCCCCCCTAAAGGCGCGGACTCCGACCGCGTCAACTAAATACCACAGGGGAGGGACCGGGTGGGCACTCCGCCTTGGCGGCGGATCCGGCTCCGGGCCTGATCCCCACTCCCTCTCCAACCCCCCAAAGTACCCCTGGTCCGGTCTGGCCCCGCTGACCGGAGCTGGACTGCACACTGGTGGAGCGGATTGCTCTAGCTCCGGCGTGAAGCAGCTGACCGGTGCCGGACCAGGCACCGGTGGAAAAGGCACGGGGCGTGCCGGACTGACGACGCGTACCATAGGCTTGGTGCGGGGAGCAGGAGCGGGCCGGACCGGACTGGCGACGCACACCACTGGCTTGGTGTGGGGAGCAGGAGCGGACCGGACCGGGCTGGCGACGCACACCACTGGCTTGGTGTGGGGAACAGGCACGGGCCGTGCCGGACTGACGACGCACACCACTGGCTTGGTGTGGGGAGCAGGAGCGGGCCGGACCGGGCTGGCGACGCACACCACTGGCTTGGTGTGGGGAACAGGCACGGGCCGTGCCGGACTGACGACGCACACCACTGGCTTGGTGTGGGGAGCAGGAGCGGGCCGGACCGGGCTGGCGACGCGCACCATAGGCTCGGTGCGGGGAGCAGGAACAGGCCGGGCCGGGCTGGCGACGCGCACCACTGGCTTGGTGTGGGGAGCAGGAGCGGGCCGGACCGGGCTGGCGACGCACACCACTGGCTTGGTGTGGGGAACAGGCACGGGCCGTGCCGGACTGACGACGCACACCACTGGCTTGGTGTGGGGAGCAGGAGCAGGCCGGACCGGGCTGGCGACGCGCACCATAGGCTCGGTGCGGGGAGCAGGAACAGGCCGGGCCGGGCTGGCGACGCGCACCATAGGCTCGGTGCGGGGAGCAGGAACAGGCCGGGCCGGGCTGGCGACGCGCACCATAGGCTCGGTGCGGGGAGCAGGAACAGGCCGGGCCGGGCTGGCGACGCGCACCACAGGCTCGATGCGAGGAACAGGAACAGGCCGGACCGTACTGGGGACACACACCACTGGACCTATGCAGGGATCAGGAACGGGCCGGACCGGACTGGTAACACACCCCAGTACCTCTCGCCGTGCCTCCACACTTTCCCTCTCCTCTGTGACCAGTGGCCCCCTTAACCTGGCGGCCTCCTCTGCACACCCGCTGGACCGCTCCATCGCGGCCTCCTGCTGCCCCGTCGTCCACGGCGTGAGCCCCCCCCTAAAAAAATTCTGGGGGTCTCTCCTCCCCGTGGGCCAGGCCTCTATAGTTCTCGCCCAACTCTCACTCTTCTGCTTCCAACTCCAGCCATTCTGCTCTTCATTTGGCTTGACCCAGTCGAGACTCTTCCTCCACTGTTCCCAAGTCCACCCTCTCTGCTCTTCACTAGGCTTGACCCAGTCGAGGCTGCCACGGAGATCTGCTAGCGATTCCCCTGGCGATGGCTCCTGGACACGCTGCTTGGTCCAGTTTTGGTGGGATCTTCTGTCACGATCGTCGGGAACAGAGGACCAATGCGCAGCGTTGAATGCAAACATATTTATTAACTCTGAAGGATAACACGAACAAAAACGATAACGTGACAGTCAACGGTCTAACACAAACCAACTAGAACAAGATCCCACAACAACTGTGGGAAAACAGCCTGTATAAATATGGTTCCCAATCAGAGACAACCAGCACCAGCTGACACTCGTTGCCTCTGATTGGGAACCAATCTGGCCAACATAGAAATGCAACTACTAGATAAACAAATGAAAGGCACACCCTGGCTCAACATACAAGTGTCCCCAGAGCCAGGGCGTGACAATATTACTGCCCACCAATGTTCCCTCTACATTTTATGGGCACTGAGCAAATTTCAGGTCTGCTGAGCGCAAACTTGAATGTTGTGAAAATTCTGTGCAACTTTCAGCGCGTGTTTACTCTAAACACTGAGGCTGTACCCGCTTTAAGTTAGTTTCAGACAGTGGTCAAGTAGGCTACTGTGGCTATTTGATCATAATGTAGGCCTACCGGAGTGGCCTACATTTTTTTTCAAATGCAGAAAATGCATCCCATAACATTTTAACATGGAAATAGCTGTTCTATCATTCAGTCTACTGTATCAGCTAATGTGATGTTCAATGTAGGCCTACATTCCATGATACTTTTGAATAGAAACATGCAGAGCTTGACATTAACCTGTTTATCCACAACAAATGTTGTGTTGTTTGATGCAAGAAACCACTTCACAAAATAAAATGCATTATTATTCCCATGCCATTATTACAAAGAATCAGACAAATTATGCTACCCTCTACCTATTGGCTACTTAGCTTATTGAAGCCTGTCACAAAATACAACACTGCGGAAGACACATTTCAGTTGAATGCATTCAGTTGTACAACTGACTAGGTATCCCCCGTTCCCTTTCCTACCCCTTTAAGACAAAAAAAAAGCTCTTTACCCAACTTACTTTTCAAATATGTCTAGAAATGTAAACGTTTTGTGCTCTTGTAGGAAGCAATCACTCCCCCATTGCTGACTACAAATTATCTATAACTGGGCTAATAACTCACTAACTAGCAAAGGATATGAAACAAAGTGCACACGTGGCTACATGCAGCTCTCACTTTGATCTCTTGCATCTACTCACGACCGCTCATACTGTAAACACAGTCCAATTCAAAGTGAATGGCACAGATCCATATGGCAATGGTCTATTTGCATATACAGTGAGGCGAAAAAGTATTTGATCCCCTGCTGATTTTGTACGTTTGCCCACTGACAAAGAAATGATCAGTCTATAATTTTAATGGTAGGTTTATTTGAACAGTGAGAGACAAAAAAATCCAGAAAAACGCATGTCAAAAATGTTATAAATTGATTTGCATTTTTATGAGGGAAATAAGTATTTGACCCTCTCTCAATCAATAAAGATTTCTGGCTCCCAGGTGGGAGTGCTCCTAATCTTAAAGGGAGTGTTCCTAATCTCAGCTTGTTACCTGTATAAAAGACACCTGTCCACAGAAGCAATCAATCAATCAGATTCCAAACACTCCACCATGGCCAAGACCAAAGAGCTCTCCAAGGATGTCAGGGACAAGATTGTAGACCTACACAAGGCTGGAATGGGCTACAAGACCATCGCCAAACAGCTTGGTGAGAAGGTGACAACAGTTGGTGCGATTATTCGCAAATGGAAGAAACATAAAATAACTGTCAATCTCCCTTGGCCTGGGGCTCCATGCAAGATCTCACCTCGTGGAGTTGCAATGATCATGTGAACGGTGAGGAATCAGCCCAGAACTACACAGGAGGATCTTGTCAATGATCTCAAGGCAGCTGGGACCATAGTCACCAAAAAAACAATTGGTAACACACTACGCCGTGAAGGACTGAAATCCTGCAGTGCCCACAAGGTCCCGCTGCTCAAGAAAGCACATATACAGGGCCGTCTGAAGTTTGCCAATGAACATCTGAATGATTCAGAGGAGAACTGGGTGAAAGTGTTGTGGTCAGATGAGACCAAAATCGAGCTCTTTGGCATCAACTCAACTCGCCGTGTTTGGAGGAGGAGGAATGCTGCCTATGACCCCAAGAACACCATCCCCACCGTCAAACATGGAGGTGGAAACATTATGCTTTGGGGGTGTTTTTCTGCTAAGGGGACAGGACAATTTCAACGCATCAAATGGACAATGGACGGGGCCATGTACCGTCAAATCTTGGGTGAGAACCTCCTTCCCTCAGCCAGGGCATTGAAAATGGGTCGTGGATGGGTATTCCAGCATGACAATGACCCAAAACACACGGCCAAGGCAACAAAGGAGTGGCTCAAGAAGAAGCACATTAAGGTCCTGGAGTGGCCTAGCCAGTCTCCAGACCTTAACCCCATAGAAAATCTGTGGAGGGAGCTGAAGGTTCGAGTTGCCAAACGTCAGCCTCAAAACCTTAATGACTTGGAGAAGATCTGCAAAGAGGAGTGGGACAAAATCCCTCCTGAGATGTGTGCAAACCTGGTGGCCAACTACAAGAAACATCTGACCTCTGTGATTGCCAACAAAGGTTTTGCCACCAAGTACTAAGTCATGTTTTGCAGAGGGGTCAAATACTTATTTCCCTCATTAAAATGCAAATCAATTTATAACATTTTTGACATGCGTTCTTCTGGATTGTTTTGTTGTTATTCTGTCTCTCACTGTTCAAATAAACCTACCATTAAAATTATAGACTGATCATGTCTTTGTCAGTGGGCAAACGTACAAAATCAGCAGGGGATCAAATACTTATTTCCCTCACTGTAGGCCTACTGCAGCTCTGATTGGTTCTACTGCAGCTCTGATTGGTTATGCCACGCAGGTCTGTGGAGAGTATGGCTTGTCAATGCAATAGAATTCTATCCGATGCGTGCCTTGAAAGAGGCTTTGTCACGAAGTGGTTGCTATTTTTTCACCATTTTCTTTGTTCTCACCCTGTAGGTGACAGCAAGCCTGGCCCTTAGTATCATCTCTATATTGGGGGTCACAGTGGCTTTCTTTGAATTCCTTAAAGGCATCCTGAGCTTGAAGTATCACCATTACCACTTTTATCATTCCTACTATGATGACAACATCACAGACTCTGCCGGAGTTGTTGTCCCCTGGCGTAAACGACATATGGTAAATGTTGTTGTTGTTGTTGTGAAATTGGATCACTGCTATCTGGAACAATTATTATTGGCAGTCCTTCTCTTGGGTATTTGGTTTGTGACAACCTCTTTAAAATTGCATCCAGTAAATGAAATAAAGAAAGGATAAACATCATATAACACAGCTTTACACTGGAACCTTTCTCATTCTGTCTAAATAAAGAGACCTTTAATTCTGCTCTCTCTCCTGACAGGACCAGTTATTCAGCCTTGAGGCTGTATTCATGTATCAGAGCTTAGTGGGCATGGTGCTCCTAATACTGATGACAGCATTTGCCAGGGCTGCCTTGCAGTCCAGTAAGACACAGGTAAAGTACTGTGGCAGTGACATACTTTATAACCTTATTTGTATCCTAACCTGGGGCTTGTAGACTGTGGTAAGTATGCCAGTGCAATTAATCAAATACATTTAGATTTTTAAGTGCCCTACAGAATCAGACATCATCTTATCTGTAAATTATGTTATTACAGTGTATGTTTCAGTGGCGACTGGTGAGGGGAGGACGACTTATGATAATGACTAGAATGGAGCAAATGGTATGGCATCTAACACAGAAACCATGTGTTTGATATCATTCCACTTAATCCGCTCCAGCCATTACCACAAGCCTGTCCTCCCCAATTAAGGTGCCACCAACCTCCTGTGGTATGTTTATACTGTATACAGTGTACATAATGCTTTTTTGTCTTTCTCTTGCAGGATGAATGCCTAAGATAAACTCTGTCCTTTCTCTTTTATACAGGCAATTGTGGTAATGAACAATCTACCATCAGCAGACTGAATGAAAGAAAGAAAGCCTTTTATGACTGTCTCTGCCATGATGGATGGATAGAAAACTTGGATTCATTGATATACAATAAATGTAATTCAATGTGTAGAACATTTCTTTAAATCCACATATGGAAATTGTCTATGTATACAAGACACTTTTCATTTCCATTTTGAAATAAATGTAACATCAATTGTTCAATCAAATGTATTCATAAAGCCCTTTTTACATCAGCAGTCACAAGGTGCTGTACAGAAACCCAGCCAAAACCCCAAACAGCAAGCAATGCAGATGTAGAAGAAATGATCTAACAGTGTAAGAAAATAGACAATGTATTTTCTAAACATACTCCACTTCCAAAATAAAATAACACATCCACATAATACAATAGAAAATGAACATGGTCATTATATGCCACTCACAGCATTGTAATTTCATGGAACACTGTTGACTTGTTTACTCATTATTGAAAAATCACTTTTGCTCAAGACACTTCTTATGAGTAAAGCACTCAGTTCAGTGCATATAAATGTCCACTAGACATTTGTTTTGTTCGTCTTGATGGTCCCAAATATCGTTGCTTTTCTCTTATGCCAGAAACAAGAGCCAGAGAGCTCTCTGGCAGTGTTTTTTAGGTTTCTACAAAGGAGGTCACATCACTCTACACAATTTATAATGCCTCATTGCCTCCTTTAGATATGTGGTTTACAAAGATGGTCACTCGTACAGTATAAGAGCACTTGAAACAGAGTTTAAGAGAAATCCATCTTAATGATTTATGGTTCATTTTCAGACAATCTATGAAAATATCATACAAATCTGAGTCGTCTCCACTTCATAAAACGTCATGGCATAATAGACTAATGCCAAAAAGAGCTTTCCCAAATAGTTTTCAAAGTGAGAGAGAACAACTTAAAGCATTTCCTTTTCATCAAATGGCTGGTAGCACAGACTATCATACCAAAAGTGTTTTATTCTTACACGATTTAAATAATTAATAGATGGATTATTTACCTGCAACAGAGCAGTCTGACTCAGATGATGTGTCCAGTTGGGTCCTTAATAAAGTTGGCTGTAGTTCCTCCATTTGCAAATAAGTAGCAGCAGAAGCAGAGAAAATAGATTAATCCTGATCTGGTAGGGGTAGTGCCCCAATGTAGATCAATACCAACAGAGACCCCACAATTTCAGTGGAAGGGAATGGAAACTGCAAGTCCAGCAGTACACCTTTACTAGGGAAAAGGGAAGCCAGGACGGGACTATAAACTGTCAGGACATTTTGTGGGCCAGATAGAGTTTACCCTGGTTCAGATGTTCTTGAATCACACAGTCACAAAATTTCCGCTCTATTCTCTGAAAAATGTGTTTCCTCAGCAGGGCCACATCATGGGCACTGGCCACTGATTGATATGCTTTCATCTAGGTAACAGATTGTTTTAATTACTTGTTTCAATCTAACTCTTTAGAGTGTGGAGTATTTTTGTTCAATGTGTGTGAAGAGTTCTGTATGCTAGCTAGACCATTGCAAATATTATGACAATATTATGACAATATAAAATATTTGTCAAGGATTCTAGAGGGCTTCTGTGTGACAATAAACAACTTTTCAAACCTGTAGAACTGATTTTGAGTTTCATGCACACAACAGGTCTATTTGGTTTTGCATTTATAAAATACAAATAATATCCCAACATGAAACAAGACATAATAATAATATTTTATAAGCCTATCAATAACTAGATTGTAGACCTATTATTATAGCCTACATGACCAGCATTTCCATTGATTCACTCAATAAATCAACTGTGAAAGTAAAAGTAATAGTCAGTATGTACAGGCCTACTGTGATAAAATTGGCATTAGCTGCAATAAGTGTGAAACACTGGATTAAATTCTGAAATAATTTAATTTCACATTTTCATTCAGTAGGCCTATAGATTTATATACTGATTAATAGCGTATACAGTAATAGAAAATCAATAAAACAAGTCAAACGTATTGTGTTACATTAATCATGAAGGCACTCTTCTTACATAAGTGCATAGAATCCTTACAAAAGTGAAATCTAAATAGAAGCACAGATGGTGGATAAATAAAGATAATTCACTCAGGCCGTTTAACAAAAAAATTGTTTTTGTTAAGTTCCCGTCTACTTAACTAGGTGTGTCTCCCACAGACACCAATGCAACAGGAGGTGGGTCTACTTAGCTCATTGACTTTCATTGAACCAAAAAATATATATATATATATATACAACTGCAAGTGGGGTGTCTCGATTCCTCTTTCGTCTCTGAAAGAAATACCCGGGTATATGCCTCATTCATGTGCTAGTCGGAACTAGGAAACTCTGACTAGGAAACGACTTTCTAACTGGTTGTAGTTATACATGTGCAGCGTCCAACCAGTTAGCAAGTCGGCCATTTATGAGTTTCCTAGTTCCGACTAGTATTTGAACATGGCATTATACTCCGCTAACGGTGGCTTTCATTCGGAAAAGAATCACACGCTTTTAATACAACGAGCCTGGTGACGTGACACTCGTCCACAGCTTGCTTTTAGGGAGGCCATGCCATGACGTCAAAGTCTCCATGTCCCGAAATGATCGTCCCCATACGGTGAGACCCCACCCACATTTCCCTTGCAATGTTCACACAGAGTTTCTAAACCCAGAGGCGCAACATCACGTGACTTCCGGGAACTCTTGCAAAGCAGACCAAACAGACAGGCCAGGGTTTGGGGTCTGAGAAGTCAATGAGAGAAGTAAATAATTATTCCTTAGTTGTTCACATTCTCGAAATCTAAAGTCACAAACTAGATTCGAGCCAATTTCCTAAGTAGTTGAACATGTTATTACTCCAACCTTATGAAAATGACAAACTGACACATTTTAATTTTAATCAATAAAATTGATCCTGTGTCAGTGAGTGTAGCTATTATCTTCAAAGGCACAGTATTGAGTTATTCAGAGTGGTACATGCATTCACACATTCTTGATTTATAGGATCCTTCCCACTATATGATTGATATGTCAAGTAATAAAATCCCAAGTTATCAATTAAAAGTTTATGGAAAAACTGTACTTGTCCTCATGTGAAAATGACAGTTTATTAAGTATTCTATAGCTGTAATGTCATCAATCAAATCAAACTTCATTTATATAACACATTTCTTACACCAAATGCATTTCAAGTTGTTCAAAGTCATGCACTGAAAGGCATGTGGCACTTAATATCCTTCCTCTTGGCAGGTCTCTATAGGTGACCAGGGGATTCTCTCTACCACATGCTAATGCCTCTGTGGAGCTCATAAGTGAAGCCATGCAGCCTATTTTGGCGGTTAACAATATCGGCCATACGGATGCAGAATGTGAGTGGAGGAAGCCAGCCGTGCCCAACCAGGTGCAGTCAGTGGAGGACCTGTACCCGGCCAATGACTACAGCACTCTGTCCCGAGAGCCCACAGAGGAGGATCTTCAGTGGCTAAGGAACCGTCTCTGGGGCAGGTTCAGTGGAATGGCATGTCTCCTTGAACCTGAGCCAGAACAACCGCTACCCTCCCTGTCATCCCTGTCTGTAACGGACATTGTTAAAAAACAAGGGCACCTGGGGCATGCAGGCATCCTCGCTGTCGGTGGAGCAGCAGGAGGTTATACGGCAGGCAACAGATGGACAGCGCACCAACCCCAACTGGCACACCATGAGGAGAGGGACGTTGACGGCCAGCAATTATGGAGCAGTGGTTAGGGCCAAGCGCGTAACTCTGTCACTGCTAAAAAGGGTCCTCAGATCACAGTCGTTGGATGGGGTGTTGTCTGTAAAGTGGGGTACAGATAACGAAGAGGAGGGCATCAAGGCATTCAAAATGTCTACAGGGATGATTGTGCAGTAGTCAGGGCTTTGGGTCACGGGGTCTGGGATCCTGGGTGCCTCACCGGATGGTCTGGTGGGCACCACAGCAGTGGTGGAGGTCAAGTGTCCCTATGGTGCAAGATATCTTACCATTGAAGAGGCAGTGAAGTTGAAGGATTTCTATATCAAGGAGGAAGGGTCTTACTGCCTCCGTGAAGACCATTCTTACTGTCACCAGGTCCAGGGGACTTTAATGCAGGGAAGCTTAAATCTGTTCTACCTCATTTGTACCAGCATGTTAAATGTGCAACCAGAGGAAAAAAAACTCTAGACCACCTTTACTCCACACACAGAGATGCATACAAAGCTCTCCCTCGCCCTCCATTTGGCAAATCTGACCATAACTCTATCCTCCTGATTCCTGCTTATAAGCAAAAACTAAAGCAGGAAGCACCAGTGACTCGGTTAATAAAAAAGTGGTCAGATGACGCAGATGCTAAGCTACAGGACTGTTTTGCTAGCACAGACTGGAACATGTTCCAGGATTCTTCAGATAGCATTGAGGAGTACACCACATCAGTCACTGGCTTCATCAATAAGTGCATCGATGATGTCGTCCCCACAGTGACTGTACGTACATACCCCAACCAGAAGCCATGGATTACAGGAAACATCCGCACTGAGCTAAAGGGTAGAGCTGCCGCTTTCAAGGAGCAGGACTCTAACCCGGACGCTTATAAGAAATCCCGCTATGCCCTCCGACGAACCATCAAACAGGCAAAGAGTCAATACAGGACTAAGATTGAATCGTACTACACCGGCTCTGACGCTCGTCGTATGTGGCAGGGCTTGAAAACTATTACAGACTATTAAGGGAAGCACAGCCGCGAGCTTCCCAGTGACACAAGCCTACCAGACGAGCTAAACCACTTTCTATGCTCGCTTCGAGGCAAGCAACACTGAAGCATGCATGAGAGCACCAGCTGTTCCGAATGACTATGTGATCACGCTCTCCGTAGCCGATGTGAGTAAGACTTTTAAGCAGGTCAACATTCACAAGGCCGCAGGGCTAGACGGATTACCAGGACATGTACTCCGAGCATGTGCTGACCAACTGGCAAGTGTCTTCACTGACATTCTCAACATGTCCCTGATTGAGTCTGTAATACCAACATGTTTCAAGCAGACCACCATAGTCCCCGTGCCCAAGGACACTAAGATAACCTGCCTAAATGACTACCGACCCGTAGCACTGACGTCTGTAGCCATGAAGTGCTTTGAAAGGCTGGTCATGGCTCACATCAACACCATTATCCCAGAGACCCTAGACCCACTCCAATTTGCATACCGCCCCAACAGATCCACAGATGATGCAATCTCTATTGCAC